ATTTTATCATCCTTGTGGGAGGCTTCTCTCATGTCCCTGCAATGGGGAGCTGGAGCTGATAGAGGGAGCTCATCCGCATTCTCCCCAGATTCGAACCTGCGAACTATTGGTCTTCAGTCCTGCCGGGTTTAAGCCATTGTGCCACCAGGAGCAACCCACTGCTGCCAAGCTATTTGTTCCTTACCAACATAGCAAAATTAAATTATTTTTAAAGAATATAGAATGGGTCCCTTATGAAAAGAAACCATCCACTTAAGAGATAACAAGTCCCTATCAATTTCACTAAACTGATGAGAATTTTCTCATACATTCCAAACTAAGCTGTGGCGAACTGTAATAAATAACAATACCTCCCATTACTTTTCTATAGGTTTTTCTGTATGTTTGGGAAACCTAGGTCCTCTATGCAATCTGAAACAAAGGAGTAATAGTCCAAAGCGTGGAAGCAAAAGAGAGCAGATTACACCACCTTGTGGTGGCATTACTAACAAATACACCAGCATGCTCAAAGAGGACATTGATGGCTTATGGGACATGTGAAGTAAACTTGTAAAGTAAGAGTTAAATTACTCTTACATTAAAATTACTTCTCATGGAAGATGCTGTTCTGAATTGGTTTCAACAGTCTGCATCTCATCTAGTCTCCAAGCTAGTTTTCCCAGGTCCATGATGGCAGGCTGTGATTGTATTACCACCTCAGTTTTACATCGAGTAGATCCATTGAAATCAATGTGACTTAAGACTTCACCACACTAGAGAAGGAATCCACTTTAAATTCAGTTCCTGCCACCTGCAGAATTCTGGAGTTTATAGTTTGGGGAAACTGTTAAAGGCTCCTCCCTAAACTACAAACCCCAGAATTCTGCAGGAGGCAGAAACCGGATTTAAAGTTGATTCATTCTCTATTGTGATGAAGTAGTTAATCACCAGAGCTCAACTGCTCAACTACTTCAGTCCTATTGACCTCAATAGCTCTACCCCAAGTAGGACTAATATTGAATTTAGCCCACAACCCAATAGTAGCAGTGTAATTTGATTTAGACTAATGTTCACAACAGGGTATTTCATACTCTGGAATCTATTTTGGAGAATGCTTTTCCACTTGATATTCTGCATACCCACCTAGTCCTAATTTTTGATAGAAGTTAAAAACATTTACGCAGGACTTCCTTTTTACAAGGAACATATGTATATTTGTGACTCGTATATGGCAAAATTGTGTGTTGAATATATTTTGTTTTAATGTAGTACCCCCCTTTGAAATGTTTAGATCAGCCCATTATTTAATTTAGATCAATCTTTGCTCTATTTTCTGAAATTAAGGCTTAGAGAGCAAGACCTGAAGTCATTACAGTTCAACCTTCTATACCTATGGGAGCAATACCCATGGTTTCAACTGCATGCATCAAATATGTCTACTCTAGGAATTGTATAGGTCCACTAGGTGATTTTATGGGACACTTCTGCTGGAAGTTGCCATAAAATCTAGAAGGACTTAGCAAATTCTAGAGCATACTTCTCTGGGAATTTTCTAGGTTCTCTATGCCTACTCTATGGTAAATTTCAGCAAGTCATTTTACTATACTAGAGTCACCCCATTGAATCAGGATGAGTTACATAAGTATTGGCTCACTGATCAACATTTTGGTCTACTCTAGTGTAAATAAGAGTGCCATTATGGTGTAGCAATCTGAGTGTTGGACTAGAACTCCGGGATGCCAGAGTTCAGATTCCTTAACCAAATCACTCTCTCCCTCTGCAGCCGAGATTAATAAACGTCATTTGCAGAAAGGTTGGCAAGAAAACTTGAAGTCAGAGTCAACTTTGGGACTCATAACAAGATGTGGAACTTACCAATAAGATTCAGGTCCTAAAGTTTTAGTTCCATGTTCAAATATTTTTGACCAAAAGGAAAATTAAAGAACACAGAGTAAAATTTGTAAGATTCTGGTTCCTAAATCAAAATTGTTGCAACTTTAAAAATTTATGCACATGGCAGTCTTACAGGAACTTATTTGTAAACGAGGCTCATCATCCCCCAAAATGGGTTCTTCCCCCAACTGTGTTACAAGCAGGAGGACTTGGCACCACAACACTGAAGGGATGATTCAACTGCTTTGCCAATAAATATTTTCCTCCTACCTTCTTAAAGTCCACGCACAAGGTTGAAATTAATGCAGAAATTCTTGGCTTTGAAACAAGCTTTTAGTGATGCCAATAGTGGTTTTAAGTGATGTTGCTCTGTGCTGGCTCTATGCTTGGAGAATTGGAATCATCACTAGACTGCAAGGGCATTAGCTACCCTTTACATTTAAATAATACAGTGTCAAATTCTAAAATAATTATATCCTTTATAGCTCTAAGAATCTCTCACTTTTTTAAAGAAACATCAAGTTTATTGTGAATTATTACTCTAGCAAACCTCTACCAACTACATAGGATTGAGCAAAAGGCAAAAAGAAACAAATGGAGAAGGCAGGATAACAGTAGCTGTAAATATGGGGTGAAAGAATGAAGAGGAAACACCAAGACTGATAAAGTATAAATTTGGATTTTTTCTATTTTGTTCATATTGTGCCTTTTCTCAGTTTGCTGGAGTTAGGAGTTTGCATTCATAGACATGTGCCTGAAAACAGAGAGCAATCTTGCATCTGGTGGTCACAGCTCATGTGGCTGAGATATACACCACTCATATAGTCTTCTGGCCACACAGGTGTGAAGAGGACTTCTACATTGTGTAGCAGTACATGATAAAAATCTTACCTTTTAAAAATATAGAATGGAATAACTTTGTCACTGTACATTGTACAACAAAATCAAATGCTTTACCTAGCACACATCACAAAAACAACTCCCAGTTTGCTCCAATATGCTGCATTGTAACTTTTATGTTGTAATCACCAAAGTCTCATGTTCTTCTATGAATGCAGAGCTCCTTCTTATAAAGCCTCCTTAGCAATCTGCACAGAGGACCTTTAGCAATATATATGTATCAGTTGCATATCCTGCACTTTATCCCATGCCCTCTCTCCATTATTGGAGCTGGCACTTATTTTATTCCTAATGTTTACAGCTTGGCCATGTTTACCACCAGTTGAAGTTTTATATGTGCATGTGTTTTATTGCATTTTGTATTGTACTCACTTTTATGTTTTGTTTTTAGGCACTTTGTGCCATCTGTAAGCCACCCTGAGTCCCTTTGGGGAGATGGTGGCAGGATATATGGCCAGGGTCCATTGTATCTTAAAGACTGTCTCTCCTTCTACCATCATTGGAGGTCGCCACGACCATCCCAACACGATTTGCTCTATATACCGGGTCCTAGGGAAGTGCACTTGGAAAGCACCAGACGCAGGGCCTTCTCTATTTCTGCCCCTGCCTTATGGAATTCCTTGCCTCCCTATTTGAGAGCCATGTGTGACTTAGGGCATTTTATCCTAGCACTTAAGACCTGGCTTTTACTAGAGCATTTGACCCATGTTAATTTTAATATTTGTATGTATGTGTTTTATCCTGTATAATTTCTGCAATATAACTCGCCTGGAGAATCTCGGATGGAGGGCGATTAATAAGTAATTAAAGATGATGATGATATAAGAATATGGATAACTGTGAAATCAAGACTCGGCACTTTTGATAGTTTTTAATCAGTTTTATTGTTTTCATTGCTCATATGTTTTAGCTCTTTTTATAATTTGATGAGGTGTGTTTTATTTTCATCTGGCACTGAATTTTGCCGGAGTTTTCTAAGCCTCCTTGAGTCCCCTGCAAGGTGAGAAAGGCCGGGCAAAAATGAAGTAAACAAATAAAGTTGTTGTTATTACTACATACACCGAGTCCTTTCATATAGGGATGAGAATGTATGGCTTACATGTATTTATTCAATTCGAAGACACACATTAATTTCAGTATCATCAACAGAAAAAGCTCGTCTCTCTCCAAAACCTACAATTCTAAGGTGCATTCTATTTACATATGTGTTTATAAGGGGGGAAATGTGTTTTAAGAGTTGATGAAACACAGTAATAGAGGGAATGAATGTAATGTATAGTAAGCCTGTGTGGGGTTGCAGGTCATTCTCATGTTTTTTCACCTGAACCATTCTTAGGCCTTGGTGAGTTTAACCACCAGGTCAACAGGAAATTTATGATTATGTAAAATGAATTTGCATGACTAAAAAGCAGAGGGACATTTCTTCTGTCCCTTTGCAAGGAATATCATAGAAATGACTATCACAAACCACTGTAATAGGTTACACATTCATTACCTTCCATCAATGCTCTAACAAGCAAATGTGTGACCATACTGAAAAACATTGAGCTCACCTTGAAATGTGTCAAAAATTCATGAGCTGCCAACTTCATAGCATCCCATCAGGTGACATTTGGTTTTGATGATGTCTTTAAGGGTCTTGAATGATTTTTTAAAATATCCTTTAATTTCTATCCGATTTTAGTTTTGAATGTGATTTATACTAATATTCCACATTTTATGCCATGCACTGAGTTCAAGGAAGAAAAGATGGAGCAAAAATGGAAGGAATGAAATGTGCCGCCTCATTTCAAATTCCCACCATTGGATGACATTGCCATCCTTTATGATAACCTTTATATGGGATTAGCTTTATAACTGCAACCTTCAAAAACCTACCAAAACCCACTCCCAAACCCGGAGAGCAGTACTGAGGACATGAGACCATTCCTTGTCCTGATGTTCTTCTGACTCAAATGAGAATTTTTTTCAGTGGGAGGCAGATAGCTGTAGGAAAAGGGGGACTTGCCCCCTTCATTTCTCAGGTTATTTTACCATCCAAATTAATAATGTCCAACCATACAGCGGGCTATGCTCTGATTTATATGTCTCCTAAAGTTGGATCTGTTTGATTCAAGACCTCTCCTAGCTTCCTACTGTGGATTTTAAAACTTTTTAGATTTTGCATGCTTCACTTCAATATCATTGTATAAGTGGTCTAAGAATTACATAAATGCTGAATAAATGAGTTGAGTCATCATTTCCAATTTTTATTCACACTACCAAGACGCATTTTACCAAAACAACGTGAGAACAAACTGTTACAAATGCTATAATAATTGTGTTTAGTTGTCTTGAAGCTGCCACAGCACCTTTTGTTTTGTGAGAGAAAAGGTAAAATGTCTGCTTGAGCTTCCTGCTTCATGACACCTATTAATACAACAGTCTATTTTGCAAGGCTTCTCTTGATGAATGGGGGCTGGTTTTAAAAAAGAAAACAAGAGATGAAACCCTATGATGCATCTGAATTAAATGAACAAAATGTTCTATAACATAATAAGAAATCTAATGACTAATGCCATCCCAGGTTATTTGAAACATAAAAGCTATTCAGCTTTAGCAGACCTCACGAAGCTTCAAATTCTGGAGGATGAGATGCTTATCAATAAGCACCAAGACTTGCAATAAAAAAATGTCTATTTAGTTTTATATCTCTGCTCAGTTATAAATTCCCATTTTTATTGAAACATATACCTTGCTGAGCATTTCCATTTATTCAAGTCTCTTGATTTCAAAATAACAATAGAAAACAATCCTTTATATCATAAAATTACAAAACTGAGCTTAAGTTCTATAGCATTTCTGTTACTTTATTTACAAAGATAAAAGGCGAAATCCAATTTCAGCCCTGGATTTGAGATAATCCATAGAAATCAATCAGTATTGCTTAATACGTCTCATTTTAATTGCTTAATAAGTTTCATTTTTGTCCTAACATAGCTGCAGTTAGGACAAAAACTGGATTTAGCTCAATGTATTACTTGAAAAAGAGGAAACGCAAAGTTTCTGACATGCCCAGGTTCTTCTGGAAGATTTAAACATTATTCTTGCATTCTAGAGCAAAGGATGCAATAATTAAATAATTTGAACAATTTCACAGATGAAGGCTCAGGTGACATCTATATTATATCTAAATGTAGACTAAATAGCGGTTATCATACACAGAAGGTTTAAGTACCGTGCCATTGATCTCCAGGCACTGATCTCCTAAGACCCCTTAGGGCAGGCATGGGCAAACTTCAGTCCTCCAGGTGTTTTGGATTCAACTTCCACAATTCCTAACAACTTACTGACTGTAGGAATTGTGGGAGTTGAAGTCCAAAACACCTGGAGGGCCCAAGTTTGCTCATGCCTGCCTTAAAGGTACCAGCATCCTTGAAGGATAAGCACATTTTTCCTTAAACTGACAAACTGATGTCACAAACTATATACAGAATCAAAAGCAGAAAGCCAACATGAACACTGAAAAAGATCTCAGTCATTCAGGAAATTAAAGAGATTTTTGATTAACAGGATCTCTGAAGAATCTCTTCAGTTCCCCAGAAGTATTTTCCTTCCTGGGAAACCTGTATTTGCAGCCTGCCAGAGACTGAGCTATATTCTGAGTTTTTAAGTGGCTAATTCTTTCAGTGATTCAACAAACTCCAAGGAGTATATGTCATCAACACCAAAGTTATGTAACAATATTAACATTAGTAAGGTTCATGGTCTTTTTCAGCCAATGTTATGAAGAGATGCAAAACTTGATTCAACTACAGACAACCGTTGCTCCAATGCTTTCAATATTGTTTCTGCCTGTTAAGCAAAATAAAAGAATTTTATTTCATTATATATTGCTCGATGCTAAATAATAAAGAATAAAGCATTCAATATACCTATTAACCAATCTATTCAAGTTTGGCATAAAATCAGGATTCTGGACACTGGGGGAGTTATTTACTCTCTGAAGGCCAAGGTAGCCGATTTCAAGATGGACATCAAATGCCACTTCATCCAAGCAAAACCCAAGCTTCCAGCACCAACTTGGACAAAAACTCATTATGGCATTTATGAGCCATTTCAAGCAATGTGGCTTGAAACAACAACAACAAAAACTGCCAAGAGTTGATATTCTATAGCTACCAAAAACATTCTAAGTAATGCAATTGCAAAAAAACAAAGTGTTGTTGTGAAGGAGAATATGTTACTGTGACAATCAAGTGAAATTTGCACAAAGGTTCGGCTATTGTTTTTATTTTGAACTAAAACTTGTCAGGTTATGTTAATGTGCCAATCTATACTACATGTCACTGGCAATATTCCTTTGGACAAAATGCTGGCATTGGTTAATGCCACCATGCCTAACATTTAACCATACCCTATAGCACGCAACAGCTTCAGTCTCAATTTCTTCTAGATTAGTTGTTCATTTTGAAAAATGAGAACTGCTCCAATATCTGTTTTATATTCTGTATGCAAACTGTTTCATGTTTTTATCACAAAGTGCAAAATTCATGTATATTCTGCAGCTAATGTATTGCTTCTTTAGGTCCCTCCGCTAAGGAGGACTGAAGGCAACAAGAGGAGTCTCTGCCACATCTTAACACACTGTCCGAGGCAAACGAAACTACCTCTTTAGAACTAGATTTTAATGTGCAGATCTTCAGCCCATGTATGCACAAGCTGAATCTTTTATTTCTTCCCACAGTATTTGTTAAAAAGTGTTACTGGCATAATTCGCTCACTTAATGGTAAGTTTTAGAAAAAAATTAGCTCTACATAATTCATTTCATGGGGGGGAGGGGGAGAGAAAAATGCAAACATAAATCACTAGCTTACCCTTCCTAGTGATTCTTCTAAACTAGCTCGACTTTCAAGGGTGAGAGGTTCCTCATCAATTTCAGCTTTCTGTTCTGAGGATCCTAAGATGTAACTGAGGCAAGATATGGTTAAAAGTAACATCATAATCACATAATACAAACTTGAAATTAAACCAACTGAACAGTCATTTGCTAGCAAGAATAATTACATTTATAGCAGAGATACAGAAAAAGTACCTATTATATCAGAGGTGGAAATAAGGGGGTCTTCGAGAAATTGTTACACTATAATTCCCAACATTCATCTCCAAAAGCCATGCTTATAAGATCCGATGGAAGGTGCAGCCTAATATCCAGAGGGTTGCATTAATTTATTGATCGCATTAATTTCTTGATTGTTGGGCCACACCTCCAGGACTATAATATCTAAGTGGCCAGATTCCCTATACTTCATGTAACACCTCTGGCAGAGCTGGAGTGAACAGTATAATCATATGGCAGTCAAGGAAATTAATCCCATCCCAATATTTAGAGGCAAATATGGAGTATTTGTACTATCTGCCACTTACTAAGGTGAATCTCCCACAAAGAAATTGAGGGTTATCTATACAGAGTTGGATTGGCAAATTGCTATGGCACAAAACCACAAATTTCAGTGTTATAATTGGAGATAATGATTAGAATTTTGCAGCTACAATGCCTAAGACTAATAGCCATTGAACAATGAACAAAAAAATGTCCCAGTCCTTGAACAACTAGAAGACTTTACTAATGAAGTGCAATAATTATGACAATGCACCCTCCTATCATTCATGTTTTAGTTTTTTTCATCCAGAAGCAAAACAAGAATTTTAAGAATTATTACATGCTATTAAAATTATAGTTAGCTCTAATAAAAATACTTACCTTGTTTTATAAGTACAAAGGATTGAAATGCCAGCAAAACTAATGAAAATTGATTGCTTCCTAGAATACACATCTAAGAAGTATTTAAATAGCCAGTAAAGAAAGTATGGAAACTACATTTGCTTCAGACAAGGCAGCACATGGCACAGTATTGTCTTTTCTTTAAAATACATTTTAGTTATCTATCATCGGCAAAGATGCACTAAGGATACCAGAAAGGGCAACAGACAGATGTTTCTTTCATAGCTGATTCTGATATCATCATCTGTTATTAGTATGGGCCACAAAAATGAAGTAGTGCCTTGGGAACAGCAGTAGCCTGAAGAACAATTCTCCATAAATTTAAAGAAAGGAAAAATGCATAATTTTCAAATGTCATGCAAGGAAGAACCAGCTTGAAAGAGTTCTTTCAATTTAAATACTAATGTTCAATATATAAAAGATAACTGGGCAAGTACATATATTTAGGAAACAGAATGAGTGCTTTTCTCACCTGTCTAGGGAGTCAACATTCAAGCAAAATAAATCTCGTTTATAGTCCAGATGTCTTGGTGTGCATCTGTAAATGCTTCCAAGTGTCATCTTGCATCCAGAGCAAAACAAGGTTTCAATCATGCTGTAAAACAAAATCTTTAGCTTACATTTCAAAACATGCCTACATTCTACTTCAAATATTTACGAAGAAATGAAAGAAATAGTATCAAGGAATAACAGCTGAATCATCAATTCTTTCTCTACATTTTACACATAATATATTTTTATTCTCATAAAAACCCTGTGAGGCAAGTTAGATTAAGAAACAGCAATCAGTTTCAATTCAGCCGTCGGTAGAAGGGAACTTGACCCTGGGTTCCACCAGCAGGAAAACATAAAAGTTTAACATTTTGTACTACAACTTCCAGTCTCCCCCAGCCACCACAGCCACTGGCCATTAGTCATGAGCCTGAAATTTGTCCTATTCGTTTCATTCGTGTTTCTGTTTTGTTCCGTCCATTCAGATGGCATGAAGCGGAAAGGCCCTTCCTGAAACAAAAATGCAGTCAATACAGAAGATAGACGGGCCTACTTTTTGGATGGATTGTGTGGGGCCTGGCTTGGCCTGCAGCCAAGCACTGAGTAAGGAATGCTCCTTACTTGGTGCTCAGCTGCAGGCCCTGAGAGGCCCGGATGCATAAGCCCATAGCCTGCACCCATAGGCCCAAAGCCTGCACCCATAAGTGAAGCTACCCCCCCCCCTCAAATAATGAAAATGAAAAAAAATCTGACCTCTCGATTTTGGGAAGCTCAGATGAAAACGGATCAGGGTTCCCACCAAAAGCCGGGACATGAAATGAATCAAGGTAAGTCCCGAATGCACATGACTACTGGCCATGCTATCTGAATGTTCTGGTATTTGTAGCCCAAAATGGTAAAATGTGAAACTTTAATCAGAGACTCTAGTGGCTGTATCATACTAACTTCTATTTCAGGGATAATTTCTTTCTTCTTAAATATGTACACAAAATGGTGATGGGGTGCACAGATTTATGTGTCTATATTTAACAAACAAAGCCTAAGAATGTTGCCCTAACATGTAGGTAAATATAAGGATACAAGCATTTAGGTTTAGAGAGAATGGCAGAAATTTATACACACTGCATCCATTTCAGCCCACACAATTCAAACAATCACAAAAGCCACCTATGGTTTTAAGGACAAAGCCCATACAAAACTTGGCTCAAAAGAACCAGCATGAGTCTCTACACAATCTCTATTAGTTTGCATAATCAGTTTAAGTAAAAGTTTGATGTAAAATAATTTATTTCCTGCTTGAACAGAAAAATTAGTATGAAGATGTTGACTGCTTACGTACCAGCCATATTCACCTGCCTGGGTCGAAAGTTTTTGCTCTTTGTCCACAGAGACATTGAGGGTGACACCTGAATTATTAAAGACACAAATTAGTAACAACATTGAACTGTCCTCATAAATATACTAGATTTGCATAGCTTCTGGGTCATAAAAACAGACTGCAGTGTAGTATACTGAGTCTATGAAAATATTTGCATCCCTTTGGCTGGTAAAGCATCACTTGAGAGATACTTGTAACGTGTCTGCTATTATTTTAAAAATACAGTGCAATTCTAAACCTTATGGGATCTAATGGGCAGAGGTCTGCTGAAAGAAGTGAACATATATCATGGTATTAATGTATATGCACCTTAATTTCTCTAAAACAGCTGGTTGATTTTACAGTATGTTCCCATCCTGCACTGTATCTGCATCTGATAAAATGAGCAAAAAGAGCAACAATCCAGAAAAGTGTTTGCTATAATAAAAATGTTGGTAAAATGGGCCCTTGGTATTCTCTGGGGTTTGGTTACAGGACTTGTGTGGATACCAAAATCTGTGGCTGCTAAAATCCCATTATATAAAATGGTGTGCTAAAATGGTGCCCCTTATACAAAATTACAAAATCAAGGCTTACTTATAGGAATTTTGGGGGATATTTTGAGGCTATGGATCATTGAATCCATGGATACCAAGAATTGACTGTACATAAATACGGGGCTACATTCATTGCCCGGGTATATATTTTTGTGTGTGTGTCTGTGGCTCCTCCTTTCCTTCCTCCGTTTTCCTCATATACCTTCTTCCTCTTTCCTTTCTTTTTCGCTTGCTTTCCACTCTTCTTTCTTTAGAATTTTTGTTCCCTTCCTCCTTTCCTCCGCTCATATCTTTTCCCCTTTCCTCTCTTCCATTTTTTTCTTCTCCCCCTCTCTTTCCCTTCTTTTTCTTTCTTTTCTCCCTTCCGTCATACACATGTTACCTAGCAACAGCCAATCCACTTCACTTCCTTCCTTTCCCAGTATCACAATGGGCCACTTCACCTAGCAACATCAAATCTGCTTTGGTTCTTTTCTTTCTCTCTGCTGTGGGTCCAAAAGGAGTGAATTTTAAAAAACTCAACCCCCTCATGGACACCATGAATATGGACATGCTTACACAAAAAATGTCAATTATCCATCATAGAACTGACTGGAGTAAAGTTATAGAATTCATAAAAGAAGAAAACTCAGGAAGTTATATTATTAAAACATAAACGAAACTCAACAGATCTGTCACTGTGAATCCGATGACAAAACCTAAACAAGACTGAGGAGAAATCAAGGAATCTGCAACCTGGAGAGACCTGGAAATCTTTTTTTGTCTTTTTTTGAGTCAGTCTTTAATTTCTTTAACTTCCTATTTTTCCTTTATTCACATTGTTCCCATCTTTTTATGTAATGAGATAAAACTGCCCCCTTTCTTAGGGAACTACTATTCTCAATAAAAATAATTTTAAAAAATTAAACCCTTCAATTATGTGTGCCAAGTTTGGTCCATATTCATCAGGCCATGTAGGAGCCTTTGTGGTGCAAACCAATCAACATATATACCAGCTTTTTAATATACTGTATAGAGAGATTACTTTTTAAACTGTGAGTTGATTTGGGTTCTAATCTTGGGGGGAAAGTAGGGTATAAATAAATAAATACAAGCAGTCCCTGAGTTACAAACAACAGATGACTCATAGTTAAGAACAAGGGTGAGACAGCAGTAAGGGAGAGAAATCTCCTTCCAGGAAGGGAAATTAACTCCTGGAAGAGTAGATGGGTATAAATAAACATCATCATCATCGTCATCATCATGATGGAAATGGATATTAATTGGAGTTATTAATTGGGGTTTTTAATCTGGTGCTATTGTTTATATGTACTTTTGCTTTAATGTAATTGTTTGGGACTTGGTCTCATGTTAGCTGCCCCGAGTCCCTGGTGGCGGAGTATAAATAAAGTTTTATTATTATTATATTATTATTACAAGAGTTCTTTCTCCCACCCTGGACATTTCACAGATATATAAACCTTACTCTCCTAGTTTCCAACAGACCTCACAACGTCTGAGGATGCCTGCCATAGATGATAATAATAATAATAATAATAATAATAATAATAATAATCTTTATTTCTACCCCGCCACCATCTCCCCGATGGGGACTTGGAGCGACTTACATGGGGCCAAGCCCGGATAGATGTGGGGGGAATTCTTCTGGAACATGGCCATACAGCCTTTAAAACTCACAGCACCCCAGTAATTCCGGCCATGAAAGCCTTCAACAACACAACAGCAAAGAGTCTCAATGTGTTTGAATGACAAGCATATTTATCATAGCACAAGTTTTTATGTACTACTAGCCGTCCCTTGCCACGCGTTGCTGTGACCCAGTCTATGTATGTGTGTTTGTGTGTGTATATATGCATACATGTGTATATATATATACAGGGTGAGGCAGCATAACTTCCTTTTTTAAAATGCGCGCCAGTCGGTTGAAGATGTAGTGGAGCACTAGTAGTGTCGTTTGAGAGGCGGGAGTATAAAGTTTTGTCCTGACACAGTTCAGTTGTCATCATGCGTTGGAACAGTGAGGAGCGTGCTTTTGCCGTTGAGGCCTATTTTTCGAGCGGATTTGGAGTGGCTGGCCCGCTCTCCAGATTTGGCCCCTTGTGATTTTTTTCTATGGGGTTTTTTGAAATCCTGTGTTTATGTGAACCGTCCAAGGACCCTACAAGATCAGAAGACCAACATCCAGGAAGAAATTGCCAACATAAAACCTGCTATGCTGGCAAGAATCATGACAAAAGCCAGAAATCAGTTTACTCAGTGTATGGAGAATGGGGGACGTCATCTACCTAATTTGATCTTCAAAACTACGTAAAACAAAACTTTAGGTATTCACCTATATTACAAAAAAATAAAAATTTCTGATTCATACAATGGGTTTTATTAAGTTTTGAAAAAAGGAAGTTATACTGCCTCACCCTGTATTTGTGTATATGTATATATGTGGGCTTGTGTATATATGTGGTTTTGTGCATGCGTTGTAATGTGTGTGTTTTTATTTTTTATGGTTTTTAAGCCTCTTCTGCTGGGGGACATGAGAGAAGCCTCCTCGCAGGATTGCAAGACACCCTGGCCAATGTCTTCGTAGACAGCTGATTCTCTCACTCCAGAAGCGACTTGCAGCCTCTTCTGCTGTGTTTTTCAGTGTTTTTATGAGTGGTGGTCACTCGTTGGCCTGATAGGTTTATTGTGTCCAGTGGTTTTTGAGTTATGTTAATCCCACAAACGAACACTACATTTTTATTTATATAGACTAGCCGTCCCCTGCCATGCGTTGCTGTGGCCCAGTCTGTGTATATGTGTTTTTGTATGTTTGCATTTGTGTTTATGTGTATATATGTGTTTGCGTACATGCGTGTGTGTAAATGTGTTTTTCCTGACACAGTATATATGTTGTTTTGCACATGCGTTGTAATGTATTTTTTTATTTATGGCTTTAAAGTCCTTTCCGCTGTGTTTTCCACTGTTTTTATGAGTGATGATCACTCGTTGGCCTGATCGGTGTATTGTGTCCAAATTTGGTGTCAATTCACTCAGTGGTTTTTGAGTTCTGTTAATCCCACAAATGAACATTACATTTTAATTTATATAGATGATGATGATGATTATTATTATTATGATTAAGAGCAAACCTACAGAACCTCTCTTGTTCGTAACTTGAGGACTGCAGGAAGGGGGAGAAGGGGGGGGGCTGGAAAGGGCCTCTTCGTGCCGTGATCCTGCCTGTGACCCAAGCGAGGGGAGGAAGGGCCTGGCTCTCTCCCCGAGGCCCACCCCGCTGGCGCTCACTGTTGAGGAGGACGCAGCCGCTCTCGTCGTCGTGGGCCTCCCAGCTGAGGCTGTCCCCCACGGGCCGCTTGCAGCCGGCGCACAGGAACACCATGGGCGGCTCCTCCGCCTCGCCGTCGGGGCCCTCCCGCTCCCCGCCGGGCGCCTGGCTCTCCCCGGCCGCGGAGAAGGTCGACTCCTCAGGAGCCAGTGCCGCCATTGCTCCGTCTTAAGGCGCGCTCCCACCCACCCACCCGCCAGCCCGCGCGCGGCCACGCCCCGCCCACTGCTCCGCGCGCTCGTAGCGGAAGTCAGGGGCGCCGCTCTAGCACGCACACTCGCTTTCCTCCCTGCGTTGCCAGGCGACCCTCCTGGGAAAGGGCGCCCCTTTTCTAGCTGGGATGTTTAGAGGAGCACCAAGTATCCTTTGGGAGAAATGGCACCCTTGTTTATTACTCAGCTGGGCAGTGTGTCCCTTATAAGGCTGGCAGGAATCATAGAATCAAAGAGTTGGAAGAGACCTCATGGGCCATCCAGTCCAACCCCCTGCCAAGAAGCAGGAATATTGCATTCAAATCACCCCTGACAGATGGCTATCCAGCCTCTGTTTAAAAGCTTCCAAAGAAGGAGCCTCCACCACACTCCGGGGCAGAGAGTTCCACTGCTGAACGGCTCTCACAGTCAGGAAGTTCTTCCTAATGTTCAGATGGAATCTCCTCTCTTGTAGTTTGAAGCCATTGTTCCGCGTCCTAGACTTCAGGGAAGCAGAAAACAAGCTTGCTCCCTCCTCCCTGTGGGTTCCTCTCACATATTTATACATGGCTATCATATCCCCTCTCAGCCTTCTCTTCTTCAGGCTAAACATGCCCAGCTCCTTAAGCCGCTCCTCATAGGGCTTGTTCTCCAGACCCTTGATCATTTTAGTCGCCCTCCTCTGGACACATTCCAGCTTGTCAATATCTCTCCTGAATTGTGGTGCCCAGAATTGGACACAATATTCCAGGTGTGGTCTAACCAAAGCAGAATAGAGGGGTAGCATTACTTCCCTAGATCTAGACACTATGCTCCTATTGATGCAGGCCAAAATCCCATTGGCTGTTTTTGCCGCCACATCACATTGTTGGCTCATGTTTAACTTGTTGTCCACGAGGACTCCAAGATCTTTTTCACACGTACTGCTCTCGAGCCAGGCATTCCCCATTCTGTATCTTTGCATTTCGTTTTTCCTGCCAAAGTGGAGTATCTTGCATTTGTCACTGTTGAATCCCTCATTATAAGGCCTGGAGAGCCCAGTTGAGGTGGTTCAGTTCAGCAAACCAGATCAACAATTGGGTCACACCGTCTACAGAAAACCCACACACACAGATAGATATCTACATAAAAACTCCAACCATCACCCAAGTCAAAAAAGAAGCACCATTAAAACCTTGGCAGACCGTGCAAAAAGAATCTGCGAACCCCACCTCCTCCAAGATGAACTGAACCACCTCAACTGGGCTCTCCAGGCCAATGGATACTCCACCTCAGACATCAGAAGAGCTGCAAGACCAAGAACAAGCCACGAGAGTAAAGATGAAGATCCACCCAGAGGAAAAGTGTTCCTGCCATACATCAAGGGAACCACTGACCGCATAGGGAAGCTGATGAGGAAACACAACATACAAACAATCTACAAACCCACCAAGAAAATCCAACAAATGCTACGTTCAGCAAAGGACAAGAGGGATCCTCTCACCTCTGCAGGAGTCTACCGTGTACCATGCAGCTGTGGACAAGTCTACATAGGGACCACCAAACGCAGCATTGCCCAAACACGAATCAAGGAACATGAAAGGCACTGCAGACTACTTCAACCAGAGAAAGTCAGCCATAGCAGAGCACCTGATGAACCAGCCTGGACACAGCATATTATTTGAGAACACAGAAATGCAGGACCACACCAACAACCACCATGTCAGACTACACAGAGAAGCCATTGAAATCCACAAGCATGTGGACAATTTCAACAGAAAGGAAGAGACCATGAAAATGAACAAAATCTGGCTACCAGTATTAAAAAACTCTAAAATTATAACAGCTAAACAACAGAGAGGAAAAAACCAGGCACAGATTAACACCTCCCAGCAACAGATTTTCCCAGGCTCAGGCAGGCCTTCAAATGCTAATGAAGGTGATCAGCTAAACATTCACACCTAACTGCAGCAGGGAAGAGCTCCTTGCCCCACCCCAGCCATTCCACAGATATATAAACCCATTTTTCCTACTTCCAACAGACCTCACACCTCTGAGGATGCTTGCCATAGATGCAGGCAAAACGTCAGGAGAAATGCCTCTAGAACATGGCTCTATAGCCCGAAAAAACCCACAAGAACCTAGTGATTCCAGCCATGAAAGCCTTCGACAATAATAATAATAATAATAACAATCTTTATTTATACCTCGCCACCATCTCCCGATGGGGACTCGGAGCGGCTTACATGAGGCCAAACCCAAACAACAAATTGCAACAGAGTAAAATCGAAAACGCAAACACGAACAATAAACAACAACATCATAATTACATAAAATATGTGAATACATAACAATATATTACTGGTGTTACTGGAGACACCTGTTCAACCCCACAACCTTTGTCTTGTGGGGTTCCTCAGGGCTCAATATTGTCTCCCATGTTGTTTAACATCTACATGAAGCCGCTGGGGGAGATCATCCGGAGTTTCGGGGTACGGTGTCATCTGTACGCGGATGATGTCCAACTCTGTCACTCCTTTCCACCTGCTACTAGGGAGGCTGTCCAGGTCCTGAACCGGTGCCTGGCCGCTGTGACGGTCTGGATGAGGGCGAACAAATTGAAATTGAATCCAGACAAGACAGAGGTACTCCTGGTCAGTCGCAAGGCCGAACAGGGCATAGGGTTACAGCCTGTGTTGGATGGGGTCGCACTCCCCCTGAAGACGCAGGTTCGCAGCTTGGGTGTGACCCTGGACTCATCGCTGAGCCTGGAACCCCAGGTTTCGGTGGTGACCAGGGGAGCATTTGCACAGCTAAAGCTTGTGCGCCAGCTGCGCCCGTACCTTGGGAAGTCTGACTTGGCCACGGTAGTCCACGCTCTGGTTACATCCCGTTTAGACTACTGCAACGCTCTCTACGTGGGGTTGCCTTTGAAGACAGCCTGGAAGCTCCAATTAGTCCAACGCTCGGCAGCCATGATACTAACAGGAGCAGGGCGCAGGGAGCATACAACTCCTCTGCTGCACCAGCTCCACTGGCTACCGGCTACCGGGCTGAATTCAAAGTGCTGGCGTTGGCCTTTAAAGCCCTAAACGGTTCTGGCCCAAGCTACCTATCTGACCGCATCTCTGCCTATGAACCCACCAGGACTTTGAGATCTTCCGGGGAGACCCTGCTCTCGATCCCGCCTGCTTCTCAAGCTCGGCTGGCGGGGACGAGAGATAGGGCCTTCTCGGTGGTGGCTCCTCGGCTGTGGAACGCCCTTCCTACGGACATTAGACTAGCACCATCTCTAATGGTATTCCGCAGAAAAGTGAAGACCTGGCTGTTTGAGCAGGCGTTTGAGTAATTTAGTGCAATCTGGTAATGGAACATAGGAATGGAACAATGGACGACGAACCTGGACTACGCTTGGATGATGAGAGATTGGGTACGGTTGTTTTTTGTAATAATTGTGCATTGTAATTGCTTATTGGTAATTTATGGATAATGTGTTAAGTCAATTGTTATATGTTGTATGGAACCACTGCTGTTTCTACTGTTTTTACTGTTTGTGAACCGCTGTGAGTCGCCTTCGGGCTTGAGATACAGCGGTATATAAGCAAAGTAAATAAATAAATAAATATAAAATTACAATAAGCACAAACACAGTGACAATGGGGGGGGGGGCTACATGTAAGTGATAACTCTTATTTAATGACTGGGAAGTCCATTGACAGCAGACTCTCAGGCCCCTTCCACACATCCGAATAAAATCCCACATTATCTACATTGAACTGGGATATATGGCAGTGTGGACTGAGGGCCCTTCTACACAGCCCTATATCGCAGAATATCAAGGCAGAAAATCCCACATTATCTGTGTGAGATCTTGGCAAGTAATTATATATGTACATATATACCCATGATGGAGGTCATTGTAAACTGGCTTCGGAGGAATGCAGAAAATGCAGATAGTATTAATTAGGTATTTAAATCCTTGCTGTGTTATAGATTGCAAATAAAAGAGAATCATAGCTTCAACTTTGGGAAGGGATGATCTTGTGTTATTTGGCACCAGGCAGATGTTGTTGCTTGTTGCCGGCATGAAGGTCAGGCTGAGTGGTTCTGGAATCCAGGCATCCTCTAACAACCTGTCAAATAAACATTATTTACATGATTATACAAGCCCAAGTAGGATTTAACAGTATTGTGTGTCAGGGGTAGAGTTTTCAGCTGCCTGGGATGTTTTTGCAAAATGGCTAACAGAACTAATATATCTGATTATATTTGGTCTTATGAATATTACATGGATTATTTAGACCCAATTCCAGTTGATGCAAGCAAACTGAAGGCAAACAGACGTAAGTATGTTTCTTTTCTCTATCTGTGAAGCAATGTGGTAAAATAATTGTAACTGAAATGAAAGTGTAAACCCTTCTCCCGTATTATTAATATTATTACATGATGTAATAATGTTTGAAAAAAAAATATTCCTAGTTTGAAAGTGTTATTTCCTGTTTATTTATGTGGTACTTCTTTGAAATAAGTTGTTATACTCCAGAAACTTTGTTTTTCTGGCTGCCACAGACTAGGTTGAATTGGTTGAGACTCTATGAGATATTCATTGAAAAGCTATAGCAAAATGTGCTGCAGGATGTTCTACAAAAACAAAGTTTTTGCAGTTTAATAAATGTTTCCCATGTGTGTTTTTTTTTAAAGATAGAGCCGCTATTGCATAGCATACTGTCTAGGAATGGAGTCAGTTCAGGAAAACTGGAAATGTAGCAAAATCTCTACCACTACCTAAGACTTGGGACCCTTCCACACAGCCCTTTATCCCAGAATATCAAGGCAGAAAATCCCACAATATCTGCTTTAAACTGGGTTATCTGAGTCCACTCTCAAATAATGCGGAATTTTCTGCCTTGATATTCTGGGATATAGGGCTGTGTGAAAGGGCCCTAAGCCATTACCAGAATTATGTTTGCAATTGGTGATCAGCTACCAGGTGATTGCACCAAAGACCGATGTCTCTATAAACTCCATGTGATTAATGCTATGATCTTGTTTCTTCTGCCATATCCCTTTGTGGCTGTTACACATATGGAAACCTATTTCTGCATGTGGATTGCTTATTTGGTTTGTAGATACTGCATTTATGCTAAATAATCATTAGTTAACATTTAGTAATAAATTAAATATCCGATCCTATGTAGAATTTGGTAAGACTGATTTCTATATATGCATTCATATTATTGGATTGTAAGAATATTTACTGTTTTTAACTTTTTATATTGTATTCAGAGTTACAGTGCAATTATTTAGATCTCTCTTAAGAGTTCAGTAGAGTATACACAAAGGCCGTCTTAAGTCAGAGCTGGGAATTGTGTGGCTTTCCAGATGGCATTGGATTGCAACTCCCAGCAGCCCTACACAGGATAGTAAATAGTGAAGAAGTCCTGCAGAGACAGCTACACAGTTCTCAGCTCTAAGGTAAAGCATTGCAATGTTAGTTGTGCTGGACTTAAATACAGTGAAGTAAGTGAGCCTTCATTTAGTCCTATTTCACTGGGTCTACTCAGAGTATAATTAAGTTGTTCTCCAACCCAGTATTCTTATTTGTATTATGAAATTACTCTATTAGAACATTTGGATATGTTTAAACTTTATTTAAAAAGCAATTTGATTCTTATTGAAAATTGCATTCAGACAGAATCTTTAGACATCTCTTACATCCGTCTGAACACTATAAATTACATTTTGATTTTCATTTGAGAAGTTCTATATTTTTAAAAGTAGTATTGAAATGTAAGAAGTATTCGAAGAAAAACTTATTAAAATAGTTTTACATGCAATAAGATTTATAATTGTCACATTTATTTTTGACAGATTCGATTATCATAGCTTTTTGGATTGGGCTGGCATCTTTTGTGGCATTTCTCTTTTTCATTTTGTTCTACATGTCGCAGTCTGATTCTCCACTGGGGAAGTAAGTGTTTTCACGGATCAATCTGTTTCCCAACATTTAGGAAAAGGTTATACAAGGGAAGGAGTGCTTGTTCCTAACTCAGAAATGATTTATGGATCCTGAGATGATAATCCAAACTTCAAATTTAGTAGAATGGAAAGACATAATAGTTTTTGTCTGGTTTAGTATCCACTAATCTGTATTGTAGCACTAATGGAAAGAAATGTGCTGCATAATTTTTGTCAATGTCTACATTAGATGCATTTTCTTTCTCAAAAGTGCTACAATACCCCTTTTCATATCAAACTCCTAAGGTAATTATTCTAAGATAATGTATAAAATACATATTAGCTGATGGCTTAAATATGTTTTCTATGTCACCTGTTAAGTTCATTTATTTTGAATTATGTCAAGTATGGTCTTTAAAATTAGACAATAACTTAGAAAAACCAAGCAGCAAACCACAAGAAAATGTGCTAAGTAATGCAAAAATTGTAATTCAAACATATAGAATGAAAACATGACAGGAAAATTACATCAGGTATAGGAATCATATGGACCTCTAGATGTTGGTTTGATCCTCACAGCATCTCTTATCATTGACTATGATGGCTTTGACGAGCTGGTGGACCATATCATTCCCACCCCAGGTTAGAGCAACTTAAGTCAAATTTTAAAACTTTATTTCCCTCCACTTTCATTTACTTTCTGTGAAATCTTAGCTGCTTGGACTGAGAAATCAATTATTTTTAGACAGCAAACAGATCCTTGATTTGCAATTAACTAATGCAGGGATTTGTCATTCAAAATGTAGAAGTTTGCTGCTTTTGGAAATAAAAATTATGCTGATGTTCCTCTTAATTACAACATTTCAGGAACATTTTACATTGAATTGTTGAGAAAAGAATGCCTACCTGCCTACTGTCACGTTCCCATATATGAGGCATTTCTAAAGGCACATTAATATTGCAGGTGCTTATATGGCCTGCCATTTCCAAACAGTAAGGATCAGGAAACTGTGGCTCTCCATATCAGCATTTTGAGTTCCCACTGACCTTCTGCTGCCATATATTTTACTAGCCGTCCCCTGCCACGCGTTGCTGTGGCCCAGTGTGTATATGTGTTTTGTGTGTGTATATATTTGTGTATATGTGTATATATGTATGTTTGCATATGTGTGTGTGTAGTTTTGTGCATGCATTGTAATGCATTAAAAAATGGCTTTCTAAGTCTCATCCGCTATGTTTTTCAGTGTTTTTATGAGTGATGGTCACTCGTTGGCCTGATACATGTATTGTGTTTATATTTGGTGTCAATTCGTCCAGTGGTTTTTGAGTTATGTTAATCCCACAAACAAACATGACATTTTTATTTATATAGATGGGAGACTATTATTCTCCCATATTTGTTTACAGGAATCGAAGACTAGAGAAAAGATTTCTGAGAAATTATTCAAAGAATATCCATCAAAATCTTGGCACAAACCACGATAGACCAACTTCTGATGACAACAGAGTGGAAGAAATTGAAGGGATCTGCTCAGATAGTAGGTCACCATGTCATAGTCTGAATAATATGGTTTGAACGTTCATCAAAGTTTATACAAAAAATATATTACAATAGAAGTTGCCTAGAAGGAGCTTCATTAAGAATAAGTAATCAATTTAGTATACTTGTTTGAAAGCAGAAGTTGCAAAATGACACAATCAAAATTACCTAAGGTGTACAGTGAAATGACAATTTTTCAATTTGAATCAGAAGCAGATTTAGAATAATAAGCATGTATGAAATCGGTTTCATTAATCCCCCACAGAACAAATATTGCTAATTTCTTCCATTGTTACTCAATGTTTTGTATAATATAATCTGTTAATGACAGACTACCCTGGAAATATTTGATTGCCTGTCCTAATTTATTTTCAAAACATTAAATGGAAAAAAATTGATATGGATTTTATTTTTATTGGAATATGCTGCATTCTTCCTTACTTGTTCTATCATAAATGCTTTTAAACCATTTTAAAGTTACTTTTGTTTTTAATAGGTGAATTGAATTTATTACAATTGAGTTGAACTGCATTCTGTCTTGATCTGTGTTGTGAATTGTCTTGGATCTCACATTAGAAGCTCAGCTCACAAATAAATGAAATAAAAGTAATGAAATGTTACCCAGCTGGAGTATGTGATGTTCTGAACCTTTATTTTGTTTATCAGAGAAATTATGGTAAATTATGGCTATGTGTATAGTGCATAATATGGGTATAGATCCCTTTTACCCCACGAAACTCCCTTTCCTCATCTTCTAACTCAAACACAGGCAAACTTTGGCCCTCCAGGTGTTTTAGACTTCAATTCCCACAATTCCTAACAGCCTACCGGCTGCTAGGACAAGTTGAAGCCCATAATATCTGGAAGGCCAAAGTTTGCCCATGCCTGTTCTAACTGGAAATTGTTGATTATTTTGGGGTTTGTTTTTACACCTTTGGGATAATAGGAGATGGTGAAGGAGCACTAGGGAGATACAGGCTTTCCGTGTCAGGTTGCAGCAGTGTGTTTGGAATAAACAATGCAAGAAGCTTAAGTTATGAAAGAGTAGTATAGACCTATGAAAGAGTAGTATAGGTTCTCAAGGTGTGCTCTGTGAAGCCCTTTGGGGCTCCACGGTTCCCTACTCCCTCCCTCCTCCTCCTAGCTTTTCTTGCTCTTTCCTGTTCCTCCTCCTCCCCCATGACCCTTGCCCTCAAAATTCTTTTTTCCTCATTGCCCAAATATTTTCCCCTCACCTTCCTTGCTTCCAAAGCTCCATTTCCTTCCCAACATACAGGAGGTGCTTTGATTGTACATTTCCTGCATGGCAGAAGTGGGGGGTTGGACTGGATGGCCCCTGGGGTGGCTCCTGTTGTTGTTGTTGTTGTTACTATTACTACTAGTAGTAGTAATACTACTACAAAGGCTGGATGGCCATGTGTTGAGGATGCTTTGATTGTGTTTTTTTCTGCATGGCAGAAGGGGGTTGGACTGGATGGTTCCTGGAGTCTTCTAATGAAATACTTCTACGTTTATGATGGTTTAAATTGTTCTTCATTTTAAATATTGTTTTGTTCTCTATCTTTTTTCGAACTACAAACAAGATATGTGCCGTGTGCATAAGAATGTAACTCTGAAGGAATGTTATTTTGATGCAATGTCACAAGTTTATTTTACTGTTTTGGACTCTGCTGAACAAGAGTAAATTTGCTTTTCCTCTTTTGTGTGTTGCTCCTGTGTCTTTGATGGACAAGCTTCTGTATTAACTGTAACAGGTTCTACTGGCAATGTTATACATATCTGAAACATGGGCAATAACAAAGTTAGAGGAGGAAAAACTGGTGATGACGCAATGAACAATGGAAAGAAGGATGTGTGGTGTGACAATAAAAGATAGTCAGCAGTAAAGAGCTGTGTCAAAGAACCAGGATACATGGCATGGTCAGTGAGATCAATGAAGCAAAGAGAAGTTGGGCAGAGCATATAGCACAAACAAAAGACAACCGATGGACATGGTGACTGAAGAACTAGATACCAAGAGACCACAAGTGGCCCTTGGGCAGACTTCATACTTTATGAGACTAACCAATGGTTAAGCTGTCAGGCAAGAAATGGAAAAGAAAAGTACAGGATCTTATATTTTGGCAAATGATAGATTTGTGTGAAGCCCAAAGGAGCAGGTCGACGACAAATCAAATAGAATAGAACAGAATAGAATAATTGATGGGAAACTGCTTTACAAGCTGGGTATTTTCTGCTGTTTTATAAAAATTGTATAGCATATATCCATGTGTGATTAAAACAGCATCTTTGTTCTTATACAACCAAATATGTTTACATTACAGATACAATTTAATTTACTTTAAGGAAATAAAAATGATTTTTAAAAATCTAAACAGTTTAAACCTAGAAAATATTGCCTCAGCAATTGGATCGTTTTATTAATTTGCAGCCTTTAACACAGTTTTTTCCTCCTTGGGGTGTGCTGTATATTTCAGTTACAGTTATTTATCACCACACTGACATTCCTTGAGAAATAGTTATTTATAATTTATAATAACTGAATAAGTAAACAAATAATTGCAAGTAACTTCCAGGCTAGTACAATATAGCGGCTCATGCTATGCTTTTGTAGCAGTTCAACATTTATTTAGTTTTCATCCAAAAATTCCAACTTCAGGCATTATACATTGTTTCTGTAGCAGCCAAGAACAACATAATATTATAAAAATTGTCCTAAAATCCAGCTTTGACAACTTCTGTAAAAATTAAAAGAAAAATATATTTAAAGTACTTTAAAAGGTACAGAATTATTTTAATGTTGCTTCTTTACAAAATATATGTTATAAATACAAAAGTTATTTCCTGTTGGTTTCCCACATAATTTTAACTATTAGACAGTATGATACATTCAATAAATTCTTAGGACTGAAAAATGGGCAGTGAGTAGAGATCTTTGCACAGAGAAACCACTGGTTCTTCACATTCCCATATTTCTTGATCCTTGTTTTGTTTACTGGCTGTTGCTTCATGTATTAATTTGATATGATTTATAAACATATCTGGCTGCTCTGCTCCCAGCCAACAGTCTCCAATGTAAACAGAAGTGAGAAACATGCCTGCAGCTAGGAAAGAAGATAGTCATAATCAAATTCTAGTTTTTAGCATTTGATTTTTCATACTTTATTTGTTGTTTATTAAAATATTTATACCCTGCCCTACTTCAAAAGATCTTAGTGGTTCTTACAGATAAACTGAACAAGTTAAACAGATAAAATCAATAAAAATAACCAAAATAAACTATATATAAAACATCAAAATGAGTTTAAAATACACTGCATATTTTACATAACAGTAATAGTATTATTTTTTTTTGAAAATGAATTTTCACTCTAGGAACCACCATTTTCTTTCCCCATATTCATGAATATTAATTGATATTCATTAATATTCATATTAATGAATATGTAGGATATTTAGAATGTACTGTCTGACTAAAAATTCTAAAAACAGTTACACCAGAAACTTAACCATATTTGCCAGACCTATACAATTGATTTTCTCCTCCAAAATGTAATTTCAGTAGAAGACACTGTTTTATATCACTAATGCTAATTAATCTGTTAATACATTTCAGGAGGATATTATTACATTACAATAAGGGGCAGATTTCAAGAAGTGTTATGCAATAAGTAGAAAAGTGTATCTTTAGTTTCCATACTGATTTCTTGCTGAAAGCAAAGTAAGTTACCTTTCTTCATTGTGTCCTCCTTTGTCATCGCAGAAAGATAGAACTTCTTCATAATTTCATGAAAATCCCCTTTGTTTAATTCCGGAGAATCGAGCAGTTGAAGCATGATATCATTAAGCAGAGAGAGATCACTCAGTTCCACCGTTTTGTCCTCATTGCCCTTCCAGATGCTGTTGTAAATCTTAAATATACAGTTTCTCAGAATTCCATCTTTAAGAATCATCTCTACCACCGTGCTGTTTTGTAATACACTCTTTTTAAGCCACTTGAATGTCAAAAGCACATCTTGTACATTAAGCGTGCTGTCAATATTGGACTTTACTAGCCAATTGAATACTAAGTAAGCAATCTTATATGTCAGATCCGGATTACTATATCCATTCTGCTCTTCTGAATACTTTTCTGGTGTGTCAAGAAACACAGGCTCCCAGTGGACAAGTACAGATCTTAGAACTGATCTGCAGTCATCTAAATGCAATTGCTTCCTGTCCAAGGCAGTTTCTGTTTCAATTATATCATTCTTCTGAGGAAGTCGTAATGATGTTCGGAAAGGCATCTCTGGTTTCTTTTTTTCTTTAATATTTCCTGTACAGGAAAAAAAAAAAAAAGAGGGGTGCAGAAACCTCAAATAATTGAGAAAATCAAAAAGGGGACTTTTTGGAGAAAGGACATGAATTAATAATCTGATAATGAGGCTGAGAAAAACAGATTTAAGATAACACTGTTACACAGAACCATTTTCTAGCGGACTGTGGTGGTAATCTAGAAAATTTCGGTTGCATTGACTAAATCTCAAAAAGATAAATGCCTCATCACCAAAAGTCCAAATGTGAGCTATTGTCTAAAGTGCAGATGGGTTTTTACACACAACTTATTTTTGGACAGTAGAAATTATCATATTCAGATGAGTTGGTCATTCAAATTCTGGTATCCGGTAATGAACCAACTCAGCCACAACTTTTTGTGATCAAGCCTTTGGAGAACCCATGCAGTAGATAGATATGGAATTATGTGCAATGACTATTGGAACAGCCCAGATTACGATTGCAGACAGCGTGGTTAATGGTGCAGCTATTGTTTTAAATGTTTTAAAATATTTTAATGCATTTTATCATTCTATTTTAAAATGTTTGTTTTAATTTTGCATTGTTTTAAGGCATCAAATAGTTGCCTATGTGTAAAGCCGCCTCGAGTCCTCTCCGGGGTTGAGAAAAGTGAAATAGAAATGTCGTAAATAAATAAATAAATCTTGAGGGAGCTGGAATTCAACAAATGTACATCAGTTACTCAAAAAAGTAAAGAAAATGTTGTTTATTGTACTTTCTACATCAACCAATCCAAAAATTGTTCAAGTACTTCTTAAAAACAAAATAAGAAATAGGTTCTTGTGGGTTTTCTCGGGCTATAGGGCCATGTTCTAGAGGCATTCTCTCCATGTTCTAGAATGCCTCTAGAACATGGCCCTATAGCCCGAAAAAAAACCCACAAGAACCTAGTGATTCCAGCCATGAAAGCCTTCGACAATACAAAATAAGAAACCATATATCCCTCTCATTAATGTTCAGAAAAGGAAGAAAGTGATTTGTTGGATTCCCACTGGCTTTGTTTTATTTCAAAAGTACATGCCAATAATGTCAAATGCCAGTTATCAGTTTAAACCAAAATATGGATGGGAAGAAGTAATACTAAATGAAAAAATGCAGAAAGACAGGAACTGCAGGCTGAACATGAAGCAATCCAAGTTTAATTCATTTAAATGCTTCCCGGTGTTGCAATAGGAATCTAAACAAGCCTACAAAAGTCAATGAAATGTACCTTTCTTTTCAAAGACATAGTTAGTCTGGAATATCAGTATGCAGAGATTGTGTAGCCAGCTCTTTAAATATTAACTGAAAGTCTGTTTTCTCAGATGCATGATCCTATTGACTGTATTATGCACAATTGCATTTAAAAGATATACCTTTTTTTAAAAAAAATGATGTTATTAATTTTTATTTCCTTTCAAACACTGATTGCTTTAAGTTTTTGGCTCCTAGAAATTTTCAAAATTATTTGCCTGATAGTCACAATTCAATATAAATCAATAGCTTATATTAAACCAATGGCATTTTTAGAACTTACTAAGCAAGTCTTTAATTTGGTACTGTTGTGCAATTAGTTGCAGATTATCTTGAAGTTCCAAATTTTTGCCGATGATGCTCCATTTGTGCAAGAGCAGCAGGACATCTTTGTTGGACAGGACATGCTTGTTCACAGTAAATCTGCCCATTTCTCTGAAGGCCTCAATGACCAGAGCACGGTATTGTAGGACAGAACTTAATGTGCTGAAAAACTGAATCAGGTTAGGAAAATCCAAGCTGGCCCTGTTTCGGAAAAGAAAAAGAAAACAGTTTATCTTTGCAAATTAAAGGTGCGCAAAATGCAGTTTGTTGGCTACATACAGCCTCCACGTTTCCTTGTGGGGGGCGGTTCTTGTCCCATGTAGCCCAGGAACACCCCTGGCCTCACAAGAATGCTCAGGTGAGCCTTTTGAAAACATATGGTTCTAGAAAAAGGTTAGAAGGGAACCCAAAAACAAGGCAAAATGACTCCTAGGCCATTGGCCTAGTTTTTTGGGAAGGGAAATGGCTTACTATTGTGAAGTAGGGCGTACATAAAAAGTAATGTGCTGGCACCAGTTTACACGCACACATACAGATAATATAACTTTATTCAACTTGTATAAAGTCACTGTTTTTTCTTAAATAACTTTTGTCATGAAGCAAGTGAACATTATATTCATTCCTGCCCCAGACCAAAATAAAGAAAAAGAAAGAAAGAAATTGAGGAGATCAGTTATAACAAAGGAATGCAGTAAAATAAAAATGCTACTGGGTTCACTTATGCTTTCTTATGAAAGCGCAATCGCACTATTTTTTTAAATACAGGAGTTCACATGCTGAATGTGCACCAGTAACGCATCAATTTTCATACTTTCCAAAACCCATTTTTCTGCTGTGAGAATACGAAGTTATTCAGTCAACACTACTTACATATTTCATACATATTCTTTTTGTCTGAGGTCAATTGCCTATGTCTCTGCTGTCTGACCATATTGTATTTTAAACAGAAAACAAATCAAGAAAGATCGGTCTTAAGGGAAAATTTATCAAGGACCAAGATCGGAGAACTAAGGCTTTAAAAAATCTATTCCATTGAGAAGTCACAGACTGAAAAATTAACTTCAACAGAGCTTTTCCTCTGCTCAGAAAAGTATTTCAACACTAAGGCCATCTTGATTATATTTAGAAACAAAAACAAACATGGAGTACTCAAGGCAAGCTTCAAGTGAACACAGATCAGTACACTGCTTAGGCCTTGGAAAGATAAGGTCAATTCAGCAAAACTATTTCACAATATTCTAGATAAGCCAATTGGAAGGAAAAAAAGATTTGCTGCCATTCATAATGAAAAACAAGGTGTTAATTATCAGGGATTGCAATAATTAAAAACAGTATGGAAATGTTTAATGTTAAATAGCAGTACAACTGCATGACACCTTTGAAAACAGGATACCTACCGAATGTGTTTAAGAAGAGTGATCAAAATGTGGAGAAATTCACTGATGAACTGGAGGGGAAGGAATTTCTGATTCACCAGTTGCTCCTTATTGTGAGGCAATCCAAGAGCCTTTAGCTTATCTCCCAAATTTGTGACCCAAAGATTATGGACTAAGGAGATTATCTGATTTAACACTTTATTTTCTAAAAACCTAGGAAGTATATAAATAAAAATAAATATAAACTTTTTATTTACAGACTCATTCTGTCTTGTTTATATATACTTCTACACATGTGTGAAAATATAAATATACATTATTTCATAGTAAAGAGATCTTTTGAAAGAAGATTTTTCTTTCAGAGCTTAAGTTCACAAACAGAACTGAAGTTCACAAAATATTATCTTTAAAGATTTTGATTCCCCTTTAATCAATTGATGTAAGGAATTAGACTGAAAAAAAGCTTTAAAACACACATCAGGATTCTAATGAACATTTATGCCCCCAAATCTGCAATCTGAATCTTTACAGTGTATACATTAGAGCAGGGGTGTCAAACTCATTTTCACCGAGGGCCACATCAGCCTTATGGTTGCTTTCAAAGGGCTGGCTGTAACTGTAAGATTATATAACTATATCACTCTGACAATGAAATCCTCATGGGCCACATAATATGACATGGAAGGCTGGATTTGGCCTGCAAGCCTTGTGTTCAACATATGTGCATTAGATAATGCACTGTATAGTGTAAAAGATGCTATGAAATTAGACATTTATGCCTTATGAAATCAAACTTCTGATAACTCTCCACAATCTGCTTTAAATGTGTGCAGAATCCTCAAGACAAGGAGTGGATAGGTGCAGATGGAAAGAGAATAAGGAATTCCACTTGGGAAGGCTTTAACCACAAATTTCGGGCATGCAAGTGGTATTTTAGGAATTGGCAATGCAGTCATGAAAAGGAAACCATGTTAAGTAGCACAACAGAAGGGGTGGAAATTGTATGGTCATCCAGACTTTGGAGAACTGCAACTCCCACAAGTTCTAGCTACTGCTGCAAAAAGGGAAAAAGGTTTACAACTGCAATGTTTTATTGATGCAAGCCCAGAAAGTGTTGGCTGCTTATATAAGTGTTAACTGTAGCAGTGGAAGTGAAGGTTTTGTCAGCATGGGGAAAGGGTCTCATTAGAGTAGAATCATAGAACAATAGAGTTGGAAGTGACCACATGGGCCATGTAGCCCAACATCCTTCTGCCATGCAGGAAAAGCACAATCAAAGCAAGTAGTTGGTGTACCAGCTGAATCTTATCCTTGAAAACTGCCTGGCAACATCTGGGTGCAATTTGCTTCAATTTAGATTTATACAGCTCCTTGTGAATAAAGTCTTCTGAAGTTACTAAGTGGAACAGTTGTGTTTCAGCAGCACTGGACAATGCCATAGGAGACACCACTGCTAGCAATTTGACCTTTACGGAAGATGTTAGCAGATACTGAGAATTGCGGTATATAAGCGCAGTAAATAAATAAATAAATACTGATTTGATCTTTAAATCAGAAAACATGGTCCTTTCAATTTAAATTTTTGAGAAGACAATAAAAAGATTGGGTTGTTGATATTGGATTTTATTTGTTCCCAGAAACCATTTAGGCTTTTAAGGAAATATTATTAAAGTAAGTTGTTTAGTTACTATCTTATTTCATTCCATTTCAAGGACACTTAAAGTGTTACATCATCCCCTTGCGGTAAACAAGGAAAATGGAACACATGTACATCAATAAAATAGAATGCTTCTTCTAAGAATGGTTCAACAAAATAAGCTAACATAGCAGATTGCTCTTGACTCCTTGGATGTGTAATAATAATTTTGCAGGTCCATCTTAAAACATAATACTTTGTGTCATAGGAATACCAACTTCAGAATAATGTCTACAGACTGAATTTTCAACAAGGTCAAGGATTTGAGAACAAATTTTGAACTCTGCTGTGAACAATTGCTCTTTATGGGGATTGTAAAAAAATCTCTATATAACAGAAGTACGTAAATGGCTTAAGGTTGTTCTGACTGCAAGCAATGACCTACACCAGCAACAAAATTACCTCACGTGTGTGTTCATTTAAAATGTGCAAAAAAAAAAAAAAAGAAAGAAAGAAAGAAAGAAAGAAAGAAAGAAAGAAAGAAATGAGGTATCTTGAATCTACCTTTTCTCTAGGACAGATAATATCCAAGTTAAAAGACTATGATCTCTTATGAGAGTATAGGCCGCTTTTGTGATATATGCTGCATTTTGGAGTATTTGTAGAATCTGGTACTGGAAGACAAAACAACAGATAGTAACTTAAGAAATAATAAAAGAGTCTGTAGTTCCTTAAAACTAACCAGCAAGTGACAAACTGAATCAGTCATCAAATAATCTGACCCTGAGGTTTCAAAAGTTAGAGGTTGCATCCAACTGTGTCCCTTTGCTAAAGGAAAGCTCCTTGCTCTATGTAAGCAAATAAGTGAAGCATTCTGTGAATAAATGGTGGAGAGGGGCAACTTTTGCCAATTCCTTTTTCTTGTGGGCTTCATTGCCCTCTTTACTCCCCCACTTCATTCCAATCCAGTGGAGAAGGATGAGGAGGCAAAGAGGCTTTTCTGTGACCAGCTTTTCTGTGATCAAAGACACACAATCAAATGCAACCCACAATATCTAGCAAGATATAGGACATTTTACTTTCAACCTTATAATTACTGTATGCACAGCATAAATCCCCTCTTTCTAACCAAAAGATCAGGTTGCCATCATAATTAGAGCAGGAAAGAGAGAAGCAAAAGCTAATTCGTCATGAAAAAATACGTTTTCATTCATCTCCTTTTCAAGAGTACATAATAAAAGGTTTTTTTATCATAATTAGAATGTTCCACATTTTGCACAGCAATTTTCCATTGATACAAAAGCATAATCTTTTTAATTATTTCACGGCAAAATACCACCAGAAAACTGTTTACAATAGCTTTCTTTCAACTGAATACAACATGAACATAGTATATAGTGGTAATTTGTGAGCCAACTTGGGAGGGTTACTTCAAAACGGCAGAGGGAGTCAACCCCCTCATTCCATAGTACAGTGCCTTGGTGCCATAATGTAGAGTAGATTTACAAGAGCAGCTGATGACTTCTATTACACTTCCAGTTGTTTATGTAAGTATACCACAACCTCTTTGCATCTAACGTTTTCAACAAGTTTAATATGTTTTCATTTGAACAGACTCCTGAACTCTATGTGAGAAAGTATGGTTCTCTCCTTTTTAGAGTTTTAAGTTTTCCATTAGTACATAACATATACAACACAATAAGCAAATTACAGAGTTCTATTTATTTCCTGTTTAGAGAGCCAATGTGGTTTTAGAATTGGCATATTTCTTTGGAAACTAGGGTTCAAATTCTTGTTTGGTCCCGAAAAGTCACTGGGTGACCTTGGACAGTCACACTCAGTCTCTGAGGAAAACCATGGAAAACTCCCTCTGACTAAATCTTGCTAAGAAAATACTGTTACGTCCACCTTGAAAGAATTCTTCTGTTTAGCTGATTAACACTCTTCATAGCCTAATAAGCAAAACTATGCAAATCTATTCCAAGTTGACATCACATTATGCTCAACAAAGATTAATTATGGAAACTGCAGACTTTCAAAACAAACCTAGATATGATTTACAGAAATAATAATCAATGACTCCGTGAACAGATTTTACAATTTCTAATACACAGTAAATACTAGAATACTCTGTACAAGGTATCATGCTGGCCACAGAAGTGAGAATACTTGACATGTAAAAGCTAACTGGATTACTTTCACATATAACTGAACAAGAGTAGTTTTAATGTTGAATTAATTCTCTATTACCTGGGTGGCTTCATCACACAATGGGCTATGGAAGAATGACAGGATGACATGGAAAATTCTCTGGTAATCATATAGCTCATAGCAGTGTTTGTCTCTGAGTCCTTCGCTAATAATTGCTAGGGACCATTCACGTTCCATTTTGTGCTGCAACATAAAAAGGAAACAAAGCATTTAGAGAAACAAATACAAAACAAATAAAACATGGTGGATGACGGAGAGGCTTTTAGGACCAGTGGGGCCTCTAAATTCAGTAAATTCATAATAACGGGCAGAATGTCTTGGAAGCAGCACAGATTTTGCATGGATCCTGCATGGACCGGCACAATCCCAGTGCCTTCAAGGATGGTAGGACCGAACTCAAAGCTGACAATACTGACCTTCTCTGATGAAGTCCTAGCAGAATCCATTGGTACAGTGACATTAAGTAGATGGTAATGAAGAGTGCAAAGCAATGTGTGTAAAGGTTTTGAAAAGAGACCTGTTCTGGATGGCGAGATCAGCCATGTTGATCTGACCCAGTACATCCGTGATAGCACATGGAAAAAACCCGAGGATCTTTGTGTGGGAACTGTACAAAGCATTTGCAGGGAGGGGGCTTAGGGAAGAAATCTAGTGCTAGACATTTTCAAAGTTAGAGGCAAATCAACATTATCCACATTTCCTTATTTTAATTTTTTTAAACCCTCCATTTGCATTATGTTTTCAAATAAACAGTGAAATGGTAGAAGAAAAAAGACAACTTAATGTTTGTCTAAGGCAGTGGTTCTCCACCTGTGGGTCCCCAGATATTTGGCCTTCAACTCCCAGAAATCCTAACAGCTGGTAAACTGGCTGGGATTTCTGGGAGTTATAGACCAAAACATCTGGTTGAGAACCACTGGACTAATAATTGTCAGAAGACCATAAAATACATATAACTAAACAATTTGTGATCTTTTGCAATGCTCAGTATATAGCACTGAAGATCTTGAGTGATGCCTTCATCCATAAACTTAAAACTTAAAAAGAGGTGTTCACTGCAGCAGATAAATCAACATACAAAAACACCGAGTTTCTGAGACACACCTGACAGGTACAAAAATTTTCATTACATTCCAGATGCTCTAAATTTCAATCAAAAAGCGTTACTCTCTTTAGTAATGGCAGTTCACACAATATACATTTCTAATTACCTCTAAATCAAAACTGTAGAAAAGTTGAAAAAATCCTGGCACTTTCTTCAGATCTAAAAATTGGTGAGACAGCAGGAACTTGTTCAGCTTTGTATACATGTGTTCCTCTGTGGGAGGCAAAAGTAGAATGGTTATTGTAGCATACAGATTGTAGCATACAGTGAGCAACCTGGCTGCCATCCATTGGACTGTTTGAAGCTTCTGAACAGTCTTCAAAGGCAACCCCATATAGAGCACATTGCAGTAGTCTATTCGAGATGTTGACCACCATGGCCAAATCTGACTTCCCAAGATATGGATGAAGCTGGCGCAAATCTTTACATACTGTATGTTTCTTATTTTCCTATGAACTTCTTGTTGATCTATTCCACAACAATCCATTCCTAAATCATTAGAGTCAACCTTTATTCTTGAGCATTTGTTAGAGGCATTGAAGTGCATCTACAAAACCTTAAGCCACAATCAATTTACTAATCTTTAAGAAAGCACGAAACACTTAGTTGTTTTTGCTGAAATAGTGACATAGCTGCCTCTCATGAAACTGTTAGCTCAACCTCAAAGTCATCCTTATCATTTAAAGAAATAAAACATAACATTTTAAAAATCAAAGAAAAGGTTAGCAAAAATATTCTTCTCTTGTAAAGAAAAGATCAGAGGAAAACAACGTAGCTTCTTTTCTGTATTACCTGGATTCAGCATTTGCTGAGCTACTCTAGATATATAGAGTGTCAGAGGGAAAGTAAATTTCAGATTTGGTTGTCTGATTCCATTTTGTACAACATCCATAAGGTAGAGCAACTGCAGCATTAAAGAAAGAGAGAGAAACAATTAGAAAGCAGGTTGCACAAGCTCGGCAATTGCTCAATTACGCTAATGAAATCAGAGGTTTTTAAACATCAGGATTTTCTTTACAGGAAAAAATATCCTTCAATGCATTGTGTCCTCCATATGTTTGGAAATTAAAATGAAATAACTCAATCTCAATTCAAACATAAATATTATAACCCTGAAGTAAGATAAAAGAAACCATGCCCTAGAACAAACATTACAGGAAGGAAATAATAAATTCAATATTCAGATTCACTCATATGATGTTGTACACATACACTGAAAATCTGGAGAACTTCCTGGGTGAAGGAAATTGTACAACAAAATAGAAATCAGACATATAATCACATGTCAATAGAGGAAAACGAGCACTTGACATTAAATCCCCTTGACATTAAATCTAGTCATGTCTGACTCTGGGGCATGGTGGTGCTCATCTCCATTTCTAAGCTGAAGCGCTGGCGTTGTCTATAGATGTCTCCTAGGTAATTCGGCCTGCATGGCTGCATGGAGCGCTATTACTTTCCCACTGGAGCGATACCTATTGATCTACTCAAATTTGCATGTTTTTGAACTGCTAGGTTGGCAGAAGCTGGGGCTAACAGTGGGAGATCACCCTGCTTCCAGGATTTGAACCACTGACCTTTCGGTCAGCAAGTTCAACAGCTCCACAGTGTAATCCACTATGCCACCAGGGCTTAAAAGAACTAAAATGTTAACTTCTTCTTACCTGTTTTTGTTCTCGAAATCGAGCCCCTTCCAGATGAGAACGAAAAGCATTCAGGACATAGTATGCTGCTGCTCGCATGTTAGGATCATAGCTGCTAAGGGCTGCTACTACTAGGCCCAGAGCATTGACATCAACAAATTTCTGGCAGGCGACCACACATTCTATGGGGAAGGAGGAGGGAAATCATTTTAAGAGGTTTGCAACAGCAAACGCAAAAGATAATTTACAGATAAGTTGTAGATATGCACCTTAACATTACAGCACCTCTTCTACAGATGTAATAAAGGTCTGGGTAAAAAATAGTTCTCTTTGCTGTATTATGCTGGAACAAGGCACAACTCAGTGTAAAATCACACTGAACTGCTTCAATTGAAGTGACTGTCCTCCCCAAGTCAAAGAACGTAACCTATTTTGCACCTAATTTCTAATGTGTCTTGTACTCTAACTTCATATGTAGCCCTATCATTCGTTTTCTTTTTCCTCCTCCTATGATCAATGAGACCAGGTATTTTATTAGAAATGAAAATGGATCACTTATAACCACACCACTGTACATGAGGGGATTATTTTTTGTTATGTATCTTCAAGTGAACTTTGGTTTATGTCAACCTTATCAAAGGGTTTTATTGAGAAAAGGTTTGCCATTGCCTTTCTCAAGGTTGAGGGAGTGATTTTTTTCAAAGCCATCAACTGGGTTTCCTAAGTGGGGATTCAAACCGTGGCATCTAGAGTCCTATGTCCAATATTTAAATCATGATTCACGATGAATACAAATAGCTAGAAAGGTCTTGTATTCACGCCTATGTGTGGAGTAGTTATTCCAATCCAAGCAAGTGATTGTGAGCCCAGAGCAGTTGACAGCCCTGTCTCCATTACAATCCCTCTGCCTTTTTGAGAGGGACATTGTGTTGACAAACAAAGAATTTTGTTCTTTCTTTTATGAAGAAGACCTAAATTAACTAGCTGAACATTAATGTGGAAATCTGAATATAGATCATGGAAGGAAACAGTTACAAGAGGATCTGTCATTTAAAAATGAAAGCAACACTGACCATGCAAAGTAAGAAGTTTAATTCTTGTTGGACCTGCAGTTGTTTACAGAACCTTGGAGAGCTCAGAGGGGAAAGCGGTTGCGATAAGTATTCTAAATATTGCCAGAGGGATCTCTCCAAGCTCTGCTCTTATTTGTTGTATAATTTGGAGGTTTTATACACCGTGGTGAGCAATTATGGAACATTTGCCTGCAGGGTGCTGCTGTAACATACGCAGGAAGTAAAAATATAACAGAGGTCCTTCAGGCCACCTGCTGAAACAACCCAGGATGTTAAGGATTGTTTTGTAGGTCGTGATCAGAGTGAGGGAAGTTGTAGTACATTCAAAAGCTTGCATAGGAACATAATTTTTGTAAAAAATAATTATTTGCATAACAAAAGAAAGCATTGTGGCATACAGTGAGTGCGGGGAAGCTTTTGCGATCTGATAAATAGACCAGCCACTGAGGCAAAGCGAAAACAAACAAGTTCTGTAATTTGGATGGCATTACTGAAAAAGACAAAATGCAGGAAAGATAATTTGATAAACACTCAGCTTTGGCTGGAAATGGGATTATTATACCTGGAACCTAAGCTATAGAAAAGTAACGTTTTCACATCATATTCATAAAACACCCAACGAAAGGAAAAGGTAAAAGTTTTCCCTCGATATTAAATCGAATTGATTTTGCCTCTGGATGGTGGTGCTCATCTCCATTTCTAAGCCAAAGCGCTGGCGTTGTCTGAAGACACCACCTAAGACATGTGGCCGACATGACTGCATGGAGTGCTGTTACCTTCCAGCTGGAACAGTACCTATTTATCTACTAACATTTGCATGTTTTTGAACTGCTAGGCTGCTAGAAACTGGGGCTATCAACGGGAGATCACCTCATCCCATGGATTCGAACTGCCGACCATCTGGTCAACAAATTCAGCAACTCAGCAGTTTAACCTGCTGTGCTACCACGGCCCCCAGCTGCTAACACCCAGCTGACCAGAAAAGAATAGGCCTGAGAGACAAAAACTAAATGTGAAAGCAGAGACTGCAGTAATAAAACTACTATTCTTCCCACCTCAAAAAGAAAACTAAAATAGAGGGGAGGGGAGGGGGGGGGGGTGCAAAATCCTCCATGAAAACAGGATATGAAAAGAAGCTAAGTTTTCCAAAAATAAGCATGGTGGGAGGAGACTGACAATCCAAAAATGGAAATCCCTTGCCCCCTCACCAGATGGACTCGTCAGGTTGGGGGGCTAAAAACTGTTACCAGCCCACTTATTTTGAGGACCACATGCCCCAGACAAATGTGTTGACTACACAATGTCTCAATCTTTCCTCATACATTCCCTTGGTAATTATGCCTGCTGTGCATCTATCTCAAAACACAGCTTGTATGACATGTCCCTTGCCAGCAGCTCTCTTTTAATTCCATGCTTGTCCTCAGTCTTCAACACCGCCAATTCAAAGTTGGTAGGATTGGGCTTTTCAATACCCGGAGAGCCTTCCACCCCCTCAAAATCAATCCATGGTCAACCAATATTCCTCCAATCATGATAACCTTTACATGGCATTCTATCTAGCCATCCCAAACTCCTGTACCCAGAACAGTACCAGGGTAGGACAAGGGACCTTGGAAAATTGTAGGGGAGCAGAGGAAGAGATTTCACTATTAATGATAAGTGAAGTGAGAATTTTGATTGGGAAAAAGAGGAAATCAAGTAGATGTGATTCAAAACCAAGAACTCCCAAGTACATTATGGTTGCCCTTTGCAATGTACTCCCAACACAGAACACTGTAATGATGCCACATGAAGTCGGCTTTCTTCTTCAACAGATTGCAGACTCTAATGGTTCTTCAACCACCTTAGAAAATCCGCCTCTGCCCTACCCTGTTTACAATTAACTTATTCCCCTTAACAGATTTTATTTTTAAAAGAACTGACTGAGATGGTTTCATACAGCCCTGTGATTAATTGACATTTACATTAATGTTGAAAGTTTAAAAAGACAACTTTTTTCCTGGTCAATTTTATATTTGATCTCTGCTTATTAAAACTATTTACACTTCCTTTTAAAGGAGTGAAATTATCTGTTATGGTTAGCCATCTGTTTTAGGAGATATCATTGCTACTGGGCAAATGCAAACCAGATGTCATGATGTAGTGTTTACTCAGAAAACAATATAAAGGAGCAGCTGGAAAACTTGCTGAGAATGAATAGCCCACTAGTTTTCATACATTTTATAAATATGCATGGCTAAGCAAATGGATAGAAAGAGTTTACATTTAAACCCCTTTCACATTTTCCCCAAAAATTAAAACCAATGTTTTAAAGTGCTTGAGGTCTGTATCCATTGATCTCAGGAACTGAAAATGTGATAGCATCTGCAACCATTATGATTGGGAAATTTACTGTTGATTCCATATGCAAACAAAAATGAGTCACCCAACACACTTGACAATCCAGACGCATGGAAGGAAGATCTAAAATTTCCACGTCAACTCATATTTGTCAGCAATAATCTAGAAATCAGAATTAAAATGTGGATTTTGGACCCTTCCAGACAGGCCCTATATCCCAGGATTTGATCCCAGGTTTTCTTTTTATCCCAGATTATCTGGCAGTCCAGGCACATATAATCCAGTTTAAAGCAGAAAACCTGGGATCAGCTTCTGGGATATAGGGACTGTCTGAGAGGGCCCTTTGACAAAGGTACTGTTTGTCCCAGGGTACTGCAAATGCTTCCAAAGAAAACACAAATCTACTTCTTCCACACTTATAAAGGAAAACATGGCTACACATTTGTTGGACACACAATTACTATTCCCACAATAACTTCGACTAGATAGGAAAGAGTTATTATGGCTGCATGTGTTTGTTTACTGCCCGAAGACCAGTAATAGTGTGTTTAGGACCAGGATGGTGTAATTTAACTCTTTAAAACCATGAAACACAGCATACAAAACAACTATTGTGTGGCCATTTTTGTGCTACATGTTCTGGCTTTAAAGTACAGATAGAGCCAGCCATGATATCATGAGATGGATAACACAGCAACAAGGAGAAATAGGTTAACAAATAACGAATGTGAGATCAATATTACATCCTTAACAATTTCAATACCAATCTTTTGGAAGGTAATGGATTTGTTAATAGATCACAAAGAGAAGTGATTACTCATATGAGAAAGGTGACTATTACTTCTACTCAAAGGAAGGGGAAGAAAATAAGTCCCGACCTGAGAAGCAAAGCACAAGCAAGTACTTTAACAACATTCTAAATAAATCTAAAATTTGACTCTGAGCTAAAAGTAGTGTGATTTATCTGGTTTTCTGGAATTAACCACTCATATACTCTAGAAGACTAGTACATGTTTATCATACTTACATGCCATATATACTCGAGTATAAGCCAACCCGAATCCAAGGCACTTAATTTTACCACAAAAACACTGGGAAAACTTACTGACTCAAGTACAAGCCAAGGGTGGGAAATGCAGCAGCTACTGGTAAATTTCAAAATATAAATGGATAGCAATAAAATTACATTAATTGATGCATACAGCTTCTCCTCTCCTCTTGGCACAGCAACCCAGCTGGATTGCTGTGCCAAGAGGAGAGGCTGTGCGCCTTCCTCTCCTCCTCTCTCAGCACAGAGATCCAGCTGGGTTGCTGTGCCAAAAGGGGAGGAGGCACTCAGCTGGTAGAAGGCCTGCAAAGGGCTTCTTTCAGCCCCACGCCTTCCCGCCAAGATCTTCACTCGAGTATAAGCCAAGGGGGCCTTTTTCAGCATTAAAAATGTGCTGAAAAACTAGATTTATGCTCAAGTATATACAGTATTTGTTCCAGACATTTCAAGAGACTTTCACCCCCCAGAAATCTAAACACATTCTTTTCATGGAGTCTAATGTCTACAGATTCACATTGCCATATGCCATGACAACTACTTCCAATACCTGGTCTCAGCAGTTCACTGAAGAGCTGAAGGAGGAAACATGGGTCATAGAGATCCTTCAGAGAGATATAATTTTTGCCTTTGCTTATGAGCTCCGGTTCTTCCTAAAACACAGAGCACAAACCAATGCATTAGTAATTTTCAAAGAACTGTAGTCGCTATAATTATTCCCTCCCAGAGTCTAGCATATAAATACTGCTAAACATTGAAGACCTAGATAATGACTGCTAAAGCTCTGTGTTAACTGTTGCTATGGTTTTGGGTTCTGTAGACTTTGTTGGCTGACCTGCCTACTTCTTTCTTCTCCAAGAAACGTGTTTATAATGTTTCATCAAGAGTCAATGCAGTCAGTCAGTGAACTTTGCATAGGAACTGAATGATTTATTCCTTGATAATAAATTATATTGTTGGTTCAGAGTATGAAACCTCTTTCAGTCCACCAAGAGGCATTTTTGCAATTCAAAGCAGAATATATGCAGGTTGAGTATCACTTATCCCAAATGCCTGGAAACAAAATGTTCGATATTTTGGAATTTGGAATACACATAAGATATTTGGTAGATGGGCTCTGAATCTAAGCATGAAATTCATTTATTTCATGGTAAACTGAAGGACATGCTATTTTTAAATAATGCTGTACATGAAACAAAGTTTGTGTACAGAGAAACTATCAGAAATCAAAGCCACCCATTTGAATAATTTTCATTTCGGAATAGTCAACCTCCATAGTCATCATGTTAAAAGAAAACCAGTTAAGAAAAAGGATCTTACATAAAATCCATAAGATGCTACCATTGCCATGATCTCACTTGCAAGAAATGTGACTGTGTATTGTTGAAGGCTTTCATGGCTGGAATCACTGGTTTGTTCTGAGTTTTCCGGGCTGTGTGTCCATGCTTCAGAAGCATTCTCTCCTGATGTTTCACCTGCATCTATGGCAGCCAGCCTCAGGGGTTGTGAGATTTATGTAGACTTGTCCACAGATGCATGGTATATGGCGAGAGGATCCCTCAGCAAAGGACAAGAAGGGTCCTTCCACCTCTGCAAGAGTCTACCATATACCATGCAGTTCTGGACACATCTACATGGGACCACCAAATGCAGCATTGCCCAAACACGAATCAAGAAACATGCAAGGCACTGCAGACTACTTCAACCAGAGAAGTCAGCCATAGCAGAGCACCTGGTGAACCAACCTGGCCACAGCACATTATGTGAGAACACAGAAATGCTGGACCACTCTAACAAACCACCATGTCAGGCTACACAGAGAAGCCACTGAATTCCACAAGCATGTGGACACTTTCAACAGAAAGGAAGAAACCATGAAAATGAACAAAATCTGACTAACAGTATTTAAAAACTCTAAAATTTGAACAGTAAATGAAGAACAATACTCAAAAACAGGGAAATTCCAGACAAGAAACAATCAGGGCCAGCTAATCACCTCCCAACAAAGGATTCCCCCAGGCAACAAGAAGCCAGACCTGGAAACTACTAGGCCATTAAATGCTAATCAATGTGGCCAATTGAAACATTCACACCTACCTCCAACAGACAAGAGTTCTTTCTCCCTCCCTGGACATTCCACAGATACATAAACCCCTTTTCCTAGTTTCCAACAGACCTCACAACCTCTGAGGATGCCTGGCATAGATGTGGGTGAAACGCCAGGCAAGAATACTTTTGGAACATGGCCATACTGCCCAGAAAACTCACAACAAACCAATGTTTCTACCGCGTATCAATAAGGGCAGATACATGCAGTCAAGTGAGGACACCTCTAGCGCCAGAAGATGCCGGTGCTGGGGGAAATTGAGAATGGTCCGCATCATCATTTCTCGGTCCAGCAGACACAGAATTTCCTCCATGCTTGGCTGCTGCCACAACGACTTGCCCAAAATCTTGCATGCCTTGTGATGCTCCACAGCAGCTGGGCCCCAAAGTAACTGGACTCTGCAATCACATTGGGAGATAATGTAATCCACATCTAACTTTATATACGAAGGCAAGAAAGCAATTAGCGAAACCAACTTGACTTGTGCATGGCAGAATCGGTTCAGCTTTTGTTTTCCATTCTTCATTTATTACTTAGGAACCCAAAGTTCCAATGTGTTTCCTTGACAACGTTAGTTTTCTTTCCAAAGCACTTTAGAACAGTTTTATAAAGCTACATGCACTTCTAATGTATTTATTATAAGCTATCTTCTAAATGAGAGAAAGGCTGCTTAATGGGTTCTACACAAAATCTTGAAGGCCTGCACAACATATCAACAAAATCAGTGACAGCACACGGTTTTGTGCTTTTTTCTAATTGCTACAGTGTCTTTGTTTTTCAAATGAAAGAAAATACTTAGAAATAAAGGATGCTTCTTAGAATCTATTTATATTGACCAGGCTTCTTATCTAAAGGACAAAGGAGCAGAACAAAACAAATGTCTGGACAGATTCCCCAATTGTTTGCTCTTAATAAAACATGGTCATTTCTATAGCATAGGACAAATGTACAGGAATGAGGACCAAAGGCTGTTGATGTTATTGGTGTTAGATGTCTATCAGCTTGGGAATCTAAGCAGTGAAATAATAGTATTGACTCCTCTATGATCAGAGCTGCTGACAAGCATCGGTTCCATTGCATCCTCCCACTGAAGGAAGTATGTTCCTGACTGTGTTCTCCTGATGGGACAACATGAGGAGGTGGCTCTGCTGCTGATCTCGGCTGCTCCTGGGAGAAACAAATGCTGGAACTATCTACCTACAAACAGTACTTTCCTTCATGTTGGGAGAAAGGAGAATGTTTCCTGACATCCAGACCTGGAGTAAGACCAGCAGACCTGCCCTTGCTTATGCATGGGATGCAAGGGAAGATTCTAAAGCAGCTTAAGATAAAGGTAAAAGTTTCTCCTTGACATTAAGTCTAGTCGTGCCTGACTCTGGGGGTGGTACTCATCTCCATTTCTAAGCTGAAGAGCTGGCGTTGTCCGTAGACACTTCCTAGGTCATGTGGCGAGCATGACGGCATGGAATGCCGTTACATTCCAGCAGAAGCGGTACCTACTGACCTGTTCACATTTGCATGTTTTCGAACTGCTAGATTGGCAGGAGTTGTGCTAACAGTGGGAGCTCACCCCCCCCCTCCTGGATTTGAACTGCCGGCCTTTCAGTCAGCAAGTTCAGAAGCTCAGCAGTTTAACGCACTGTGCCAGCACGGGACCCTGATAGCAACCTATATAAATCATATTATTAGCTACACTAGGCCTCTTCAACCTGCATTCCTCCAGGTGTTTTGGATCTCTGTTTTCAGAGAACAAAAATGGGACTAAGGACTCAGTCTTTATGAAATAGGATCATACATCTATGACACAGAGAGAATAAAACTCTATTATTTTACTGCTATACCAACGCAAGAATAAGCCTTAAACACAATGCAGCCTATGATTCTTAAAGGATGTTCAAGCAATCCCAGGCTTCACTTCCTACTACCATCAAGGCAAGGATGAGGATTTCTAGAGAAGTCAAGCTGCTCCCCTTCACTTCACTGGATACGATTAATATGCTTAAGAAATACCTGTTCTTATACACAGGTTCAATTGTACACACTTTGTGTAATACTGACTGGATGTGGAATACTAAGGCCAGTAATCCATAGCAAAAGCAAAATGAACACTTTATCCACCTGACATAATGACCAAAGTAATAATCAACTAACCTGAAGTTTACAAGACTTAAACCATTCTTTTCATACAATTTCAGTAACAGTAGTATCTTCTGGTCTGAAATAAAGGAGAAAAACGTATCAGCATAAATTGGAGGCAACCAAATTTCCTAAGCTTTCGGTGCAAAAACGTGGATTACTTGACTGCAACATTAAGCACAAGGCATCCTTCAAACAGCTCTCATGACCCAAACACTTGTCATGTGACACCATTTCAAACGCAGTACTTTTCACAGTACCGGTGGTGCAATGGATTAAACCCTTGTGCTGGCAGGATTGCTGACCAAAACGTTGGCAGTTCGAATTTGGGGGGCAGGGTGAGCTCCCATCTGTCAGCTCCAGCTTCCCACGTGGGGGACATGAGAGAAGCCTCCCACAAAGATGGTAAAACATCTTGGCAACATCCTTGCAGATTGCCAATTCTCTCACACCAGAAGTGACTTACAGTTTCTCAAGTCGCTCCTGATACACAAACACACACACACAAATCTAACACAGGAATAAACAACTTCAGCAGGTCTGGAAATAAATCCTGGAACCCTCTGTGGGTACACAAACTGCCAAAAATCCCTAAAACTATTGGGGGAAGGACAATGATCAGAAATATAGAGAATTTCACTACTGGTCTTGAAGACCTGTTGCTTGTTTATGTTAAACCATATACAGGGACATACTGCAGCCTGCTTAAAATACAAATTGCCACTCTTAGATGCTTCTGCAAACTACAATAAGAGCTGTCTGGGGAGTCTGGAGGTTTCAAGGATTACAAAAAACAAAAAAACCCAAACAACAAAAAAACAGAAGTTTCTAGGCCTGCCCTCTGCCCACCCTTCAGCAAATAACATCAAGTGATTGGGATGCATCTGTGGACCAGAACTAAGAATCTCATTTTGAAATCTATGTACTACTAGATGTAGTACATGTACTACTATTTGTAGCACGTATGGCATGTATGGCCCTTTGTTCCTATTTTACCTGATTCACAATCCTAACATCCATCTTCTTTGGGCTTTCGAGTATGGTGCTGCTGAGTTACCACAATTGCTACCCTTTGACCTAAACTACATCACTGGCCACATCTACACTGACCATTTAATACAGTTTCAAGCTAGCTTCAAACTGTGGAAGTGAGACAATAAACTCCCACAAAAGTGCATGACAGAATGTTCTTAATGCACATTACTGTTTTGGGCCTCAAACTGGTTCCAGGATTTCCAATGTAGTCATCTGCTGTCTCCAATACTGAATTGAAACTACAGTGTAGACGAGGTCTAAGACCCAACTTCCTTTTTTCTTTTCCCTTTCTTTTTCTTCATGCTCATTTCTGAGAATGAAGAAAGGAGTGAGAAGGATTACTTTTACTGAAATCCCTAAGTGTACATATACAGGAAAAGTTTTCACTTTTAGTTCACTTGTGGCCACTTTCAGGAACTGCAGCTGAATATGGCACACTGCGAAGTTTAACCACTCTGTTATATATTATGATTTTGTTTAGAAGGGAAAAAAGCCAAACCTATTTTATACAACTCTAGGTGCAGACGCAGACTGTGGCCAGGAAATCAGAAGACGCTTACTTCTTGGGAGGAGAGCAATGTCCAGTCTCGATAAAATAGTAAAGAGTAGAGACATCAGACTGGCAACAAAGATCCGCCTAGTCAAAGCCATGGTATTCGCTGTAGTCACCTACGGATGTGAGAGCTGGACCTTAGGGAAGGCTGAGCGAAGGAAGAGATGCTTTTGAACTGTGGTGTTGGAGGAAAGTGCTGAGAGTGCCTTGGACTGCGAGAAGATCCAACCAGTCCATCCTCCAGGAAATAAAGCCCGACTGCTCACTGGAGGGAAAGATACTAGAGACAAAGTTGAAGTACTTTGGCCACATCATGAGGAGACAGGAAAGCCTAGAGACGACAATTATGCTGGGGAAAGTGGAAGGCAAAAGGAAGAGGGGCCGACCAAGGGCAAGATGGATGGATGGCATCCTTGAAGTGACTGGACTGACCTTGAAGGAGCTGGGGGTGGTGACGGCCGACAGGGAGCTCTGGCGTGGGCTGGTCCATGAGGTCACGAAGAGTCGGAGGCGACTGAACGAATGAACAACAACAATTTTATACAACATGCATTACCTTAAAGAGAGCAAATATACTTACCTAAAATGCTCAGTGTTGCACCATAAGCTCCAAGTAACACAGAGAAATGGCCACTCTCACACACTGCAGGGCAGCATTTCACCAGAGTCAACAGGATGTCCACTAATGCCTCTGAAGCAAAAAGGAAAAGACATTTTCTTCACCTTCCGAATTACTTAGCTGTCCTTTTGCCAAGCAATTTGAAAATATTAAAGTTGTTCCAGCCCTGCCCTGGAACATCACGGCTGGAAACAAGGGCTAGCACAAGACCTGCTGAGATGAATGGAAAGCCACAAGAGTGCTATTGTGCCCTCTTGTACCGCTCCCATTAATTTCAGCTGAAAAACCATGCAGGGGAACTTCCTAGCAGATAGCAATTGCTGAAAGGGGCATGGAAAGCACATTATGACTAACGTTCCATAATAATACCTTTTACCATTTTTTTAAAAGGCTGGCAGGTATTTTCCCTTCACAAAACTTGTGTTCTTCTAGGACAAAGAGAACTTTTATTTTAAAAGCTAAAAGGCAGAGTGCAACACATTACCTACTCCTATTCATTTATTGTGCAGAAAGAGACAGAAATGGCCTTCTGTTCACTTCCTCTTCCCAGGTGGTTAATATGAAAACTTCATGCCTCTGTTCCTGTGACAATTAATGCTTCTGGGTCAGAACTAAACAATTCAGGGGTCCTTCTTAAGTAATGTCATGGAATCTTTTTTCCGTCAATGTACATTGCTAGGCTATTCCAGGATCTGGGATAAGAATACATTTATTGCCTAAGCTTGGTCAAGTTACTTTTCATGATTCAGTTCCCCAAAACGGCTAGATAACATGGGATAACTCTGGCTATGAATATTTCCTTAAAGGAAGAGAGAAACCCAACATTATTAGGATTTAATTGCCAACAGCAATAACCTAATGTCACTAAAAGCCATTCAAAATCAGTATGTTATTTCACGTCTGTTGAACTGTAAAACAAAAAATGTCTATATAAAACTGCCAAATTAATAAGTAAAGGTAAAGGTAACGATTTCCCCTTGACATTAAGTCTAGTCGTGTCCAATTCTGGGGAGTGGTGCTCATCTCCATTTCCAAGCCAAAGAGCCAGCATTGTCCTGAGACACCTCCAAGGCCAGGTAGCCAGCATGACTGCATGGAGAGCCGTTACCTTCCCACAGAAAGGGTACCTATTCTACCCACACTTGCATGTTTTCAAACTGCTAGGTTGGCAGAAGCTGGGCCTAACAGCAGGAGCTTACCCCATTCCCCAGATTTGAACCGCCAACCTTTCGGTCAGCAAGTACAGCAGCTCTACGGTTTAACCCACTGCGCAACCAGGGGACCCTTAAATATACAGCCAAATAGTATTTCTTTCTGTGTTTTAAACTAAGTTCATCTACCATTAACACAATGCAAAAACAAATCTATATTTAGAGATGGCATTTCAGCTGACAAAGACATCCAGCGCAAAGATACAACGGCAATTGAGAACAGCCACATTTTAAAAACAAGATACTAAAAAACCAAGCCTTTCAGATATAGCAGTGCCAAAAACCTGTAGGTGGACTACTTAACTGAAAGTATGAACAACACATTTGAAAGGCATCTAGGTGATAAACGGAAACCAAAGGAAACAAAAGCGACATACCTTTTGAATGAACATTTGTGTCATCCTCCTCCTGTGCCCTCAACATTATTGACAAAAATAAGGAGTGCTGCGTGATCATCATGTAAAGTACTGAAAGCTTGACTAATTTCTGACTAAGAGAGACTTCTTCCTTGTACAACAAATTTATGGCTCCATTAAGAGTTTTCAGAAAGGCCCGGTCTTTATAACGATGCCTGCAAGACAGAGATTTAAACGATTTTAAGGGAAAGAGTGCACTCCACTTGCAAAACCAGAGCAGAAAGGATTACTTCCTAGATTTTGGGCTACCAAACTGTACTGTTTTACAAACACGGATTGAGTACCCTTTATACAGAATCCCAAAATCTGAAACACTTTTAAACAAGCATTCTTTAAAATGTTTCCCTGTAACCAAATTACAAGGCAGGGATGGTGAAATGAGATGGGGTTGCGTTCTGTTACTCATGGACTTCTACAAGTTGAATCATGTCAAAAACCATAGCAAGGCATTCAGATCCCGACTGAAACACCAGGTGGAGCCTTGGACCCAGAACCTTCACAAGCCAAATCAGACCTATGGGCCAGAGCTCAATCACTCCCTACATCTCACAATAAACTCTTACATAAATTAAAGGACAAGAATTTTAGCATTGTCTGTTTTGTTTAGTGGATTGAAATGGAACAATTTTATCTGTGATGTTCAGACTACAAGTACACAGACAACCAAAACAATATTCCAATAATTGGCACATTGGCTTAGCCATCTGAATTCAACATTGTCCTCATACCTATGTAAACAATCGGTTGCTGTGAGTTTTCCAGGTTGTATGGCAATGTTCCAGAAGCATTCTCTCCTGACGTTTCACCCACATCTATGCCAGGCATCCTCAGAGGTTGCGAGGTCTACTGGAAACTAGGCAAGTGGGGTTTATATATCTGAGGAATAATGTCCAGGGTGGGAGAAAAAAACTCTTGTCTGCTGGAGGCAAGTGTAAATGTTGCAATTGGCCACCTTGATTAGCATTGAATGGCCTTGCAGATTCAAAGCCTAGCTACTTGCTGCCTGAGGGAATACTTTGGAGACAATGCTTCTGGAACATGGCCATACAGTTCGGAAAACTCACAGTAACCCAGTGATTCTGGCCATGAAAGCCTTCGACAACATATGTCAACGATGTAGAAATGCTTCATAAATATATATCAAATAATTAGAAAATATGATTTGTACCATCAGAACTCTTTTACTCTATATACATGTAGGGAACCACTAAAAGACTGCAAAGTATATGACTTCACAACAGAAAATGTATGGACTATTGCAGGTGTAAACATAAACAGGCTTACTTGAGCCCCATCTTCACAAAACTATGCCAGTCTTCTGGAGCCACTTCAGTTGTTGAATTCTGGATAGGAAGGAAAGAACAATGCAATACTGAAATAAATGGTGGCAAAGTATGGGTGTGGGTCAAGGGATAAAAGCTTAGAAACGACATACTAAATTTTCCCATTTAAGTTTAAAAAAAATACTTTGGATATTTCACACATGCACAACAGGTTGAAGAATGAATTTACTCCAAAACATATGACTTGGAAATTATAGTCACGCTTCCAATTTATATGAATTACATTTTTACTTTGGAGAAAATTCAGTTACAACCTTTTATTTATTTTGTTTTTTTTAAAAAAACATATTCAGTATTATTGGTGTCCCTCTAAACTAAATTCTGTCCAGCCAACTAAACAAGTTTTTTTACATGCAAAAAAACAAACAAAAACAAAACAAAACCATAGAAATGTTTTGTAAAAAAAATTGAAAGTCCCAAAATCCACCAGCCAACATGGCAAATAGCCATATTTGATGGCAGATTCTAAAATGTATAGGCAAAGGTAAAGGTTTCCCCTTGACATTAAGTCCAGTCATGTCCGACTCTGGGGTCTGGTGCCTATCTCTATTTATAAGCCACAGAACCAGTGTTGTCTGTAGACACCTCCCAGATCATATGGCCAGCATGACTGCATTGGTCACCGTTACCTTCCCACCAGGGTAGTACCTATTGATCTACTAACATATGTGTATGTTTTCGAACTGCTAGGTTGGCAGAAGCTGGGCTAACAGCAAGAATTCACCCTGCTCCCTGGACTTGAACGGCTGTCCTTTTGGTCAGCAAATTCAGCAGCCCAGCGGTTTAACCTGCTGAGCCCCAAAATAAATTTTCCAAGCAGATTTGCAGGCTTCTGCATGTGGACCAACACACATAATATAATCCCATGTTTCCTCACAATGTCAAGATGTTTAGCCCTGGGAAATATTAAAACAGTAATGCTAAGAGTAGAAACCTTTTGTTTTCAATCATTTTGAATAATGGAGCCAGGCTCGGTAATCTTATGAACCTCTTCTGTGACTTAGAACTCCTTCTATCATTGCACATTCTTATGAGGAAGGCATTTCTGTATAATAATGTTGAAAAGCATGAAGTTGTCCTAAAATGTTAATACACCACAGAGACATTTGAGGAGTGCCTTTCCAGCAGTTAAATATGCAAAGCTGAAAACCAGTGGAGCATTTTTGCACAACAGAATTACATGTCTTCTTCCGCACACACCACAAAACAACACATCCATCCCTCCACACCACCACCACACAGCCCCCAATGCCGCATCAGCACGAAACGACAGAATTCAACATAGCTCTAGGATAGAAGTTATCAGTGTGTTGGTCCTTGTCTTTGTCACCCTGTACTGTCTGCCAGATGGAAATAATAATAAAAAAAGAATATGCCAGGTAAGATGGATCCCCAAGAATGCTATGAGTTTTCTTAATGCAGCAGGACTTATAAAGTTCTTCCAAAGCGGGGAGAGGGCAACTAATGATTCGCTGTGCAGAAGTGGTGACCCTTTGGAACACCTTCCTATCTGCCACTGTGCAGCTACCAAACCATGCGTAGATGCAGTAGGTTAGGACACTCTCTATAGTACAGTGATAGAGTCACCAGCCATTTTTCATTCAGTTGGTAGTTCCTTAGGAGTCTCAGGCAGTACAGTCCCTACTGGGTCCTCTTCATCAACACTGCCATTTGGGTGCCCTAGGTCAGATCCTCCATCACAGTGACACCCAGGAACTTAAAACTTGCCACCTGCTCCACTTGGCCTCCATTTATGACCAGGAGCTGAATTTCTGGTCTGTTCTTCCTACAATCCACTATGAGCTCCTTGGTCTTATTGATGTTAAGAACGAGATTATTGTCCCTGCACCACAAGTCAGCCAATCCATAGGCAGACTCATCCCCTTCAGAGATAAGGCCCACCACAGTTCTATCAAATTTGGTAATGAAGCAGAAATGTACTGATGGGTAGAAACAGGAGTAATGTTCAGAAAAACGGCCTTAAATAACGAATGAATGCATTCATCCTCCCAATCATACTGTCAGAGTTGATTTCACATCTAAGGCTACAGTGGGAGATAATGAATGCAAAAAGGAGAGAAAATGGGGGAAGTGCAAGTTACCACCCACTTGTTTTTTCTCTGTTCTCTTTTTTGTGTGTGGCCACTATGCCAACAATTCCCTTCAAAACCCAATTCTAACAAAAATGCATATCATTTGAAAGAGAAAACAACCAAAAAGTAACTTGCTTGGTTTATATGCATGTACCACCACCTCTATGCTATGACTAATCCAGAAACTCCAACCAGAAGTGACTTCGAGTTATCATTTTTAGCTGAAAATAGGATGGTGTTGCCTGCCGTGGGAAGTGAGGGAAAAACACTGATTATTGCTTCCTCTTACATTTTCCACTCCTGTTTTTTATGTTTACACATGTATGTCTAACTACCTGAACATATACACCCCCCAGTGGACAAATAATTGAAGTTCACTGCATTCCTTAGCCAGATCAACACAACATTGCACTAAGTTATGGTGTGGCAAACTTGGATGGGAGTCCTCACTGCTGCTTACCAGTAATTTCTCTAGCCTTGACAGCATGGAGTTCTCAATTTCAGAGCATGTTTCATGTGTTTTGTTATTGCTGTAAGCAACAATCAACCATTTTATACATGCAGTTAGCAGGTGTTTCTTCCAGGAATTCAACTTCTCTGCAGAACTCTCCAGGGCTCTTGATACAGCATCAGCAATCACCCAGCTAGAGAGATTTTTTTAAAAAAGAAATAAAATCATATCTACATTTTTATTTTACCATCTTCTTTATCTTGAGGTGAAAGGATGCTCTTGAGGACCATACTTTCCCCACTGAAAATATGCTATTGCTAATTGGCCTAGTAGTCAATGCTAACATTGTTTGTTAAGAACTCTGGAGTTGCACAGTCTTATGAGTGTTGTGCCAGGCTGTTCAACTGAGTATGAGAGGCTGGAATGATTTCTAGCTCAGGAAATCAACTGATCAGTCACAAACACACAAAAGGTCTGAAACTATATGAAGCAGTTCTGTGCTTCCTTCTTTCAACTCTGATTTAGTGGTAAATAGCAGCTTGCAATTTCATCCAGTTAAGCAAATGATGATTTTCAAGAATCAGCTTGTTCACATTCAAACCAGGATTGTAAATACAGCTCAAACCATTGTTTGCAATCTCAGTTTGTAATCTGGATGTGGCCATCTTGCAGATTTTCAGAGATTGCTAGACTGTGATTCCCATAATCACTCACTGGCTTTGCTAGCTAAGTATGACGGGAGCTCCAGTCCATATGCATCAGGCATCCTCAAACTGCGGCCCTCCAGCTGTTTGGGCCTTCAACTCCCAGAATTCCTGACAATTGAACAAGATTGTTAGGGCTTCTGGGAGTTGTAGGCCCAAACAGCTGGAGGGCCGCAGTTTGAGGATATCTGATATACATGATTTTGAACAAGGTGGAGACAATTTGGAGCTCAGAAGGCCACAGTACACAATATTCAAGTGTTTAGAGCAGTGGTTCCCAACCTTTGGTCCTCCAGGTGTTTTGGACTTCAACTTCCAGAAATCCCAGCCAGCTTGTCAGCTGTTAGGAATCGTGGGAGCTGAAGTCCAAAACACCCGGAGTACCAAAGGCTTGGAACCACTGTTCTAGATCACTGTAGAATGCTTTTTTGGGAAAACACGAGTTGACATTGAATCATTCCCAGCCACCTTGGGGTCATTTTGAGTAGATGTGTTTAATTTCTTTTACCATAATTTCCTTCCATGAAAGGGAGGGGGGGGTTGAGTTTTTTTCAGGGATGTGAGGTCAGGGGCGGGAAGAGGGTGAGGATCTCAAAGGTCACACTGGACCATCCTTTGGATCACATGAGGACCACTGGCCACAGGCTATTTGCCCTTGGTTTACACAATTACAATGATACTTTCCAACTTCTTGGGCAATCCAAGCACAAGTAGAGTTTTGTTTAATGTCTAGTTTTCGAAGTACCTAAGCTTTGTGTGCCCCACACCCACTTAGACAGAAAATAAATAGCCTTACTGTTCATGGCTTTTTTCTTTTTCAAGAACTGCAGGTAATTTCTCCATTAGAGTAATGAAAGTATCTGTTTTGGAAGACGGCAGTAACTTGGAGAGAACATGACACTCCTCAGCGATTGGTTCTGATGTTGAACTCATATTCAGAACAATACCTAGCAGTTCTGGCCACAAAATATCCCTTAAGACAGTTGTAACAGCCGAAGAGACTGCAGGAAAGAATAGTGAAAAAGAGGAAAAAATCATGAACTCGCAGACTTGGAAGAGGCCACAAGGACCATGCAGTCCAACCCCTTGGAACACATTCAGATCGGCATTCAGTGCCCCTTTAAAAACCTCTTGACTTTCTCAGAAGTCATGCATTTCACAGGTCTGTAGCACAGTTTGAGGAAATATTTACCTGCAGACCCTGTTAACAATTTAAAGTATTTGATATAATATAGTAAATAAGGACTTAATGTAAAAAAAATTGCTTGCTGAGACAAGTATCACAGCCTCTGGTGAGATGCCATATCCAATCTTCTTGGAAATGTAATTTTATAGGGATTTATACCACATGGCTCCATAAACAGGCCATAGCTAAGAGTTCCTAGTATGATCTCCATTAGATCACACTATAGGTGTTAATTTTCAAGCCTAAAAACAAAATTTAAAAGTAGAACACCCTGGAAAGGTAACCTGCAATGAATAAGCTGAGCTGAGCCATTGTTAACAGCACAGGAAATTTTAGAACCAAAAGCCCAAATATTCTTTCACTGTCACCCCAAACTCTACTTTGCAAAATTAATAATACTCTACCTAATGACACAAAACTACTACAACTAAAAACAGCTAAATCTGCAAAGCCCATAAATCAGCTGCTGTTACCTTTTGACAGCCGGATGAAACATCGCTGCTCTTGACAATCCAAGTATATACTGACAAGTGGCAGGAAAAGACCCACATTCTTTTTCAGAAGCTTGCCTGTACCACGCTTCAGACACCACAACTCAAACTGCAACAAGTGAGTCTGACAATTTTGAATCAGCAAAGCTGCAATGGCAAGGGAAGTTTCTGTGTAACGATTAAGGCAGAAGAGCAGGACATTGACACCAACAGCTTGGGAAAAGACAGATTCCTTCTGTATCACGTACAAGAAGACCTTTTCAAGCTCCTCTGTGACAGCTGTGGTCAAAAGAAGACCCATCCCTACAATGTGTTCTCTTGAAAGGAACTGGTCTTCCTTTAGGGATCCTCTCTGGTAGCTTTCCATGAGAAGCTGAATCAAAACCTCTCCATAACTACTCAAGTACATTTCCTTTTCAGGAACAGTTTCTGATTTCTTCTTGACCAAATTTTCTTTGGGAAGCTGCAGCATAGCCAAAACAACTTCTTTTAGCTGTGGTGTATCCATGTAAGTGTGCAGCTCTTGTAGTGCCTCCATCTGCAGGGATCTTCTGAGACGCACCTGGGACCCTTTTTTACTAACAGTGTGCAGTTCTTCTAACACTGTTTTAGTGATAGTATTGAAATATTTGGAGAGAACATCAAGTTGATCACTGGATTGCAAGAATGAGGAGCCCATCTGCAATAACTCAAGAATGCCACAATTCAGTCGAGCGGATAGCAGTTTCACTTTAAGGGGATTCAAATTATGAGGTGGAACAGAATGCTTTTCCACTGCCAGAAACCAATTCTCCAACAAAGGATTTTTGAAGACCACAGATAGTAACTCTTCTAGTATCTGTAACACAGGTAGATATAACAAAAGTCATTACCAAATGGACATGAACCAAACATTCATGGATTAGATTATGACCATGGACAAGTTCTATGCTTTGAGTATATTATTGATTTTTACACACCAAATATATTTTCTAGAAGAATATATAGTTTATAAAATTAGCAAACAAAGCACTTTAGTAATAAAACTAAGGAAGTAGAAGTATGTATAGTGACTGACTGCAGTTAGTCTCAGACTTTCTTATCACCAGATAATTGGCTATCTCAAACAGCTGCTATTAAGTCTCCAGGAAGTGGCTATCAAAAATGGAAGAAAAACATTGCTTCTGCAGAGAAGAAAACTGGATGGAAGTGATAGTGGATACCGGGTGAATTTGCAAAACATAGGAAATGAGAGATCTGTATGGTCCTTCCTCTACCACTAACAGAGAGCTTGCAGCAAGAACAGCAAAACAAACCACAGAGTTTGACACAAAGCACAGCTACTGTTTTGGCTTCTCTCCTATCAAACTAGGATCCAGTTTAGAATTTGTCGGTGGGTTATATCTCGTGTTTGTTGGAACAGAAAGAAACCAGAGTGGTAGCTATGTTTGGAATCTCCCATTTTATTTTAACATTGTGCTTACAAAAAAGACCTCACTGTTTGCTTAAGTGCTAATTAAGCCAGGAGTATAGCAGTTCCATGGCCATGCTGCACAAACCAGGTTTACACAAATCTACACATTTTCATTTTTAATGTTCAGACCTAACCTACTTTTTAAGAATGTGAAAAATCATTCCACTTCAATGAGGAGAGACTTTCCATTTCTCTGAAGAAAGATAATTTGAATAGACAGTGTTTCCTATCTATTGGTTTTTACACCTGTAAATAATTATGCTGAATAGCTGAGGAATTCGTTTCAGCCCCAAGGTCCATGCAACCACATGGAAATGTTAATACCTTATTATTTCCAGTCTCAGCTGGCATAAGGAAGTCTGCATCCACAAAAAGATCAGATTCAGTTTGGGTGGGTTTTTGTTCCTGCTGATTACAGGATTCTGTCTCATCACCTTTATGCAGCAGCTTCTTCAACAGGTCCACAAAGAGGGTAAGAAGGGAAAGGCCAGATTTTTTGTCAAACTGTTGGAAAAGAATTACGTATTTCAGAACAAATAAAAAAAAGGCTCAGGGAAAGGAGTGAGCAAGGAAATATAGGTTGCTTACCTGTAACCGTATTTCTTCGAGTGTCAATCTGTGAAATTCGCACCTATGGGTTTTCCTGTGCGCCTGCGCAGCAATCCGGAACATTCTAGAGTTTTAATCAATTTTTTAATGATTATTTTAAGAATATATGTAAGCCCCGCCCATCCCCCGCCCCCCCAGTATATATGCCGCCAAATGCGGCTTGGCCGGTAGTTCCCCGGCGCTAAACAGCAGCCAGGTTAGAGGCATGACAAGTGGGGAGGACGGGCGGGTTGTGCGAATTTCACAGATTGACACTCGAAGAAATACGGTTACAGGTAAGCAACCTATATTTCCTTGTCGTGTCATCTGTGAAATGCGCACCTATGGGTGACTTAGCAAGCTACTGGCCTGGAGGCGGGTCATGCCACACAGGAAAAGAGAACAGCTCTGCCAAAGGCGGCGTCCTTTTTCGCTTGTATGTCCAACTTGTAGTGAGAAGGAAAAATAGATGGTGTAGAGAAGTGTTTATTATAAAGGGTTTATTGTACTGTGTTTAAACTGTATTTATGTTTTACATGCATGGCCATGGCCTAGCTGTGAGAGATAGGTTGCCATGGTGACAAGGCAGAGGAGAAGGTGGGCGGAGCTTAAGGAGAAAAAGGTTTGAAAGTAACAGTTAATGGGTAGTCAGGAGGATGAGACCCTGAGAAGAGGAGCGGAGTCAGTTAGGGCTCTGTGTGGTGAAGCAGTATAAATTCAGTTAGTTCTTAGCATTTGTGAATATTTCTTCAGCAAGGGAGCTGAAGGTGAAACCTTGTTAGATTGCTTGCGTTAAAAAGAATCTAACAAAGGGGTTTTTAGGGATCCCAGTAGTGAAAGACTGGAGATCGGTGGTTTGATCCGGTATAGGACAAACAGAGTGAATATTCACAACAGGGAACACTGAAATAATAAAGTACTTCACTGAAGAAGGAGTTTAAAGGATTGTAACATCAGAAGCCTGAATGTATCTCTACTAAGCCATATTGTAACCATCAAGCTTGTGCCAAGTTCAACATCTCAGTATTGCAACAATTACGCTCTGTTAACAATAAACTTGTTCTCTCTGTGTTATAAATCTGCCTCCTCCATTGATTTTACATTTGGTGCAATCCACTCTACCAAAGTTGCCTCACAACGCAGATAGGGATAAATAGAGACTTCAATTCCAACGTCTCTATATATATATATAATGGTGGCAGTGTAATCAAGCAATTTTGGGACTTCCTTATAATTTAGGTTGAAATTAGGTGGATTAACATACATATTTATTTAATTTTGGTAATCCCATTTAGGTGGGATTACGCTTCCTTACAACCAGGTAGCTGCTTTGCAGATCTGTTCACGAGACACTCATCGCCAAAAAGCCTGGGAGGTGGACACAGAGTAAGCTGAATGGGCCACCAGGTGAGTAGGTGGATCTTTGCCTGTCAATTGGTAGGTTAGGCGGAATGTTGAGACACTCCAAGGGGCTGACCCCTGAGGGGTAACAGGGTAGCCTAATTTGTCTTTCCTGTATTTTAAAAAGAGCTTAGGGGATTTTCTATATGTAGATGTCCTATGGAAATAAAAGGAGAGAGCTCTTTTGACATCTAAGGAGTGAAGGGCAGTTTCTAGGGGAGATGATGGGTTAAGAAAAAAGGCTGGGAGAGTTATGTCTTGTGACATATGAAAAAAGGAGACTACTTTCGGGAGAAAGGTAACATCGGTATGGAGAACAACTTTGTCCTCGCGAAACCTAATATAAGGTGGGTCAGACCGGAAGGCTGTAAGCTCGTTAACCCTCCTGGTGGAAGTGACGGCCACCAGGAATGCCGTCTTACACGAAAGGTGAGAATATGATTGGAGGCCATGGGTTCAAAAGGTGGTTTGATAGTTGTGACAAACTTAATTACAGACTCCACTGGGGGGAGGGAAAGGAGGTAGGAGGGTGGATGTTTTTATACCTTTGAGAAACAATTGAATTAAGTGGTTTTGAAAAAGGGACGGTAAACCCAATTTCATTCTAAACGATGAGATGGCTGATAGGTAACATTTTAGAGAGGAGAGTGAGGAGCACATATCAGAGAGGTGGACTAGAAAATCTAATATCATGGGTATTGGGCCTGTATTTGGGTCCTGCCCAGATGTTTCTGTGAATGGCTTGAAGAGGGACCATTTATAGTTATAGGACTTTTTGGTTGCTGGTTTGTGGGCAGCGAGGAGTATACGTGATACTTCCTCGGATTGGTTTAATGCGGTCTGATCATCCACGCCGTCAGGCGGAGGGATTGGAGGTCTGGGTGAAGTACCAGTCCATTCTCTACAGTGAGAAGGTCCGGAGTTGGTTTGAAGTGGAGAAACTCCCTGTTGGAGATTTGGAGGAGTGGTGCAAACCAGTGTTGCCGGGGCCACCAAGGGGTGATTAGCATGCAATCCGAGTTGTCCTGGATTATTTTGGCTATGACTGGGGATAGGAGAGGGGGTGGGGGAGGTAGAGTAGACCTGGAGTCCAGTGGAGTAGGAAGATGTCTCCGAGACAGCCTGGGGGTGCATGGGGGCGGAGTCTTGTGCAGTAAAAGGGCAGTGTTTGTTTAGTGGTGATGTAAAGAGATCTATTTTGGGTTTGCCCCATTGAGTGTGATGGTTTGAATTGTTTGGAGTGTAGGTGCCACTCGTGATTGTTTTTGGATGATCTGCTCAGGGAGTCTGGTAGTGTATTGTCCTGTCCTGGGAGGTGAATGGCCGTGAGAAGGACATTTCTCTGAATGCACCATTCCCATAAGCGTGTCGAAATGCAGAGTAGTGTTTGTGAGCGTGTTCCCTCTTGTTTGTTGATATAATATTTGACCGCAGTGTTGTCGGTTACAATTTGGACCATGCGGTTGGATATAATGCGGGTGAAAGCATGAAGAGCTTCTCCACCGCCATCAGCTCAAGGGTATTGATGTGGAAAATGGCGGTCCTGAGGGGACCAATGGACACTGACTTTGAGGTCCTTGAGTGAGTTGGAAGTCTGAGTTGGAAGCGTCTGTTGTGAGGGACATAGAAGGACGGGGTTGGATGAATGGCATCCCCGATTGAACATTGTATTCTTTTGTCCACCATGATAGGGACTGGAGGACACTGTGTGGGGAGTGTAGGACCCGGGACTGGGGGTCGTGGAGAGGATCAAATGTTTTGGGACCTCATCCAAAAAGGGGTGTAAGGAGTGACGTTGGTAGTAAAAGACATGTGGCCAAGGATAGACTGGATGGCCCAAGCGGAGGAGCTTGGGAGCGTTGGAGGTTGAAGATGGCTCATTGTAGGTTGGAGAGGCAGTCTTCTGGGGGGAAGGCTCTCTGCATCCTGGAGTCTATGACAGCTCGTATGAATTGGATGTGTTGTGTTGGGCAGAGAAGAGATTTTTCTTGGTTTATGACCAGGCCAAGGTCCTTGTGATAAGTGAAATGGAAGAGAATTGAATGGAAAATTGTTATGTTGAACTGTAAAAGTTAGGAATCTGAGGTGTGATTTTCTATTTGTGATGCGAAAGTAAGCATCCTTGAAATGCGCCGTTGCTAGGCAAGACCCCTCTGGATTGAAGGGGAGTATGTTGGGAAGAGTGACCATGCGGAATTTACGTGGTGTTTCCCAGGGTCGAAAATGGGACGTAGTCCTCCATCTCTTTTGTCTAGTAGAAAGTAGCGAGAGAAGAAACAAGAGGTGGCTTCATGTGATGGTATGGGGAAAATAGCTCCTTTGTGAAGTAGAGAGTTAATTTCTTTCCAGATGGTATGGAAAGGTTGGGTGAGGAAGATGTTTCCTACAGGGGTGTAGGTATCAAATTGTATAGCATATCCCCTGTCAATTATGTCCAGGACCCAGGTGTCTGTAGTAATAGTCTGTCAAGCCGGTAGGAAGTAATGTAGTCTGTCTAAATATGTAAGTGGTTGAGTTGGAGTGGGGAAGGGGGGTGGTTAACGTTATAGTAAAAATGATGTTTATTGTTGTTAGTGGGTCTGATACCACGGTACTGACCTCTGGAGGGAAGAAGGGGTCGTGTCAAAGATGTAGAGGGGGCATATGGTGTTTGCTGTCCTCTATAGAAGGAAGTGTTGAAAGGTCTGTTGTAGTATTGGGGACGGTAATAATAAGAGCCCCAGCGTTGGCGTTGGTAGGTGTATGGCTGCTGGTCATGTTGTAGTTGTGAGTCAGTTTCAGGATTAAAGAGTCCTACTTCATGCATTAGGAAGTCTCCAATAAGTGTGTAATGAGATAGGGAAAAAATAGCTGCTCGAAACCAGGCATGGCGACGAAGGGCCACTGAGCCTGCTATGAGTTTGACTGAGGTGTCAGCTGTGTGCTTTGCAAGGTCTTTTGAAGGCCAGATAACAGGAGAGCTTCCTGTTTAAAGGCTTTAGCCAAAGGTTGTTCAGATGGAGATAGTAAGTCTAGATAAGGAGAGGTTTTGTTCCATAGAAAAGTTTATAGACACTCATATAGGCTCCATAATGGGCTATGCATGCAAAAAGGCATGCTGAGGAATAAATATTTTTATTTATTTGTTTATTTGCCATGGAGTGCAATTTTTTTCTTTTTCTTTTCTTTTTTCTTTATTAGAAGGGAAAGTCTGGTTTTTCTGTATAGGCTTTGGTTGAGCATCAGTTAGTATAGAGTTTGCTTGGGCATCTTAGATAGCCATGAAGCTGAAGAGAGATCAATACAATAAAAAAAAATTTTAATTTAAATTTTATTTCATTATTATTATTATTTTTGTTCCTTTAGGAGTTGCTGGAACCATAGGCACAGCAGCTCCTGTATTCTTAAAAATTTTTGAGAAGATAGGGCAAGGTGGGCAAGACAGTGGATGTGGGGGTTTGTTGCTCAATAGAGGAGAGACATGGGTCTGCAATTGTATCTGATGGTTCTAGTGCAGAAAGGTTGAGGGCTCTGGCAAGTCTTATTAGGAGGGCTGAGAATTTTTGAAATCCTCTAACTGTTGGGGAGAGGGGTCAGGGTCTGGGAGGGGATCCTGAATAAATGGCTGAGGTTCTGGTTCAGTTTGTTCTTCTGGAGGATGAGAGAGTGTGGCAGTAGGAGGTGCATGTGGGGGCTGTGGGTATTTATCCGGTGGATGAGCATTGAAGCCTTTGTTGTGATATATAGTGATCAGGGGAGAGAGAATGAGCCCTCTTGGGAGGAGGGATGGGGGAAGTTTAAAACAGAGGCTGGATGGCCATCTGTCAGGGGTGATTTGAATGTAATATTACATTTGAATGCAATATTCCTGCTTCTTGGCAGGGGGTTGGACTGGATGGCTCATGAGGTCCCTTCCAACTCTATGATTCTATGGGGGATGGTTTGCCAAAGGAGAGGGAGAGCAATAGCGGTGCCGGGAGGGCTGTGCTGATGAAATGGGATGGATGGAGGGAGGAGTCTCCCGCGGTACCGGGGACTCTGGCAAGTCTGGGAAAAGCGGTGGGGAGGGCTGAGAGGCAGGAAGGGGAGGGGGGGAAATGGAGGGATCGGCTGTAGGTTGAGTTTCTAGCTCAAGATGAGGAGCCAAGAGTTCAAGGGGGAGGAGGGGGGAGGGATCCTCCATTTGGAGGATAGTTGGGGGAGGCTCCTGTAACTGGAGCATGGAACCGGGAAGCTGGGGCATCGGTTCCAGTGCAGGGGGACTCAAGGGCTGAGTGCCAGTGAGTTGCCATCCCTTTTTTGATTTATTTGCTTTTTCCTTTGATTTAGCAGACCTCATGGATAGTTGGGGGAGGCTCCTGTAACTGGAGCATGGAACCGGGAAGCTGGGGCATCAGTTCCAGTGCAGGGGGACTCAAGGGCTGAGTGCCAGTGAGTTGCCATCCCTTTTTTTGATTTATTTGCTTTTTCCTTTGATTTAGCAGACCTCATGGTTTGTTTGAGGGTTTTTTTTTCTTTCTTTCTTTTGGCAGCTCCGCTAGGGAAGCACTTGCCGTAGTTGAGTCACGCCTATCCCCAGCATGTGGGGAGGGAGGCTGAAAAGGCTCTTGCAAAGGGGAGGACTGGGTGAGGAAGGGAGCCGTTTGCAGCGGCAAAGCACATTCATACAGGAGGGCTTTAGCAGAGTCTCTCCCAAGTTTTGAGTCTCTCCCAAACAAAGGAGGCATTTAGTATGCCTATCAGCCTCCGGGAGATTACCTCCACAGGCTGAGCAGTTTCTTTCTTTGTTTCTTTTTAAATAAAATAAAGGGAAGATATTCTAGCCTGAAAAGAGTCGTCAGCCGGTCCGTGGTCGGAGTGGAGAAGGTAGGCAATAGAGGAAGAACAGTCCAATAGGTGAAATAAGTCAGAGAAGAAGTTCGTAGATGCTGCAAGTTTAGCGCGGAAAAAGGAACTACCGGCCAAGCCGCATTTGGCGGCATATATACTGGGGGGCGGGGGATGGGCGGGGCTTACATATATTCTTAAAATAATCATTAAAAAATTGATTAAAACTCTAGAATGTTCCGGATTGCTGCGCAGGTGCACAGGAAAACCCATAGGTGCGCATTTCACAGATGACATGACAAGGAAACCACATTTTTGCCCTACATTAAAACAGCTACACCTACCATTATATATGTGTGTGTGGTTGGAATCTGCCCTGAGTCCCTCCAGAGAGATAGGGCAGAATATAAATAAAGTATTATTATTATTATTATTATTATTATATTGAGATTGAGATTGAGAGAGAGTCCTGAAAGTTTCGTAAATTAATTTCAGTGGATAGTTCCACACTGTAATATTTTAAGCCTGTGTTAAATGGGGCTACACGTCCCCTGAAGACACAAGTTTACAGTTTGGGGGTACTCCTGGACCTGGCTTTGAACCTGGAGATGCAGGTTTCTGTGGCAGCCATGACTGCTTTTGTACTTTTAAAAGTTGAACATATCTGTACATATACCCAAACTGGTAACTTGTATACATGCAACAAATGAGTTTCCAGCAGCATGTCCTCTGAAGATGCCAGCCACAGATGCAGCCGAAACATCAGGAGAAAATGCGGCTAGAACACTACCATACAACCTGGAAACCACGGAACACCCTCGTGAAAGCCTCTGACAATACAATGTCAAGTCTGCTTATAAAAATATGCAGGAAGGGGAATATAACATTTCTTACACTGCTGAAATTCTCCACTGTAGTTTTTAAGTATAGCAGAACATGCTTGCATGCCAGCAAGAGTTGCTGAGTCTGGAGTTTGGAAATAGCTTCATTCAGCTTTTCTGTGATATCTTCTTCCAACAGAAGGGCAACACCTTTCTGATATGTATTCTTCAGCAGGGAGGAAAATGAGGAACTTGATGACAAGACTTCAGCTACACACTCACTTCTGGCTTGCTGCAACTGGTTAGCAAACAACACAATATTCCAAATAAATAAATAACGAAAAGTATGGTTTTATCTATGATTTAGTGACATAATAAAATACAAAGGTAACTAAGCATAAATCATAATACTAGCTCCCCTATCCTGACTCAAATTGACCTCTGTGTCTTTCATTTCAGATTTAATCACCTCAGGGTTTTTTTTGTGTGTGGTAGTCCCACAATTCACCAGATTTCTGTCTTTCGAACTAAGTAAAAACATTTCTTTTTAACCTGGCTCTTAAGGAATTTATCTGGATTTAATGGATCTTCCTCTTGTTGTCTATCACTGCTTATTCTAATAAGGCCAAATATGTAGTTTTAATGTCACTCTTTTCATATTGCAGTGTTTTTAAAATTTTAAACCATGTTATTTTAATTTTCTCTCCAAATGTTTCAGTACAGCAGTTTCTCAAGAGACTTGGGTATTCTGCCAAGAAAAAAGGAATTTTTATCTTTCTCACCAAAGCTTCCTTAGCCTCCTGTGGTATCCATAGACTGTAGTAATTGCTGAATTCAAAAAGCTTAGGACAGACAGAATGCAGACCTTTATCGTAAAGCTGAAACATCAAGCACAGAGCTAGAGGGTCTCTTTGGGAATGTAGGAGGTCTGTGAAAACAGCAATGAGATACTCCACTATGCTTTCTCCTGCAAAGAAATAAAAAGAGGGGGAGATGGCATCTTGTGGTTTCTTAAAATATTTAAAAACCAAGCACCAGATCGCCTATTCAGAGAGGGAGTAAGATTTTCCTAATTTAAAAAATCAGTACTGTGCAGGATTATGACTTGAAAACAACTGGAATACCAATGCAGGCATATGAAACAAAAGTACCATCCCAAAATGAGGACTAAATCTACAATTCAGAGCACCTGCACTTTTGAGCAATTCAAAAACAGACAACTTAAGCTCTGGTGACACCTATTACCATATTTGCAACCTAATTTCAATACAGCCAACACCAAAAGAACAAAACAAAAACAAAAACAAAACGTAAGCTACACCTATGATTCAAAGATGTACTCCATTTTTAGATATGTTTATCTAGGAAAAAAGTATTAGAATTTAAGAAATACAGTAATTTCTAGACTCTAAAAATAGGGTCAAACCAACAAGCTTTAAGAGTAGTCAGGACATGGTTGAACCAGTGATGAAGGAAAAATTAAGGGAGGATGGAGATGCTTTGAATTCAAAAGATATCAGGGTCAATTTCTGCAGTTATGGGACATGCCTCCAAAGGACATCTCTCTAAAAACATCAAAAGAACCACCACAAAATTAAGTCAATATAGATAACACTGGGCTACAGCAAACCAAAATCTAATTTCAGATTTGTTTTTCCTACGATGGGATCATAGCCCCCTCACTAGCTGAAGTACAATAATACTGCCTTTCGTTTGCTCATCAAGCTCCTTTGCTGAAGGGCTTCAAGGAGGTAATTCTGAAGAAAAAGAAGGTTCAACTCCCTCAAGTTTAAAATAAACAAATATGGGTTATTGTACATGGATCGGAATTGTCTAGTGGCTAATGTTGCACTGAAACTTGGGAGGTCTAGGTTCAAGTCCCCAATCACTGACTGACTATCTTTCTGACCTTCATTACAAAGAAGATAGGAGTACAGCTATGTAAACCACCTTGTGGGATACACCTGCAATGAACAATATATGAACTTCCACCACATCTGTTTCAAGTAAGCAAATAGAAAACAAAAAAGAACACATCACCTATTCTTATTTCACAAAATAATTTCTCATGCTGTATATATTCTTCTGAACTGGATCTTGGAAACTTTTCTAATGGTGTTAAGAATTAAAACATTAAATGTAAATATCTGAAGAAAATACCTCTGTTTTCATCATTCTCCAGGAGCAACTTATTCCTGGTTTCTAAAGAAGCTGGGACAATAGCACTGAATGGAAATGTATTAACAATCATGTCTTTGTTTAAAGAAGTTCCAATTTCTTCATTAAAGTCCTCATTGCCTTCCACAAGGACATCAATCATATCCAGAACATCTAATTCAAAAATGGGAAATGTTTAGCTTAAGAAGACAGTTGGTTCCAGACACAAGAAAAGATTCATTAGCCAAGATGAATGTTATTTTAAATTGTAAGTCGCTCGGAGCACCTTGGTGGAGAGCGACTAATTAAGAAATAAAATTAAGAGAAGATGAACAGGACTAAAGGATTCTTAAATCTTAACACTACACAAAAGGAAAAAGTCTGCAGAAATTCCATGCATAAGAATCTTTAGCCAACAAGCTCATGACATGTTAAGGGCAATCCAGTAATACTCTTAAGAACAAAATGTTATGTTATGCTTCCAGAAAAAAAGTTGCTTTACAATGTCAAGGTGTGCACAAAATGTTCTTGGCCTTTTTGGCTGTTCCTGAGAAACGTTTTAATTTCAGCAGCCATTTCTAAGTATCTCAAATATTCTGTAATGGAGTGTCATGAAGGTTTTAAATAATAGTCCTATACTTTGGGATCTGTAATTAATGCCCACTGGACTTAATGCCTTGACATTCACAGGATTACAGTATTAACAACATATATTTCAGTAAGTGGTCTGTTTTTTCAGAATTCTGCCTCTGTAAAATCCCCCAGAACACTAATATAAAAGCTGCAGAATGAGCATAGGACATACCATCAATATGAGAGATCGGAATGCTGATATTATCAATGTCTTGTTTAAATAGGTTGACTTGAAAAACACTGGCTTCCTGGACAAGATCTGCGGCCTTATCTGTGTATGGATAAGGGTTGGTCACCAGTTTAACCAAGATCTGCAAGGAGGAAATAACATTCATCATATGTTCTTCAATATAAGCCCTGTTTACATGTTCATCTCAATGCGAGGAGGGTTAAATGGAGTTCCCACGTAAACTATACTCTTTGAATGCTTCTACACACACCTGGCAGCATTGGATACTTTTCCATGTTTATTGTAAAAGTTTGAAGAATGCCCTGCCAGTGCAGATGGACTGAGATCTGAAAGAGCTAAATGTAAAAAATGCCTCCAACATTGCTGCGTGTGTGTGTGTGTGGGGGGGGGGGGGGTATATGGGAAGTAGGGCTTACAGTTGCCCCTGTGTCCCCACAGTCATGTACCCCTCACCTGTTCAGATGAATATCTCACCACGGCTATAACACAATAAGTGGTAATACAACAGAAGGCACAGAAACTGAGTAGAAAATCCACATAGGTGTACAGTGCCAATGCCTGAGTTCTGTTTGGATGTCTTTGTTACCGAATTGTTTTATTGCTAAAGAGGCAAATTTTAAATAAAGTATCTAAATGTTCCTCTGGGAAGAACTGCCCAGGTGGAATACTACATTTCAAGACATGTGTGTTATTTCCCAAGCTTTTATAACACACACTTACTTACAGATTATACTCAAGGGTGCAAACTCCCAAATGTCCATGTGTACAAATCATACTGATCACTGGATACTGCATTTATAGTCTGTTTTTCAAATATTCTTTGCAATTAAACATTTTAGAGCAACCCTCCTTAAAGGAATGGCCACAATTTCGCATTGACATTTATCCCAAAAATATATCCTCTGAGTGAGTTGCCAGCAAACAGAAAGAATCAACCCCATGTCAAGCCCCATAGCCTAAACCATAGATATCACATAAGAGAGTCTTGCTTTCTTGTACACAAAGAGAGAAATCTGCTTGTTTTCAATGGTAAAAATGATATTTAAATAAATTAATATTTTGTTTTATCATCTTTATCCAGTCTCATTCTGCAAAGAATGAATATTGTGCTCCTGGGAATCTGACAATAATAGCAACTTTCTTCTTAATAATCACTGAGATGCCTGCAAAGTCATCTTTCTTGGTCATGCTGTGCTTGCCTTGCATGCTAAGTTTCATTACTGTCTCCACAAGAAAAAAGGAAGCTGTATATGCACCAGAACTGTTCAACAGGAAAATTAAAGTGAAGTTTACATACCCTGCTTTCCTTTTTCCATATGCTTTGTTCGCTCTGCAATAGCAGAGCAGGAGAAAAAAGAGGGCAAAAGACAGCCTTCTTCTTTTATCAAGACTTCCCACTATAGTGGAAATTTCTAGCAAAAGCTTTTTTCTTTAAACTCATTTCTTTTATTCCCACTTTCCTGTCTAGCAGATGCTACTTCCCAAAATTCATTCATTCATGAAGTTTTTTTTATTGTTCTATAACAATTAAGGTAACACATTTATTATAATAACAACTGTGACTAAATGGTAATACATCTATTATTATGATGTTCTATAGTAATAGATGGTAGCATATTTCCACTAAAGCTGTTCTTGGAATTATTCATCTGACTAATTTGTGCATTTATTACCTTTTCCAAAAACTGAATCACTGCTTCCTTTTTTGAGTCTACTGTGTTCTCCAAATGCTCAAGCCATAATTCAAGTTCTTTCCAGGTATACTCAAATACTCCACTGTCACGCAGAACCTGTTTTTTATAAAATAAATAAATAAAAATCATTATATAAAGATTTCAGGTGCTATTTTTGTACTGCAACTCTCATTGTGGTTACCTGGTTTAAAGTAGGAAAAAAAGAAAAGATGGCAGGTGCCTTTTAACTAATGGCTCTCTATTTTTTAAAAAAATGCTACAGTTAATGGAATTCAAAGTTATATAAAAGCCTACTTACAATATATAAACTCATTCTGTTTCTTTATCTAAACCAGTAATGGTTCATGTATGTGGTTGGACTGCTACTCTCAATGTCCCTTGTAAACTGGGGAAATGGAAGCTACAGTCCAACAACATCTGGAAAGCCACATATTTCCCAATAACAACTCAGATGACCAACCACGCAAGAAGCTTTCACAGATTCTACCTATCAATCCTAAGAAGAAGATATTCATTGTTACAACTGATCCAGAGATAACATTGTTTGCCCCAGTCTAGCTAGAGACCGATCCATTTTTCAGGAGCCTCTTGAATTTGGGAGGACAAAAATCCATTTTGATCCAGGAAGTTGGAAGATTCATTTTCAATCTGGCCCATTGGGGGGGGGGGGGGGGGGGGGGGGTTCCCATGCTCTCCTTCCGTCATTTTAGGCATAGTTTGTCCTTATATCCTTCATTAAGAACTGGATTAAAAGCATCAGAGTTAAGATACTACTTTTTCTAGGTTTGTTTGTCCTTATATCCTTCATTAAGATCTGGATTAAAAGCATTAGAGTTAAGATATCATTCTTTCTGGGATTGTCTGTCCTTATATCCTTCATTACGACCTGGATTGAAAGCATCAGTTAAGATACCACTTTTTCTGGGATCCTTTCCCTTCTGTCTTTAGAGGAGACCTGTGTTTAAGGCAAGGGCTTAAGAAACCGCGCTTCACAGGATCCTTTCCCCTTCTAGCAGTTGCCTCCCTCCCAGCACTTTACATGTAACCAAAACAAAACAAAAGTGGCCAGTTATCAACTGCCACTGTTCTGTTATGTTATGGCTGAGAAAAAAATGGTGGCGGAGCCCACGCTGTTATGGGCATCCAAACCAACCAAAGACCATTTTTGAAAATTGATCTATACACAAGCCTAGTGGCTGTATGAGGGGTTGCTCTTCCTCCTGCTATGTACTGCATGAGCCTCTATTTCACCTAGACAATGGTGATGATGCCACTGGGTGGGTGGAAGCTCTGGGGAGTATTTATTATTTATTTATCGTGTCATCAGCAACCATTGTATTACAATTCTGACAGAGCAAAACAAACACACCAATTAAAAAGAAAAAGGAAAAGAAAACACACAGATTTTGCAAATTTGATTAAATGTCCTTTGACCAGTATCTGGCCACTTGGAGTGCCTCTGGTGTTGCCACAAGAAGGTCCTCCATTGTGCATGTGGCAGGGCTCAGGGTGCATTGCAGCAGGTGGTCAGTGGTTTGTTCTTCTCCGCACTCGCATGCCGAGGATTCCACCCTGTAGCCCCATTTCTTAAGATTGGCTCTGCATCTCGTGGTGCCAGAGCGCAGTCTGTTCAGTGCCTTCCAAGTCGCCCAGTCTTCTGAGTGCCCAGGGGGGAGTCTCTCATCTGGTATCACCCATGAATTGAGGGGAGTCTCTCATCTTCTGGGGAGTAGTGACAGTGGAACGGCTGCCAGGAGAGGAGAAGGCATTGATGGAGTCTCCAACTTCTGCCATAACATTCATGGAAATGTTTATCCCTAGAGCTGCTGCTTGCATACATCAGGAGAGAGATGAGTAGGATGCAGAGGTGGATGGAGAAGCATTGGTATGGGCTTGGATTCAGCTGCAACAGTCAGATTCAGGCACCTCCCCAGGAAGATGAGACCCTGGTAAAGTGGTAGCTGCACTGTTGCAGTCCACGTGTATCTCTGTTTTGCATGAGCAACCAGCAGCAAGATGTTGCCCTCCATGTGTCATTTTCCCTCAACTGCACTTGCTTGACTTTCCACACCTGCCGCTTGTCTGTGTTGCTTCCCTACGCCATTTTTAATACAGACTTGTAAGCATTGTCACATATTCACAGTCTCTTTCATTCTCATGAGGCTTGCAGTCTATGCCTCAAACATTTAAAACTTGATTTCCATAGGCAACATGGTCTACATAAACCCCCCTAATACTAACAGCAACTTATAAGTATTCACAGCCTACAACTCAATCCAACAAAAAATGCAGAAAGAATCTGGAAAATTATAAATAAATTCACTTTTTGAGAACAGGGCAAGCAAGCAGTGAGTGGTATATTCTTAAGAATAGAAACAGACATTCATTTATATTTCAAACCCTAAACCCAATATTCCGAAGTGTATTCGATATCATTCTACAGCTTCCCTGTATGCATAAATATATTTGCACAAATTAACAGATGAAAAACCTCACCTTAATAATCAGTTTCTTTGTTGATGCTTTGAGCTGCAAGTGGTTGCTTGTCACAAACATTTTCAACAGTAAATAAAATACTGATCTTTCACCGCAAACTTTGTCAGTCTCCTCCTATAAGAACACATTTTACTGGTTACACTTGACACAATAGTTCAATATCTCTCCACCAATAAAGTGTTTTAATTGACAATCTGTACTGAGAACTAAACTGCTCAAAGGGTTGAAGGGCAAACTGAAAATCTTGTACTGAAGTGTAATTTAAGGCAACTCGCTTCAGGGAGGGAATGATGATGTTACCCAAGTGTTGCAATTCCCAGCAGGCACAGCCAACACAATCAGCAGTAAGAAATGTTGAACATAGCTGCCCTGGTCACTTTGAATACAATATGACTCTTGTATCTGAAGGGTTTACTTTCCTGAACATATAGTCAAAAGCAGAAAGTGGATACCACGTATCCTCTTGAAATAAAGTACTAATGCCAGAAGTTACCACAGAGTTGTCCCTGGATGACCAAAAAAATTCCTAGAGATATATCCATGCAATTAGTACTAAATCCAGCCCTGTTTATTTTGTAACATTATATTGTTTACGGTAATTTTTTATGGCTCTAGCCCTTGCTTCATAGAATAAGAAACTGCTTTAAGGCTTGCTTTCGAATGACCCAGGCTACTGTTCTGTTGGGAGGAAAAGGGAACTCATCACTATTATTTCCAATCACTTAAGATAAGGCAAAGGCATAGGAATATCATAACAACAAAGCAGATAGCCTACACCTAATCTTTAAAAAAGAGACAGAAAGACAAATGCCACATATGCTTACCTGCATTTTGAACCAGGAAAACTTATTTGCAGGCAGTTCTAGAGCCACCATCAGAATGTGATGTTGCAGAACTGGGGGGATCTCATGGCGCAGGCCCTTCTCAGTGACAATGCCTATGGTTGGAAAACAATATTGCTTTCTATTTTTTATATTTTCTTTTCATATTTTCATTTTATTTCAGGTGAAATGGTATTCTGTCTTCCAACAGAGCACAGAATATGGAATGACAAATTAAAACTGCAAAAATAAATCAAGGAAGAGGGATTTTTTTATTTAGAACAGCACATAACAAGGATCAGACAGCCTGGGAATTTTTTGAAGTAGATCTGCACCTAATATCTTAAAGTTAGCTTGTGATCATTTCCTGGGAAGAATAATCCCAAACAGAAGTAACAATAATTGAATGCATAATTATAATAAAATATTTTAAAATGATTTAAGACACACCAGTTAAAAAACAACCAGCACCCTACTGAAACAAATCAGCAAACAAGTAAGCTTAAAAGTCTAAAGTCTATCTGAATAAAAATGTGTTTACTTGCTAGTAGAAGGGTGATAAGGTTGAAATCACCCTGGCTACTCGAGTTTACAGTGTACACAAGAAATAAATCTTAAGCAGGTCTAACAGTTATTCAAAGCATTAGGCACTTGTCTTTGTTTGTGAAATCAATTTGGTTACTCCTTTTGAAAAGGAATAGTAGAATTGACATAAGATCATTACATAAAATCTGAAAGATAACATAATTGCTTTGTTTTTCAGAAGATATGCAAGCTTATCTCTAACACTGTCAACTAAAATGTATGTTTCTTTAAATTCCTAGATTATCAGTGTTAACAAAACCACAAAGCTTCAAAGACAGGTCTATTTAGATTTATATCATGTTTTCGACATTGCTTAAATCTAAGACAAGGGGCTTGCTGGTATATTGTAAAAGAATTTAAGCAAGAGCTGATTTGATAGAAAATCTACAAGACATTTCTATCAAATATCCAATGTACATCAGATAGTTTCCTTATACCAGGTCAGAGGACTGCCAATGTACACCTGGTTGGTAGTAGTGATCAAGGTTTCGGGGGCAGCAGGAGTTTCACATTGCTTGCTAACTAATCTTTTCAGCTGGAGATGTGAAAAATTATACATGAGAATTTTAGCAAGTAAAGAATAATTTTAAGCTTACTGGAATTACCTTTTATTAGTTTGCTGAAGTCAAAGTTGCTCTGTGCTATCAAGTGGGGAACCACTTGCTGATAAAGGCAGATAACATGAAGCAAGACAGCCTTCAAAAGTGTGGTTTCTGCATCGTCTGACCCTATAAAATGTACAAAATATATTTTACATTTTAGTTTTGTTACATTTATCAAATGCAGAGAAGTGGGATAGTTCTCTAATAAAATTATAACAAAATACAGTATTGTTCAGAGCCCCCGGTGGCACAGTGGGTTAAAGCACTGAGCTGCTGTGCTTGTTGACTGAAAGGTCGCAGGTTCTATTCCGGGGAGCAGTGTGAGCTTCCGCTATCAGCCCTAGCTTTTGCCAACCTAGCAGTTCGAAAACATGCAAATGTGAGAAGATCAATAGGTACCGCTCCGGCGGGAAGGTAATGGCGCTCCATGAAGTCATGCTGGCCACATGACCTTGGAGGTGTCTATGGACAATGCCGGCTCTTCGGCTTAGAAATGGAGATGAGCACCACACCCCAGAGTCAGACATGACTGGACTTAATGTCAGGGGACAACCTTTACTTTACAGTATTGTTCTATTCTTTGTAAGCCGCCCTGAGTCCCCCCTCGGGGGTGAGAAGGGCGGGGTAGAAGTAATCGAAATAAATAAATAAATATTATCCGGGCGGAGGCCACAAGAGGGCATTAGATAGAGAAGGGTAGTCTACAGAGGGTGGGTTTGAAGGAGGAAAACCATTTCCCTTGTTTTTTCTGATTATTCCCCCTCCCTACTTCCAATTTCATAAACACAACTGTGACATGGGTGGGGGAAATAAGAGAAAAACAGGGGGTGGGGTGGATTTACTCCTTCAAAGCCCCTTCTCCCCTGTAAAATGGACTATCTTCTCTGTCTAGTGCCCCCTTGTGGCCTCCACCTAGATAATGGAACAGTACCCAAAATACAACTGAACCTCCATATTTGGGGATCTGACTTTTGCGGATTTGATTTAAAATGCTATCTCCAGGAATCTCTAGGTCCTCCAATGCCACTCTGTGGTTAACGTCTTTTATTTTTATTTTATTTATTTACTGTATTTGTATACCGCCTTTCTCAGCCGGCAGGCGACTCAAGGCGGTTTACAGGCCAACAATTCAATGCCTACAATACCATAAATACAATTAAAAACATTAACATATAATATAAAAACCATAACAAAATCCATAAAACAATAAATCATTAGCATCGCCTTGTTAAAAACATTGTCTTCCAAAGGATGACTACAGAATCACTCTGAAGGACCTAAAGATTCCTAGATAGCATACTTCTCTAAACATCTGTAGGTCCTACATGCAATTCTATGGTCTTCTGGCTACTGAGTCACACTGGAGGATCTAAACAGGTGTTCTCTCAAGTTCATTTTTTAATTTGTGTTTTTTCCCCACTTTTGCAAGGTCCTAACTACAGAAATTGTGGACAGCTGTCTGCAATATGTTTTCTTTTCTTCTCAGAGGCATAGCACATTATTGAGAAACAGTGGCCAATGGCCAAGGATGATTTAAAAAGTAACCAAGTTAAACAAGTATCACAGAGTTAAAACTACAGACTCATAGTCTCATACCCTCTTCTGATGCTTCAGTGGCACAACCATCAACCCTGATGTAATAATTTTGGATAGAAAAATGCTGCACAGTGAGGCACTAAAACAGGCGTAAGGGAAAAAGCAACCCATGGTCTGCACATAGCCTTCAACCCCTTTGAAGATACCCTCAAACCACCCAGACCCTATTTTGAAAAAAGAACTTTGTATGAAACCATGATGCAAATGTGGCAACCTGATCCATTTCCCTCCATAAGCTCTCAAGCCCAAGAAAACCCAAACAGCAACCCCCACATGACATATAATCACATTTGGCCATTCGCTGTTGTCCACAGGGTGGAGAGAAATATGGCATCAACTCTCAATGCAGTTGCCCACTCCTGCATTAAAGGATGGTGAAATGAATAGGTAAGGAACAGAGAAATAACAGTAGTCTCACCTGCCTGGTGGATTCTAATGTTATATGTGTATTAAGAGACAACTACTTTATAGTTCGACAACCTTAGTTGCCCTTAATAGCATATTACTTCTCATTGCTTTATTGCAATCCTTTTTTTCCTGCAGGAAGAACTGAAGCTGAGATAGCATTTGTTGGTGTTATATACCTTTAGGTCAACTCCAATGTATGGGGAAACCTTTCAGAGGGTTTACTTGGAAAAATACATTCCTCTTAAGCTAAGAGAGGCTGAACTCAATGGGTTTCCATGGTTGAGTAGGGAACTGAACCCTGGTCTCTCAACATTCAGCCCACTTCACTGTGCTGGCTTGGCTCTAAATTTAGATCGGGGAAACTTCTTCAGTAGGGAAAAGAAGTAATAGTTTTGTATGCAATTTGCAGTGAGCAGAATATGCACAGGCCAGTCTGACTGTCTGACAAAAAGATTTCTTGAAACAGGAGCTCCATTTTTAGAACATTATTAGGTGCTGTTAAAAACATCACTCCTACAAGAGGTCATTAGCAAAATTTGCCTTAAAAAAACAGAACAGTGCCACTGTGATTCATCAGATATGATTCATTAATAGTCGCTGCTCTCATGCACACTAGATAAGATGACTAATTCTTTCCTACCATGCTCTCCATTTGTTTCTTTGACCTCAGCCATTTCCTCCACAATAAAAGAAGCATCTTCCGCAGTCCCTTTCAGCCCACCTTGTTCCCTCTCTTGCTTTAGAAGCGACTGCCAGACGGCTACTATGTTCGTCATATCTGGCAAAAGCTACATTTGAGAGAAAAAAAGGCCGGCATCAGCTGACAGATTACACAAGAGGGCCATTCCAGTATGTCTGTGCATAATTATTTGCAAAGCAGAAGTAGAAAAGAAAGACTTTGTCCTACAAAGACATATGAAAACTTGCCAAATATTACCCTTATTAAAAATAAATATTTAGGTTTTCCTGAAAGGATATTATTTATTTATTTGTCGTGTCAGAGCAACCAGTCCATTATATTACATTTCTAACAGAATAAAGCAAACAAATAGAAAAATACAAAACTTGTGAGTTTGGTAGTTGGTTAAATGTCCTTTGACCAGTATCTGGCCACTTGGAGTGCTTCTGGTGTTGCTGCAAGAAGGTCCTCCATTGTGCATGTAGCAGGGCTCAGGTTGCATTGCAGCAGGTGGTCAGTGGTTTGCTCTTCTCCACACTCGCATGTGGATTCCACTTTGTAGCCCCATTTCTGAAGGTTGGCTCTGCATCTCGTGGTGCCAGAGCGCAGTCTGTTCAGTGCCTTCCAAGTCGCCCAGTCTTCTGTGTACCCAGGAGGGAGTCTTTCATTTGGTATCAGCCATTGGTTGAGGTGCTGGGTTTGAGCCTGCCACTTTTGGACTCTCGCTTGCTGAGGTGTTCCAGCGAGTGTCTCTGTAGATCTTAGAAAACTATTTCTTGATTTAAGTCGTTGACGTGCTGGCTGATACCCAAACAGGGGATGAGCTGGAGATGTCTCTGCCTTGGTCCTTTCACTATTGGCTGCTACTTCCCGGCGGATGTCAGGTGGTGCAATACCGCCTAAGCAGTGTAATTTCTCCAGTGGTGTAGGGCGCAGACACCCCGTGATAATGCGGCATGTCTCATTAAGAGCCACATCCACTGTTTTAGCGTGGTGAGATGTGTTCCACACTGGGCATGCATACTCAGCAGCAGAGTAGCACAGCGCAAGGGCAGATGTCTTCACTGTATCTGGTTGTGATCCCCAGGTTGTGCCAGTCAGCTTTCATATGATATTGTTTCTGGCACCCACTTTTTGCTTGATGTTCAGGCAGTGCTTCTTGTAGGTCAGAGCATGGTCCAGAGTGACTCCCAGGTATTTGGGTGTGCTGCAATGCTCCAGTGGGATTCCTTCCCAGGTGATCCTTCAGAGCTCGGGATGCTTCTCTGTTCTTGAGATGGAAGGCACATGTCTGTGTTTTAGATGGGTTAGGTATTAGCTGGTTTTCCCTGTAGTAGGCAGTAAGAGCACCTAGAGCTTCAGAGAGCTTCTGTTCTACCGTCTCAAAGCTCCCTGCTTGGGCAGTAATGGCACGATCATCAGCATAGATGAAACTCTCTGTCCCTTCTGGCAGTGGCTGGTCATTTGTGTAGATGTTGAACATGGATGGAGCAAGCACGCTCCCCTGAGGCAGGCCGTTCTTCTGTTTCTGCCATCTGCTTCTCTGGCCCTGGAACTCAACAAAAAAGCTCCTGTTTTGTAGCAGGTTTCCTATGAGGCGGGTGAGGTGGTAGTCCTTTGTGATATTATACATTTTTCTCAGGAGGAGGTGGTGGTTCACAGTATCATAGGCTGCTGACAGGTCTATGAAGACAGCTCCTGTGATCTGCTGCCTTTCAAAGCCATCTTCTATGTGCTGAGTCAGGTTCAGCACTTGCGATGTGCAGCTTTTGCCTTTCCTGAAGCCAGCTTGCTGTGGAATCAGACATGGGTCTATTTTTTCCATAATTCTATGCAAAATAAGTATCTCCAGAACTTTGTAGAGGTGGCACAACAGGGAGATTGGTCTGTAGCTTTTTGGGTCATTACGGTCTTTGCCTGGCTTCAAGATGGCGATGACTCTTGCTTTCCTCCAGATTTTGGGGATCTGACAGGATGCTGTGCAGTTGTTCATCAGCTCCAGCAGCCAGCACCTTGCTTTGGGACCAAAGTTCTTGATTTGTTCCATCCGTAGATCATCCAGGCCAGCTGCTTTGCCATTTTTACATTTATTGAGAGCCATGTCCAATTCAGTAGATGTAAAGGGTTCATGGAGGTTGTTGTTCTCAATCTCTGGTTGCCTGGCTATTGGTTTCTTTCCTACTTTGGTGGCAAAGTTGGGTTTCCCATTCTTCAAGAGTTGGTGTGCTATCTGATCTGCCTTTATGTTGGCATGGGTATTAGTTTGTGAGGGGTCATTGCTCAACCGTCTCAGCAGCCTCCACGCCTTCTGGCTGCTCCTGCCCATGTCGGCCTCTGTGATCAGCTTGATCCACTGTTCTTTCTTGGCTTCAGAGATGGAGGACACAATGCTCTGCGCTGCCTGGAGGGTTTGCTCACTAAATGGGTCTTCGTTGTGGAGCCTGTAATAGTTTTCCAACAAGGCAGCTGTTTCAGGGGTAATGCCCTGAAGGTAGTTGGTTCTGCAGCCTCTCGGTATGGAGGCCCGTGAGCAGGTTTTCACGATTTCAATAAACTTGCTTGTGGTTGCTTCTGGATCGAGAATTATTGAAAGGATATTAAAGACAGTAACAATGAGAGAAGAACAAATCACAATTGAAATGCTGAAATCTCTCAAATCTCAAGATTAATTGTTCAAATAAATTGGATGGTTTACTCAGATGGATGTTTAATTCAATGGTTCATTTGTGGAGATAATTACAAATAATAATAAATATTTTTAATCTCAAGAGAATTTTTTTTCTGTGGAAGGTTTATTTTTGCTCCTCTCAGCTGGTCAGAAGCAAAATGAAAAGTATAGACCTTTTAATGTCAATATTTCCATTGGTTTCATAGCAACTACTAATATATGCATATCCTTCCTAGTATGTATGAACTATTTAAAGAAGAAAGTGTTTAATTCAAATGTTACAAGTTAAAGAAACATTATTGAGCGTTCAGAAATTCAAAATGCTATGGAGCTTCAGCTTTGAAAAATTGAAGAAAAACCTTCTTTATCTCTAACACAGCACACAACTGAAATGTCAAGAAGCTACAATTATCCTAACTCTTCGGAGTCGTCCAATCTTTCATTCAGGCTTTCATGCTCAAATCATCACTGCTACATAACAAAATCCTTAAAATAACAATAGAACTTTAACATTCTACCCTTCATCTATTAACATCTTACAACCATAGAGAACTTCAAACAATATACTACAAAGGTAAATACAGGAAGCCCCCACTTAACTGATGGGTTAGGGACCAGACCGCTATCAGAAAGACGAATCCAGGTTATTTTAATTTGCAGAAGCATTTGGGCAAGAAATATAAAGAACATACTATATGTCACTTTTTTTAAAAAAGAGCTTTTAAAAGAGCTTTTGCACACATGCAAAAATTATTCAAGGAGGTGCTCCCTCTTTCTATAGGCAAACCTTAGGACCATGTCTCTAAAATGCAGTCCTATGCAAACCTCTTTGGCAAGAAGAACTGATAAAAGAGGAAACCACTCCTCAAATTAATGTAATTTTAATTTGCAAGCACTGAAAGAATAAGTCACCAGAAAGCCATCAAAATACAGGTGAAACTTATACTCTTTTGAACATTTTAGATACAGAAAAAGGTGGACAGTTTTCTGAAACATTTAGTGCTCCATAAATCTTGCTCGGTACCTTGCTGAGTGCCTCCCGGTATTGCTGCACAAATTCCTGCATGACAGATGGAGTATATATTTCGGACTTCTCCCATATCTTCTCATTCAGACAGTACTCCATGTTCTTCAGTGCTCGTTTCAGAACAACTGATAGAATTGAAAATATTGTGTGTTTCACTGTTTTACTGGCTATCTAAAATAAAAAAGAAATACCCTGTTATTGTGCTTACAATTCTTCCACATTTAATCAATGTACTCTGAATTTTAAATACAACAACATAATGAAAAAATTGAAAACAAATCCGAAGATAATCAAGAAAAAGTTCAGAGAAAGGAGTGATATAAAGGTCATTGGATGTCGAATAAGAATGCAGAAACCTAAAATGAGGCCTACAGCTAAAACATTTTAAGAGACTATATGCATAGTGCCTTACTTAGGGGCCCAAGATATTATTTTTCCAAGGGCCCAGAGGATGGTGATATACTCAAAAATGTGGTAATTGCTAACAAATTATTTCACTTCTATAACTATTTCGAGGCTGTACTTGCCAGCAGTGCTTTCTGAAAAAGCAAACTATTTTGCCCATCCAAAGCTGTTTGCTTTAAGTGAAATATTTCCTTCCAGACCTGTGTCCAATCAGGATTTGAGGGCAATGCACAATTATATTACAATGAATAAAATCAACAATGTATAATAGATATGGCACAGGGCTTCCTACACATAATAACATAATTTTATAAATATCAATTTATAAAATATATATTAATGATAAACTAGTGGGGTGACTCAGAGATTTGCCATGGGCCAGGTGTTGTTTAACAGTTTGATAAATCACTCAGGCACGTTTATCAAATTTGCAGAAGACATCAAATTAGCTGTGAGGTAATTATCCCAGAGAACTGGATCAGAATTCAAAAGGACCTTGACAGAATGGAGACCTGAAAATGAATTTGAACACTTAAGATGTTAACATGTTGTTGATACAGCCCAGAATTTCATTGCCTTTTCGTTTGGCTGCTACTACATGCTGTTGACTCATGTTTGGATTTGGTCTACTAAAACCGCTAGATCCTTTTCACATGTGCTGCTTTCAAACTAGGTATTACTATCCTATATCTTTGCATTTCATTTTTCCTGCCTAGAGGCTGGTGGACTCTATCTTTGGAGGTATTTAAACAGAGGTCGATTGTGCATCTTTAAAGAGTACTTAATATTACACTTGAAACAAAACAAGCAATGGTTACAAAAATAAAGGTATCTTTAAGCTTCAAGATACTGACTTTCTTTAAACCATGGTAAAATTGAACTATGGTTAGTTAAAGCAAGTACATGTCAATGTTTGTTATGGTTTAACTTTTACACTGACAGAAAAATACTTCCAAACTCATTGACATGCCTGAACCAGAGGTGGGGGAGCATGAGAGTCTAAGGCTTGCACAGCTTTCTCTTTGTAACGCTAAAGGACATAAATGTAGTAAATGAGTTCCTACAACTGAATAGTAAGGAAACAGCAAAGGACTAATTCTGACAGATTTTTAAAAGTTCTCACATTTAATCCTTGGGTGAACATAGCTTTATTGCACACTGCAGGAATGGTTGTCACCATCACCATAGAAAGCAATCGAGGAAGTGGAATGAACTCTGTGGTTTTAAAAGCATTGGAAATTTCTGGCTGAGCCTCATAGATCTGAAAATTCAGAAGAAGAAGAAACAACTTTTAAAACAATACTAATGAGACTATGAATGCTATAATCAAGGGGACAAGGGGAGGATGACTGGCAGGTTCTTAGGTTGGAGCTATGGGGCCAGCTGGAAAAGGGATTCATCACAAACATCTATGTTCAAAAACTATACTCCAAATTTGGCAAAAAATATTAAAAGACAAAAATAAACAAATATGAAGGGAAAGAATTCTTCTAAGGTTTTTTTAAACCTGCCAGACTCTTGTTAAAGTGTGGGAATCTTTTTCAGAAAAACTGCACTCCCACTTGCTATATTTCCCACCAAATCTAATATTTATACATCTTTGTCAAATAAGAGAAGTATTTTGTTAACTAATTATCTTAGACCTTATTTTCACCCAGTCACTTTTGAGATTGTAAGAGTATCATCCATATAGTCTCATAATCTTTGATAACCAAATGAAAGAAATTAATGCAATACACCGATAGCATCCTTTAATTCAGCAGGAGCACTGCTTTCTTATCATATCTTTTTCTTTTAAAAATAACTTTTTAAAAGTTATTTCTTTTAAAGGATTTCATTTTAATATTTAATAAGATACAACCACTGTCTAGAATAGAAAATATGCATGATCATGGAAGGCTATGAATCAATGCTGACCTAATTTATCTCACACTGGTTAAATAAAAACATATCAGCCACACATTTTTGACACTAGCAACACTTACTATTAGTTCAATTTATACTAGCTAGATAATCTTGAATCCAAAATGTATCAGCCACATAACTGTTTCTTTAGCAACCCACACAGGGGAGCCCTGGTGCAGATGCAATGGAAGAGTTCAGTAAATACAGTGAAAGATAAATCATATACTGTCCATGATTAAATAACCTGTTTTAGTTAATATTGTACTCTTTCTGAAGCAGTCAGAGCAGTTAGCAACTAAACAAAGCAAAAGGGTACAAAAAAAGTAATTGCTCAACTACAATGTTCTTGCTTACTGTTTAGTGTGAAAAATGTTTACATTACACACAAATGGAATTAATTGGATTAGGATAGTATGTCAATGTGGACCTTATCTGGAGAGTATTGTGCCCGCCTCACTTATTCATGCACAAACTGACATAGAGACCACTGCACTACTGATATGGGGCTGGTTTCAAAGGCAGTGCAAAAATGACAATAAGTGCAAAATGCAGTAATTTAAGTATCAGTACACGCAGGCAGTAGGATCATGCATAAAACTGCTCATTCCTGATACAGAAGAGAAAGTATAGAGGTTCACATCAAGGAAATTAATTTAATTACTAGGACTGTAATCATAGCAGAAATGTTGGTAACAGCAATTCCTATGCACAAATAGAACAGTTTATATAAAAATCATACCTTTCTCAATAATTTCATGTTGTCCAGCCATGCTGATTTTAGTCTGGGAACAAAAGAATACTGGGACTCCTTAAAGTATCTGTTCAGTAAATCTGGGCACACTTTGAAAATGTTCATCACAAGATCAGCCACCATTTCATCCTCCACAGCAGTCTTCAAACTCAAGAGAAAGCGCAGGAGCACTAAGTTCCCTCCTCTAATAAAGGCAGATTTTGAGACAAAAATAATTATTGTAGTATCAGTTAGTTTACTATCATAACAACTGGCATCTACTGCAGTCACATGAAATCAGATACTAAGATTTTTTTTTTACTTTTTAAGGATCAGACTCCATAAGTTTCATATGCTGCTTTTCAATTTTTTCTCCCTTTTGAAAGAAACATATTAAGCAAACTGCAGTTTGATAAACAGATGGCTACATAATGGTGGAAATTGTGCAGCCGTTTTGATGTTGCTGAACTACTGCTCCCAGCACTTCTAGTCAGCACCATCCATGGTGATGAATGCTGGAAGTTGAAGTTCAGCAACAAAAGACTGCTGGACAGGTCCCACCCTTGACTTAGTCCTAGTGAGAGTTACTGAACCCTGTGGAATACACACTTCACTTCCGACTTTCAAAGTTCCCTCCAATTCGATAGACCTACTCTAGTTGGGATTAACAACTGGATATAGTCCAGAGGGCCCCTGGTGGCACAGTGGGTTAACCACAGAGCTGCCGAACTTGTTAACCAAAAGGTCAGCGGTTCAAATCCAGGGAGCGGGGGTGAGCTCCTGCCATTAGGCCCAGCTTCTGCCAACCTAGCAGTTCGAGTAGATCAATAGATACCACTTCTGCAGGAAAGTAATGGTGCTCCATGCAGTCATGGCAGCCACATGAACTTGGAGGTGTCTATGGACAACGCCGGCTCTATGGCTTAGAAATGGAGATGAGCACCACCCCCTAGAGTCAGATAAAACTAGACTTAATGTCAGGGGAAACCTTTACCTTTAGTATAGTCCAGAGTCCAAATTCTTCCTTGAATGTATGCAGCTTGTGATGTCTCATTACAATGAGGGATTACATATAGCAGGCCCTTAGTATCAATTGGGATTTGGTTCCAGGAACCAAAATCCATGGATGATTAAATATTATTATGTACAATAGCATAGTAAAGGATGTCTCTTATATAAAATGACAGAATAAAGATCTGTTTTTTGGAATTTTGGTTTTAACATTTTTCCAAACTGATAGTTGAATCTGTGCATGCAGAATCTGTAGATATGGAAGACCTACTATATATGCCTCAGATAACTGGGAAAATTTGTTATTCACGAAGAAAAACAAACAGTAACTGCCTTTAGATGAACATCATTTCTTTTGATTTGAAAGAAAGATAGCCTGTTTCAAATCTGACCCAGTAGGAGGTGACAGTCCAGATATTGCACTGTTTTATGCCTAACTGGGAATTCCCTAAAACTCTAGAAGTTTTGTTATTTTTTTCTCAGCTTTCTATTTGATATTCTATTTTTAAGCTTTTCTCTATGAACAAAAGTGTGTATAGGACAATTTTAATTACACATATAGATATAAATTATCTCTCTGTAAAGAGGAATCATTCTTTCTCAGAGGGCTACTGCATGACCATCCAGAAGCACAGAAGTAGAGGGCTAGGTTGGAATGGACACTATGGGTCATACAGCCTCAACTCACTGCTAATCAGGAAATCTAAAATATCCTCGACAGGTGCCCATCAAAAACCTAAAAGTTCTCAATGAAGAGAGGTCCATTGGAGTTTTTAAAAGCAAAGCTGGATACCAGCCTATCAATCTTATTCTCCTCATCTATTGCCACTAACAAAATAGCTATCATGTCAACTCAGCTCAGAAACACTAGGGAGCAATTTGAGACAAAGAACAAATTGAGATGGGATGAATGTCTCAATTGTAGTGAGGCAAGAATCTTGATCAGCATTTTCCCATAAGGGCAATGCATATATAAACACTTCATGTTAGTTTATCAACCACTGGACTCTTCATATCTATCCCTAAAGAAAATGTTCTACTTTTAATTATATTTCTCTTTACAATATTAAAGGGGAACTATGGCAAATATACTGTTACTGTTCCTCACATGCACAACAATTTATGTACTTATAACAGTTTTCATCGGATAAATATGCAATTAAATATGGCAAATTGAAATGATATAGCAGTAGGAGATAAAATAAACAGAATCCAAAAGGGATATTGCTTAAGGTGGAACTGACAATGTTACACCATGATGAAACTTAAATACAGAGAGGAGGACATTCAGACAGATATCAGGAAAATATCAGTTCAAAATTAAAGATCTTACAGTTATCTTCTACATTTCAAAAAAGAAGTTATAAAATGACCGGTCCCTAACACCCTAAGCTGAAAACCAAAGCAGATGTGACTTCAGAGGTGTAGTGAATAGACTGAGCCTTTGGTATCCTTTGAGAAGCAACTAAAAACCTACCTATGCTCCCAGCATATGTAGAACCAAATGCTTGAAGATCTGGCTTTACCAAAAAGGGAAAGGTTTTGTGGATATGGTTTTAAACTCTGGGTGTGACTTTTTAACTCTGGGTATGGCATTTAATGTTGTTGTTGTTTTGTTTTTTTACTGCTGCTGTGAAATGTGTTATATTGGTCTTTGATTATGATTTGTTTTCTGATTTGATGTTTATACTATTTACCTGTATTGTTTAATTTATTGTTTTTTTCTATGGAACTGAATTGTTGCCTTTTATGTTGTAAGCCACCCTGAGTCCCCATGGGAAGATGGGGTGAGATTGATTGATTGATTGATCCACTGGATTTTGATTACAGGACCCCTCAAAGATCTATAGATGCTCAAGTCCCATAATAAACAATGGCACAATAAAATTGTATCCTTATATAAAAAGGCAAAATCTGTTTGCTTTTCATATCTATATATCTACATCTATATATATATTCAAGCTGTGGATGGTTGAACCGGTGGCTAGAATCTGTTAGTGCAGAGAAGCAATTGCAGCTACTGTTTTATTTTAATTTTTTTTTACTCTGGAGTGAATACAGAGATACCTCACAATCAAGACTGGAAACTTTACACAGACTGGTTTTGTGATGGGAAAAGAGAACACTTCTTTCTCTTGTAATTCCAATCTGTGCAGTTCCAACCCACCAATCTACCTGAAAAAAAACAATGACAAGGAAACCCAACATTTTCAAAGACCCTTTGCTAGGCAGGCTTTCACGAACTAAATGTCATTGGGAAACTATCTGTTTAACTCAAACCAAAGAGTCCCATGCCCTTTTACAAATCTAACAAAGCAAACAAAATTGCTTTGGCTTCATATGCAGACCACAGGCAATGGCCTGTTCAACACTGTACTAATGCCCAGTCCTTAGTGCAACAGGATTTTATTCTGTCTTTATGTCCTTTGCGGCATATGAAAGCCTACTTTTGAGACCGGAGAACATATACAACAGTAGCTCCCTTTCGGTTCCACTGATGGAAACATCTCTGCAAGTAGAACAACCCTACTGAACTTTTGTCCATTCTTTGCTGAGAGAATGAGAAAAAATGGTATCGGGAGAACAGTTGGGGAGCTTCCAAATCCAACACCTCGAGGATAAGACCTGGTCTTACAAAGATTGCTTTTTGGACTACAATTCTAGAGTCAATATGGAACTGAGTCCAAAATATCAACTTTATAAAAGCACTGAATGGGAGTATGATCACAGTCCATCCCTGAAGCTCTGCTTGTACATAATTAAAACATTCTGAAAACCTTACTATATCACTCCTTCTTCTCTATATGGGGTTCAGCATACATAGAATACAAAATAAGACAAAACAGTACTGTACCAAATTTTGCTTTGAATCTAAGTAAGCTGAAAATAGTAATAAGGAAGAGGAGGAAAGAAAAAGAAGAGGTTAAGTACCAGATAACTTGAATACCTTCCAGATGTGCCAAGACTTGGGTCATAAAAATTAATTCCATGCTTCAGAGAGCAGCAGAGATCCATTAAAAAATTATGAACCAATTCTCTCACTACCACTTTTCCTGCTTCCTCTGGATCTTGTGATGCCTGCGCAGAATAGAAAGTTTAAAGAGGGGATGTTGGTTAAAATCTTTATATCCACCCTTTCTCCAGACATCTCAGGATAATGTATAATACAACCAATCTCAAACCTTAAAACAATATTAATATTTTATAATGATTTTAAAAGATATAATATATTAAACAATTTAAATAATTTAAATGGTTTAATAATAGTAATAATATTTCTTACTCTCCTCACAACTCGAATTCTACAATGAATTCTAGTAATGTAAGTAGGAGGTTTCCATTGTTAAAATTAATTAAGTCCCAAACCTTTCATGGGAGATTCTTAAGAATTGGCCAAAAACATTTCACCATATTTGTATTAACATTTCATTGTAGTCTGAGGATTAAATGTGTGTCTTGCATGTCTTAAGTGCAAGGAAGCAGAAGATAAAAACTCATGGAGTTTCTTTTGTATTCACGTGCAAAATAATTCACAATCACTTAAAACCAAACATAATTTTCCCAAATATGTATTTATTTATTTACTGTATTTATGGCACCAATTAAATAATAATAGTAATAGTAATAGTAATAGTAATAATAATAATAGGCCTGCACTTAAAAACAATCAGTGCTGACAAAATTACCATCTGTCAGCCGCAAACGGCCATCCTACTCGGATCTGCATGCATTATTCGCTGATTCATTACACAGTCCTAGACACTAGGGAAGTGTCTGATGTGTGATTGAATGCAAAAGCCAGCATAGTGATCTTGTTTGCTGTGCACTAATCTTGTTATGTATCAAATAACAACAACAAAGAATGTTATTTTTAACTAGCCCTATCTCCCTGAGGGGACTCGGGGTGGTTTCCAACAGAAAAATGGCAAACATTCAATGCCAAAGATGAATAATAACCAATACACAACTAAATTAAATAAACAAAACAATATAAGAACAACAAAACAAGATATTCAAATAGTTAAATAGAACTTAATCAATCCAAATCAATCAAGCATACAGCCACATAAGGATCATTTTTTTTGTCATGTCAGGAGCAACCTGAGAAACTGCAAGTCGCTTCTGGTGTGAGGGAATTGGCCGTCTGCAAGGACGTTGCCCAGGGGTCGCCTGGATGTTTTATCATCCTTGTGGGAGGCTTCTCTCATGTCCTCGCATGAGGATCTGGAGCCGATAGAGGGATCCTCTCCCCGGATTCAAACCTGCGACCTGTTGGTCTTCAGTCCTGCCGGCACAGGGATTTAACCCACTATGCCACTGGAGGATCTAATAAAGCTAAAATACTTTAATAAGAACTGCAGCTCAACAAGCCAGGGTAGGTCAGCATGCTTCCAGTTGAAAGTATAATACATGATGTACCAGTCCTCCTCCTAAAGTTAAAGCGTGTTTTAGTTGTTTTTTAAATGAGAAGAAGGTAGGGGGCATTTTTACCTCTTTGGAGAAGAAGTTCCAGAGGTGGGAAACAATCACAGAGAAGGCCCCCTCTCTCACCAGTCACGCTTAGGACAGGGGTGAGAACGAGAGCAGGGCCTCCTCTGCAGACCGCAGTGCCCGAGCTGGTTTGTAAATGGGGATGCAGTTTGTGAAATAGGCTGGTCCCGAATCGTTAAGGGCTTTATAGGTAATAACCTATCACAGTTAGAAATTTACTACCTAAAGCTGGGCCTAGTCAGGCATTCTTTTTTTACTTCTTGGATTAAGAGACAAGAAAAACTCTGTCAGATTTGCTGCAAGAGGAGTAAAACAAAAGATGGTAAGGACTTGCTATACCTTCACATCTTCAGTGTTAACATCAGCAATTCCATTCCAGCGGTAGAGTGAAGCAATGTGGCTCAATACTTCTGCAGTAAAAAAACGTACTTTCTGGGTCTTGCTGATATTTTTATTCTGAACCACCTAGGAATAAACAAAATTCATGCTCACATTTCAAGAATAAGACAGATTTTTAAAACCAGGTTTTATTTATTTAATTATGTTCTAGTGCATAACAAAAGTGCTGAAAGATCTCAAGTTACACTTCAGGGCTGGCTACAGGAGTCATTTTATGTCACTAAAAAGTGTCGTAATATTTATGTATTGAAGGAAATATCTCAAAGAATAAAAAAAAGACATACATTGTGGTTTATCTTTTATGTTTGGCTACGTTTGTTTTACTCTTCTGTGGCAAGTTTTTAAGCTTTGATTTACTGTACTTTGATTTATCTACATGCAAACATTAACAATGTTTCCAAGAAAGGGAAACATTCTCATTTTGGTTTCTAAACACTGCTGTTTTGATGACAGATTTGTATCTATTTATATTTTTCAGGACTTTTTCCTACTTTTGGAATTCAGACATTACTGACAGATGACATCATTGACCACATTAGAAGATCGACAGTGGAATTAACATTTGTTCTTAGTTTTTAAACTGTCATAACAACTTGCTGTTTCTGCTACAACAGACTAACATATTTATATGTCTAGAAAATGCATTCTTTTGAAGTCCCAAAAGAGGCTATGGAGGAATTTACTTTCAAACACATCATAAACAATTAAATTTAATGCCTTCAGTATTCTTTTTCCCTCACCATACAAAGGATGCTTATATATTACATTTAATACTACATAAAAGTGGGTGCTTGCAACACTAGTGTCTTTGTTGTCTAAAACTCAGCACAAACAAATTTTAGGTTCCTGTCTTTAAAGCATTTTGTAATCAGTCAATCCATGGTAGAAATGCTGACAAACACTAAAATGCAGCAAAACATTAAGAAATTGGTAATTGGATATTTTTTGAAAAACCACAACAAAACTATTTGAAGAACTAAAAGAAAATATTACAGATGAATCCATTTCATTACATTCATCAATACTACAGATGAAGCCATTTCAAGGGTGTACCTTAGATGCCAATGTGGAAAGCAGAAGACTAATTGTAGAAATCCGATCTTCCTTTAAGCCAGTTCTGAAAATATCTGGAATAAAATCTATAAGCCATTTGAAGATGTTAAAATCATAATAGGAAAACAGTAAGCATTTTAAAAATAACATCTGTTTCACTGAACCTTATCACTGATATATTAAAATATGTTGCAGTCTACAAGTGAAATCAAAAGGGAACAGATATAAACACAACAACAACAACAATAGGTTCTTGTGGGTTTTTTCGAGCTATATGGCCATGTTCTAGAGGCATTTTTCCTGACGTTTCGCCTGCATCTATTGCGGCTTACATCTTAAAATCATACAAACAACATCCCAAATACATCAATAATAAATATAAACATTATAAAATAATTAATTTAAACCCACACTGACTTCCAATTAACCTGAAACATTGGGAAGACACTCTTGAATTGTTCCTCTCTAGAATGGACAACAGATTGTCTCATTCATTACACACTGTAGCAATATCTCGCATGCATTTTTATCCTTGCACCTGCCATTCACTATTCATGTAAATAGCAACCAAATCTTCTGAAGGTTTCACAATTTTCTCCCATTATACACTTTGCCAATACGAATCCTAGGCAAATGAATCTGCACAGCCCCCAAAACCTCTATCACTTCATTTAAAAACCTTTAATATCCCAAATAGGCAGAATACTGGAAAGAGTGAAAAATACCTTTTAGCTCCAGAACATTGACAAGGATTGTATTATCACCAGCAATAAAAAAAGAAAGAGCATACTGGATATATGCCATACGGACATCAGGTTTGCCCTAAACAAATGTTGAGGCAAAAAATATAGGATAAATGGGATTAGTAACTCATAACTCTCTTTAAATGCAATCCTAAATACAACAATACAGATTACAGCAGTCCATCAGTCAAGTGATTATTCAGATATTTCTTGTATATGTTTAATAAAGCGGTCTGTCATTCAGTGCCTCCAAAGTGGTGGTATGAAGAAGTACAAAAAGTAAGCACAAGGAAAATACTAGTTCCTTCTTGGCTCCAGCCTATGATATTTCTGTACCAGCAGTTTCTTTTTGTCATGGGCTGCATTTAAGTATTAATCACTGCAAAGCACACATTAATGTTCAGTCTGTGTGTGGTTGTGCCTTTAAGTCCTCTGTCAACTTTGGTGACCCATTAAATTCATATTTACTTGGGCAAAGAATGCTCAGAGGTAGTTCTGCCAGTTTCTTCTTCTGAAATATAGCTTGCAAGTTACAGTATTCATTAGTGGTCTCCGATCCAAGTACTAAGCAGGATTGTTGTTGTTGTTCATTCGTTCAGTCGTTTCCGACTCTTTGTGACTTCATGGACCAGTCCACACCAGAGCTCCCTGACGGTCGTCACCACCCCCAGCTCCTTCAAGGTCAATCCAGTCACTTCAAAGATACCATCCATCCATCTTGCCCTCGGTCGGCCCCTCTTCCTTTTTCCTTCCATTTTCCCCAGCATCATTGTCTTCTCTAAGCTTTCATTTCTTCTCATGATGTGGCCAAACTACTTCATCTTGGCTTTTACTATTTTTCCCTCCAATGAGCAGTCAGGCTTTATTTCTTGAAGTATGGACTGGTTGGATCTTCTCGCGGTCCAAGGTACTCTCAGAACTTTCCTCCAGCACCACAGTTCAAAAGCATCTATCTTCCTTCGCTCAGCCTTCCTTATGGTCCAGCTCTCACATCCGCAGATAATACTCTATAAGCAGGATAATACTCTATAAATTCAGGAAAACTACACTATATGAGTTTGCAGTATGCAGCAAAGAAAAATGGAGCATATCTGTCCATTTTCACTCTAGAACTCAAATTGTCACACAATTCAGGTCAGTTTGGTTATACAGTGAGGAACTTATGAAAACACCAGGAGTGATAAAGGAATGGTTAAAAGTTCCTGATCGCCAGCTGAACTTTGTCCAATCCAGCTACTTTCTGGAAAAGTAGATTTGGGAGGGTCAAACCAGGAGATGCTAGCTGTTTATTCACACATAACAAAGGAGACATCGTAGAATTCTAGCCTGTCATTTTCAAGGAAGTGGTGCCTACATTTTTTTTTTAAAAAAAACTATGTAGCTTAATGTTTTCCCACAACACATCAATTAATACTGCTAATATCTAGAAGAACAAACAGAAATAAAATAGATGACTGGCTTGTTAACTCTTACTGTGCATTGGACATAGAGAAAACTATAATTACAGAGTAATCAGTTTACAAATGTGTAGATTTACTCTTACCTTATAATCTCTTTTCTTTACTAAACTAGGTAGGAATTTATTATTGAAATCAAAATGGGTGTAGACATCCCTTGCAGCATCTGGCCCCTGTGTTACCATTGCTGACAGCAAGGTGAGACACAGACGAGAGAGTCTATACAAATACAGTGGGAGAGACGATATTGTTTAAACTGCACAGGCAAACACACCAGAGAGAAATTAAAAAGTGTGACTTGACATCCAGGAAATGAAGGCTGTTTTCAGTTAAATTAACCATGGCTGAAGATATATGGGAGGAACATGCATTTTGGGTATTCTTGCTTTCAGAAGAATGGATTAAAATTGCAGACAATGTATTTTACATTAAACTACTTTTCCAAGTAAAGTCTCCATTCAATTCTGGTTTTCAAAGCTTGTTTCAATGTTGTGGCCACCATTTCATATTGTGAAACGGCCTGCCACTGCAGCAAATGTTTGGATGCCATGAAATACAACAGCCTAAGTCCCCAAATAGAGAAGACTAATTTAATCAACTGAATATCATCACATATATAAAGCTCACTGTTTGAATGGGTCTTTTCTCATTGGAGCTAGCATTTTGTTGTAGGCCAGGCTTAGCAACTGAATTGGGGGCCACTTTTTGCCCCCCACATTCCCCCAGAAGACCACAAAATATGTTTCTAGAAAACCAGAAGTGCGATCATGTCACTTCCAACAAAAAACTGGCCATAGTTTCCCTATTTCTGATTTAAACCAGATCAATTTGTAGTGTATTATCAATGATTTTATCACAATATGCAATACTTCAAAATGTACAATGCTCTCTCTGAATTTTGTAGCTGAAGAATCAAGAAGCGAGTATCCATTCATGTCTACTTTCTCTGCAGCTTTCAACATACACAAATAAACACGTATGCAAAAAACATAGCAAATTCAATGGTTATTCACAGACTGGCATCTGTTTGCCCTCTGTCCAAAGCAGAATCTGCTAAGGTTGTGCAAGTACAACAACCCTGAAAAAAACCACCATCCTAAATAAAATATACTTTGTGTTCTTCTAAGATCTCTTCTATGGTCTAAGTAAGCAGAGTAACAGGTAATGGAGCTGTTGTTTCATGGTGTGTTCAGAGAAAATCTATTTCAGATTTTGCACCTTTGTCTTACAGCAGACTTACCGATGTCCTTCAGAATACAAAGCTGCATAAATTAATTTCATGTATTTATTGAGCATCTTCTTAACAATATTCATTCCCACAACATGAAAATGGGACAGATCGCTTGCTGTTCGCAGCAAAATAATTTCCAGAGCTTGGAAGATTAGGAGCATCTGCAACATTGAAATATATATATATATATTTCTTTTTGTAGTAAAAATTGAACAAACAGACAATATTACTAAAAGGGTTGAGGCCTCATCCTAAATAAAATATTCTTTACTGCAACACTAGGTAACGTTGCAAAAATGCAGCAAAACATAGGTTCCACCCCCTGCTATAAACTTTAAATCAGAACATAGAATATTAAGTGAAATTTTGGAAAGGAAAGCTTCTGTTGGCATTCAGGACAGAACTGTGGACTGCAATTGTACAGAATATGAATATAAACAAGCATATCCAGTGTTGAGAAAATGTAACCAAAGTCTTGAAACTGGTATACAATTACAAAGAAAGTTGGGAAACAATGGAATAGAATCGTGAAAGACAAGATTAAAAAGTTGAGTAGCAACTCAACACATACCCAAAAGACAACAATATAAATTTCAGAAGATCTAAAAAGAACTGTTAAGTGCCTCACACAGATTCTTAATGCCAACAATCTATTCTAACTTAGATTTAAAAATAATAATAATACTGGAGTACACTCCCAAGTACACATTTGATTGTATGTGACCAAAATACTGACCTCACTTTCAGGGCGTCTTTCACCATCCAAAAGTTTTAAAATTTCTGCACATTCAACAGAAACTTTTACATATCCCTCTACGACATCATATCGTTCTCCTGATGGTAAACATTTAGCTAAAGACACAAATGTTTCTAAACCTGGAAAAAGAAGAACAAGTCTTTTTCATTAAAATTATCAGCTTAATAAATAAAGAGGGTTTTTTATCTACAGATTCATACTTGGCTCAATTTAAAGATGATTTAGTTTATCTGGATTTTAACTTGAATCTATGCTCCACAAAAGGCTGAGTGATGTACATACTGTATGAATTTTTAAGTTTCTTATTTATTTATTTATTTATGGTGTCAGAAGCAAATTGAGGGTACAGTTTAAATATATTTAAAAACACAAACAAAGTTTAAAACAGAGATTTCACTGCCTTGGTCCTTTCATTATTGGCTGCTACTTCCTAGTGAATGTCAGGTGGTGCAATACCAGTTAACCAGTATAATTTCCCCAGTATTATTTATTTATTTATCGGGTCATCATACCATTGTATTACATTTCTAACAGAACAAAACAAACAAACAAACAGATACATGAAAACACAGATTTTGCAAACTTGGTAGTTGAGCAAATGTCCTTTGACCAGTATCTGGCCACTTGGAGTGCCTCTGGTGTTGCCGCAAGGAGGTCCTCCATTGTGCATGTAGCAGAGCTCAGGTTGCATTGCAGCAGGTGGTCTGTGGTTTGCTCTTCTCCACACTCGCATGTCGTGGATTCAACTTTGTAGCCCCATTTCTTAAGATTGGCTCTGCATCTCGTGGTGCCAGAGCGCAGTCTGTTCAGCGCCTTCCAAGTCGCCCAGTCTTCTGTGTGCCCAGGGAAAAGTCTCTCATCTGGTATCACCCACGGATTGAGGTGCTGGGTTTGAGCCTGCCACTTTTGGACTCTCGCTTGCTGAGGTGTTCCAGCGAGTGTCTCTGTAGATGTAAGAAAACTATTTCTTGATTTAAGTCGTTGACGTGCTGGCTGATACCCAAACAGGGGATGAGCTGGAGATGTCTCTGCCTTGGTCCTTTCACTATTGGCTGCTACTTCCCGGCGGATGTCAGGTGGTACAATACCGGCTAAGCAGTGTAATTTCTCCAGTGGTGTAGGGCGCAGACACCCCGTGATAATGCGGCATGTCTCATTAAGAGCCACATCCACTGTTTTAGTGTGGCGAGATGTGTTCCACACTGGGCATGCATACTCAGTCCAGTGGTGCCCAGTGGTGTGGGGCAAAGACATCCAATGATGTCTACTATTGACCTGAGGCAACCCCATGAATTTCACAGGATTTTTAGGCACCCAGTTTTTTGAGACGCACATCCCCCCCCCCCCCCCCCCAATTTCTAACATTAACACAGCCCAACAAGAAGGCATATTGGTTTTTAGGTCTGTTCCGGTGATTATTTAAGGGACCGAAATGTGTGTTGGACAGTGTAAATCTTTCGACAGATTCTTTGGAAATCTGGGAGCTGTGCATGTAACAGGCCTTTGCTAAAGCAGCTGAGGGGGAAAGGGGCCTGAGGCTGTTAGGAATGGTGAGAGTTGAAGTCCAAAACACCTGGAGGCCCAAAGATTGCCCGTGACTGATCTACACTGTAGAATAAATGCAGTTTGGGTGCGCTTTTGACTGCCGTGGCTCAGTGCTATGGAATCCTGGCAGATCTTTCGCTTTCCCAGCCAAAGAGTGCTGTTTCCTCACCAAGCTACAGATCCTAGCATTCCATAGACTTGAGCTATAGCGGCCCAAGTGGTGTGAAACTGGGTGAAACAGATTCAAGGCGAGATGCTGCCCGCTCACCCTTGATGGCGGCGCTGGGGGAGCGCAAGAGGGCCTTGAGCCGGGCGCCGGTGAGCTCCTCCTCCTGCTTCTCCTCTTTGGCTGCCTCATTGTCCCGGCGCTGTTTTTGCGGAGGCTCCTGGTCCCTTTGGGCCGCAGCCGGGCTTTTGCGCTTGGCGCCCATGGTGAAAACAGCCAGCCACACCGGAACACGCGACTCCTCTCCGCCGGAAGTGGTCCTCCCGGCTTGCTCTTCCCTCGGGAACCTGCGACGCGAGGAGGGTTCCTAGCTGAACACGTGACCGACGCTGAGCCGATAGAAGATCAAAAGGCGGGCCCTTCCACACAGTCCTATATCCCAGACTATCAAGGCATAGAATCCCACAATATCTGCTTTGAACTGGAATATATGGCAGTTTGGACTAGGGGCCCTTCAACACAGCCCTATATCCCAGGATATCAAGACATAAAATCCCACAATATCTGCTTTGAACTGGGTTATCTGAGTCCACACTCAGATAACGTGGGATTTTCTGCCTTGATATTCTAGGATAGAGGGCTGTGTGGAAGGGCCCAAAGCTTCAAAAAGCTTGGTTTCCCAGGCTTTGAAGACTTCAGCTCCCCAAATCCCCGAACAATTGTTAGGCAGCTGAGGCTTCTGGGAGTTCAAGTCCAAAACACCTGTAGGACTAGAGTTTGATAATCACTGGAACAGGCCTCCTCAAACTGGGGCCTTCCAGCTGTTTGGCCTCCAAGTCCCAGAATTCCTGACCATTGAACAAACTGGCAAGGGCTTCTGGGAGTTGGAGGGCCAGACATCTTTGGGGGGGGGGGGGTGCCTGAACTGAAAGAATGACTATAGAACTGTCATTTTTATTTATCGTGTCAGAAGCGAATTGAGAATACAGTTATAATGTATAGATAAAGCAAAAAGAAAGTTTAAAAACTTGGCATTATACTAAATGTCCTTTGACCAGTAGCTGGCCCCTTGGAATGCCTCCGGTGTGGCGGTAAGGAGGTCCTCCATTGTGCATGTGGTAGGGCTCAGGTTGCATTGTAGTAAGTGGTCTGTGGTTTGCTCATCACACTCACATGTCGTAGACTCCACTTCGTGGCCCCATTTCTTAAGATTAGCTCTGCATCTCATGGTACCAGAGTGCAGTCTGTTTATCACCTTCCAAGTCGTCCAGTCTTCTGTATGCTCTCATCTGGTCTCAGCCAATGATTTGAAGTTCCGGGTTTAGTCTGCCACTTTTGGACTCTCGCTAGAACTGTCGTGGCTCAATGCTATGGAACCCCAGGAGTTGTAGTTCAGTATGGCACCGGAACTGTTTGACAGAGAAGGCTAAGTATCTTGTAAAACTACAACTCCGATATTCCATAGCCTTGAACTCATTTAAAGTGCTAGGAGCCCCCGGTGGTGCAATGGGTTAAACCTTTGTGCTGGCAGGACAAGTTGGAGGTTTGAATCCAGGGAGAGCAGGTTGAGCTCCCTCTGTCAGCTCCAACTCCCCATGCGGGGACATAAGAGAAGCATTCCACAAGGATGGTAAATCATAAAAAAATATCTGGGTGTCCCCTGGACAACGTTCTTGGAGACGGCCAATTCTCTCACACCAGAAGCAATTTACAGTTTCTCAAGTTTCTTATGACACGAAAAAAAATTAAAATGCTGCCAAGCTTGAAAAACTACAACACTCATGATTCCATAGCCTTGAACTCATTTAAAGTGCTGTCAAGCTGCATTCATTCTCAACCTCTGATGCCGGACTAAGTGCAGTTTCCAAAGTGAATTCTAAATTATCAAATTGTTAGGATTATTAATTATTATCATCCTGCCATTTGCCCAGATTGGGACTCAAAGCTGCTTATAAGTTAGAAGAAGGCATTAAAAAGTCCATAGGATACAAAGTTAAAACACGATTAGACAATGAAAAAAGGATACAAAGTTAAAACACAAACTATTAAAATGTTTAAAACACACACTAGCAAAATTTTCAATACACAGTGAATTGTATAAGTCAGGCTTTAACCAGTCTCACACATCAAATGCCTAACAGAATAGAAAAGTATTTACTTGTCTGTAAAAATAAACCAGAGGGGGTGTCTAATTCCTATGGGAAGTTCTAGGACCTGGGGGCAGCCATTAAGGCCTCATCTTCACTGACATATAATGCAGTTTGAAACTGCATTAGATAGTATAGATGGCACCTCAGAAGGCCCTTGAAATCCAGCATGACAGCCTCTTTCCTTCCCATGGTCCTCTTTTTAACTTTTCCTGTCCTATCAGGAAGAACTGTCACACTTTTCTCCAGTTTGTTGCTCTTCATATATCTTATGTCATGGGGCTCCCATGATGCCCAGTTCCAAAACATACATTCTTTGCATGTAAGGACTAATTTCTCCCCAGAGTTGGCCCAAAACAGTGTGCACCATCAAGCTGGGTAATAATCATGGCCAACAAAATTATTTTGGCCTCTTGAGGCAGACAATCATGCAATAACCATTTCCCATCCCTGGCAGTCAAAATGCAGCAAAACATACATAATTTGCAGGACCTACATGACCTTCAAACAACTGTCTACCTGCCCATTGATAACAGTTGTTCCTCATGTACTTCCATCACTCTTGAAGTGTTTAATAAACACTATGCAACTCATATTGTTGTTGTGAAAGTGGAGTGTTACATAAGGCCAATTTCGTGAAGCTAAGGCTAATGTGAGCCAGTGGTTGGAGGAAGACTTAGTCTTTGTGCCATTTGACCTCATCTAATCCCATCATTGTGCCACAGCATATTCAGACACATGCTTAACCTTGATTTCCCACATCTACATGGATGATAGCATCCTTATATTACCATGTAATTAAAAGTTGCAATCCTAAACTGCAGAACTGGCTTCTGAATTTTGATTTAAAATGCTCAATATAACATTGGGTATCTTAGAGTACTATTTTGACACTTTATCACAATTTCTAAGCCCTGGTGTTTCTCAGCCATTTTGCACTTTACTACCCATTTTCCCTGGCCGCTGACCAAACTGGCTGGAGTTGGCAGGAGTTGTGAACTAAAAGAGCTTGAAAGGACTGTTCTAAAATTTTATGGTAGTACAGGGCGCTTTTCGAGATTTATTGTGGTTTAAAGGGGTTCTATTATCATACAAGCCTGGTGCTCTCAACCTTTTTTATTGCTGAATTCCTGGAATGTGTTGTATATTTCAAGTCTGTGTAGTTGGTTATAGTTGCTTATAGTGGCTATTTATTTCCCCGTAAAATAATCTACAAACATATTGATAGTTACATTTCTTTAAGCAGCATTTAAGAGACATAGTTCACTATTTTGTTTTAAAGGTCTAAGGCTATTATTAGCACTATCAGTGTCAAAGCACTCGTGTATCTAAAGTTTAAAGTTGCAAAGCAAATGTAAATGCAACACCAGTTAAAAAGTGCATTCCATTGTCCTGTCCCTTTCCAGCAGAATGGACACATACTTTGGATCTTCATAATATCAATTGTTTCCCCAGGCTATCATTAATGATGAGTGACAATGAATGGTTCCAGATGAGGCTTTCACTGTGCGATTGCTCTGTCTGCCCCATTCACAAACTTTTATGAGAAGAGGGGAATTCAGATGTTATTGTCTTTCACATATAACCTTTTTGTGCTTTCCCTTTTCCCCCCCTCACTACAGAAAACCATTAAGGAGAAAAGGCAAACTATATATGCAATATTTGGTAATGTTAAGACCCATCTGCTTGCAAGCACCAGTGTGATCTTCCTTCTTATGTAGTATTTTCTTGCTGCCCATATTATTAATATATTAAAACAGGAAAGTATACAAACTGTTTGACTATAATATCACCGTGTTTAACGTAGCACAATCTAACAAAAGTACAAAAAGTACTTTTTATAGGATTTTGCTGGGGGAAATAATGGCATGATTGAATATCTTTTAACAGTGAAATCAATGATATTTGGTTTATAGACTTGAATTTAATAATAATAATAATAATAATAATAATAACTTTATTTATAGACTGCCCTCTCTCCTCGAGGGGACTCAGAGTAGTTTACATACAAAAAGGCAAACATTCAATGCTGCAGTTAAATTAACACAATTCAAAATGATACAAAATGACATCAGTATACTTATACCTAAAGAGAAAATAGAATTAAAATTAGAATAATAAGGAAGAATACAAATATTTGAATAAAAGATTGTTATGCTAGTAAAACATAAATTACACTAAAAAAAAGATATACCCCAAACAATGAAATGACTAAAATGCATAAAAAGTGCCTAACATCAGTTGTAATTTAAAATATACAGTAGCAGCCATACAATGTGAATAAATTAGCCAGTATTCCAGTGAGATTGGTTTAAGATGTGCTAGATTTGGCCAGAACTAGTAGTTTAAGATGGATTGTATCTGTAAATTCAATAAAAATGTGAACAAACTAAAAAATTCAGAAGTGCTATTAAAAATCTTTCTGCATCTGCTATCCTCATACAATAAAAAAAGGAAAGGGCTTTCGTCTTACAGTTGAAATCAAAATAAAGACATTTTAATTAGACTACCAAGGATCTGATGTAAATCTGTCATTAAACTAATGTGTAGCCTATTCCTATTCCAATAAAATAGGGAAAATATAAAAAAAATGGTAGGAAACATTGCAAACAGTTAATTTTGAGCTTTGGCTGCATCTTCCTGAAATATGAAAATTAGACCTAACATCCAATAGATTTAATTAAAGTTTAGAGTTCTAATGTCAGAACTTCCTCTCCCAATTTAAAGGGGAGAAATCCCTGCTTGTCACTATATTTATTCAAAGTTGTTTCTGAAGGGTAATTTGATTTTTTTTCTCATCAAAACACACTGTGTCTTAATTAATACATCACAGAACCACTTCAGCTTGTAAAAAATACTTTATAATGTAGTGAAAAATGGTAGTGATAGGACTTTTCCTAACAGAATTGTAATATTAAAGAAAAGTTACTTGTAACTGGATTGAAGTGTTTATTTCCATTTCCATAGAAACAGCAGCTGAGTCTGCAAACATGACGTGCCTAGTTTTAAACAAGGACCATATAGCTATTTTTTAGACTGCTTGCTTTGTTTTATCTAGCCTGACATTTATTTCCATAGAAACAGCCAGAAATGTCACCAGAGTTGTTAAAACCTTTGCTATATATTACCCTTTATGTCAAAATGCAGGAAATAAAGCTTTTTTAAAATGAGGGGGAAAAATCTCTTT